GTGGTGTTAAAAACGTTGGGTTATTTCCAACCCAAGCTCATTCTGGAAACGTAGCCCCGCAGACGTTTAATTGGTTGTTATCTGGGAATATCATAACTTGGAATGTCATGATTGACCAATCAGAATTAGGTATTGTAAATATAAACGCATAAAGGAGGCGTTTATTTTACACTACGCTATAAAAAAAAAAAGAATGATTTTATGGTTTATTCACACTAGCTGAAATGTACCGTAAAATAACGGATATTGAATTACAGAAATTTACCAAAAATTTAAATTTAAGGAAATTTCGGTAATTTAATATGTGTTATTTTACAGTATATATCTGTAAGTTAAAGGGTCTTATTTTACATTTTTTTTCAGCTGCTTGAAACCATAAAATTAACAATTATATCCGTTATTTTATGGTATATTTCTGTAATTTAACAGCCGTTATTTAACTTCTTTCTCTGGCACCCCAGCTGCTGGAAATAAACCGTTAAATAATTTTTTTTTTACAGTGTTGGCCATTTTTAAATGCATTTTGCCCATTTATTTGCAAGAGAACCATGACTTTAAAAGCCTACACAATATTAACTTTCCATCGGTTCGTTTGTTTGATTAAGCTGCGGACAGTTAAACCTTAATTATATTAAAAAGCTAACGCACAAATATTTTTATTTTTACATAATTGCATTCAGTGGCTTCACTTCAAGGTTCCAAAATAAAAAAAGTTAGTCGGAAAAGAGCAGTGTGCAAACAGTCCCAGACATCAGCTTTGTTTTTCTCTCTGGTCTTCAAAGAAATGGCTTCATGGACCAGAGGGACAGTAAATAGCATCAGGTGAAAGGTTCAAGTCTCCAGACGAGGCCAGTGGCATTTGTTGAAGATCTGCACAGAATCCACTGATATTAACAGCCAGGCAGTCTAATACCCACGATGAAGAACACACAGAAGTAATCTCTGCAAATAAAGACATGCGAAAACTTCATCTGCGATAAATTCAATTAACTTGGCACATGCTAACAATTACACACAGCTATCTATTTCCGTCCCCAAGTCGCCATGTTGAAATTGCGATCAGCGGGTGGCCGAAGATGAGACGAGATGTTAGATTACGAGCATGTTGAGCTCATGCATGTGTTTACCATTCAGGTAGGAGGCCAGATTGTGAAAATAATTGATTGTTCTGTTGAGATGCCATGTGCGATGACAGCTGATTGGTCCTCGTATAAGCAATTTCATTTCGCCATCTGCCTTGTCAAACCGAGCTTATGAAATTTTAATGATCCTGCGGAAACGTACACTGCTAGATGCAGTCGACTTGATCATAACTAAGCCCTCTTTCAGGCCAAAACACCAGGCGCACAACCGTTTTCAGACAACATTTCTTTAATACAAAGTCAACATATCTACATACACAGTGGTTTCAAACCAATTATTGTGTGTCCGTCAGAAGTAACAGTTTGAAAGCGATAGCACTTGGCCTTCGTACAAAGGGAAACGATTCTCATGTTTGAGTTTGGCTTTTTTTTCTTCTCTTCTTTTGTTTTTTTCTGTTGGCCGTTGTGTTAATACGTTCACTTTTTGTATGTTGGTTCTTCGTTATTTGTACTCTAATCAGTTTGTACGTTTGGCTCCCGTTGTCAAAGCTCAAATGTCCATTGGCAGAACGTCCGAGCACCTCTGCCATCGTAGAGATGTATTATTTATTTTATTTTTTTTGGAGATCAGTCCGACAAGTCCAATCGCACGATGGAAAAGTTCGTTATAAACACACACAAAACTCCCAACAGTTTAAAAGGCAGCGCTGGAATTTCCAGATTCCAATTTCTCACCTACTTTCGTCCCTTAACGGAAAAATCCCCAAAGTAAAATCGGAACTAAACATGGCATGCATCTGTAAACGTCTAGAGCTTTGCGATGAACTAGTAATCAAACAAAGATGGAGAACAGAGGCAGTGGTGAGAGAGGGACGTGTTTTTATGCTAGTGATGCTAACATGCTACCAATTAGCTTCCGCTGTTCATATGGCATTCTGTAGGCACTGGGCGTTTTAGTCCTTCTTCACTCAGAAACGTGAAACGATTACTGATTTGTGCTGCGTTCAGGAGTCGCTTTTGGGTTGAATCTCAGTCGAGAACTTTACATCACTCCAAAATCAAAGGAGCTTAATTTTGCTTGAAGAAAACTAAGCCTTATTTTAGGTCCAGCAAGATGGCTTGTATTGCATCGTTTTATTTTAATGACAACAAAACATTCCTATTGGTGGCCCACTGAAGCTGGGCGGGGTTAGGACAGATGGCGCTCTAGACTAGTTTTTAACAGCAGATGGCGCTCTAAGCTAGTTTTCAACAGCAGATGGTGCTCTAGACTAGTTTTTAACAGCAGATGGTGCTCTAGGCTAGTTTTTAACAGCAGATGGCACTCTAGACTAGTTTTTAACAGCAGATGGCGCTCTAAGCTAGTTTTCAACAGCAGATGGTGCTCTAGACTAGTTTTTAACAGCGGATGACACTCTAGATTAGTTTTTAACAGCAGATGGTGCTCTAGGCTAGTTTTTAACAGCAGATGGCACTCTAGACTAGTTTTTAACAGCAGATGGCGCTCTAGGCTAGTTTTTAACCGCAGATGGCGCTCTAGGCTAGTTTTAAACCGCAGATGGCGCTCTAGGCTAGTTTTTAACCATATACTTCTCACGAAGAAGAGCACTTGTGTGTTCAGCTAAATCATGTAAGTTGGCTTTTATGTTACAAGATTAACGTAAACGAAGCACACTATGACTCTTTTAATTTGCTTAAACCTTTTCTGACTTTATTATTGATTATTTTAGGTTCCACTGATATTTGTTAAGAATCGGATTCAAACAAACAGCGCCATCTACTGTTAAAAACTAGCCTAGGGCACTGCCTGCTGTTAAAAACTAGCATAGAGCGCCATCTGTTGTTAAACTAACTTAGCCTGAAGTGCCATCTTCTGTTAAAATATTGCCTATAGCGCCGCCTGCTGTTAAAAACTAGACAGATCACATCTCCTATTAAAAAATAGCCAAGAGTGCCATCTGCTGTTAAAAACTAGCCTAGATCGCCATCTACTGTTAGAAAGTAGCATGAAGCGCCTTCTGTTGTTAAAAAAGTGGCCTAGCCTGTGGGACAATCTGCTGTTAAAAACTAGCCTAGAGCACCGTCCGTGTTTAAAACTAGCCTAGAACTCCATTAGCTGTTAAAAACTAGCCTCGAGCACCGTCCGTGTTTAAAACTAGCCTAGAGCTCCATTAGCTGTTAAAAGCTAGCCTAGAGCACCTTCCACTGTTTAAAACTAGCTTAGAGCTCCATCAGCTGTTAAAAACTAGCCTAGAGCACAGTCCGCTGTTAAAAACTAGCCTAGAGCACCGTCCGTGTTTAAAACTAGCCTAGAGCTCCATTAGCTGTTAAAAGCTAGCCTAGAGCACCTTCCACTGTTTAAAACTAGCTTAGAGCTCCATCAGCTGTTAAAAACTAGCCTAGAGCACAGTCCGCTGTTAAAAACTAGCCTAGAGCACCGTCCGTGTTTAAAACTAGCCTAGAGCTCCATTAGCTGTTAAAAACTAGCCTAGAGCACCGTCCGTGTTTAAAACTAGCCTAGAGCTCCATTAGCTGTTAAAAGCTAGCCTAGAGCACAGTCCGCTGTTTAAAACTAGCTTAGAGCTCCATCAGCTGTTAAAAACTAGCGTAGAGCGCCATCTACTATTAAAAAACTGGCCTAGATCGCCATCTACTTTTAAAAACTACCCTAGAGTGGCCATACTGTTGATATAGGAATCGATTTTTCACCACAGCTCTATAAAAAGACTCCTAAGTGTTTTCAAAATGCTCTGTTGTTGTGGGTCAAACGCACCAGAGTAGCGTGGTTGACAGGTATTACTTTAGCATATTCATTTAAAAATGAAAAGCACTAGTGTAAATGGGTGTAAACCTCTAGAGAAATCTCGGTGAGCGCTGGATGAGGTGCTAATGTCCTGCAGGTGGCGCTATGGGTCTATGGCCTGTGGGTTTTGGTGCTGGGGACATAAAAAAACTCGCAGGATGTGTTTTGAAAGAAAGAGCACTGGCTTCTGTGTCCACTGACTGGCTTCATCACTCGGTCAATAAGTGGGTGTGTGGTGGGCGTTCTGCTGCGCAGTCATCCAGCGGGCTAACATTTACCCCTTCAGAAATGTGTAAAGAAACGACTCGAGTGCTGAGAAAATGTGAATTCGTTACTGTTATTATTAAAAGCTTGACTAGATTAATTATGGTTCGTTCTGGAGACAATTGAGAAACAAATATTGCGTAAAGGGGGGTAATAATTTTGACCTAAAATGGTGCTAAAAAAATTAAAAGCTGCTTTTATTCCAGCCGAAATATAACTGTTAAGACGTTTCCTAGAAGAAAAAATATTATAGGAAATACTGTGAGAAATTCCTGAATCTGTTAAACATCATTTGGGAAATATTTATATATATATATATATATATATATATATATATATATATATATATATATATATATATATATATATAAAGAAATACAAATTCACAGGAGGGTGAATGATTTTGATTTCAACTGCATATGTTTTGTTAAAATAGCTAATATTTGGCTGAGATATAATTACTGATCAATTGAAAATTGAGGGTTTAAAAAAAAATTAAATATTGAGAAAAATCACATTTTAATTATAATTAAAGTATTTTTCCTTTTGATTTTGGAGTGAAATGGCAGCCGTTCGCTTAGCGAGATTCTCCTTAAAAAGTTTCTAGAAACTGCGCAGCATGAAGTCTTGGGGAAAACGAGAGGCGCTGTGATTTCTCTCACCACTGGACTGCAGCGTGTGGCGGCGAAGATAAGAGAAAAGTGAAGAACTGGGGAGGGAAAAAATAAACCAACAAATGCATCAGGAAAAAAAAAAAGGAGGAATGAAGGGAAGAGAGATAAACAGAGCTGTTAGCGTGAGACAAAGCTTCTTTCAAAACTGCGGAAGGTTTCCATTAGCATAAACATTTCTTTTTTTTTTTTTTTTTTTTTTTTTAGTCGTTTATCTCAGTATTGTTCAAAGACAGAAATCTCGTGGGTCAAATTATACAAATACATATAATATATATTTGTTTATTTACAGGCATTATATTCAGGATCATAGTTGATATCTAACAAACGATCGAACATTCGGTGGTTTGGAAAGTAAAAAAGAACCAAAGGATGGTAAAAGAAATGAAAGCGAGAGATGGGCTTTAACAATTTTTGTAGTAAATTTGGAAAGTATCAATTATATATATATATATATTGTTCAAATCAGTCTGTAGTAAACCAATATAAAAGTAATACTTTAGTTAATACCAGTACTATTGATGAATAACAAGTAGTCCACCCTTCGTTATTGAGCAACAGGAAGTCAAATCTCCCCCGCAAGTGATTTATGGGAGATTTTCTTTACAAAGAATCATTCATCCACGCGATTTCATGGCGGTATAAAAATGAGCGCCCGCTTAAAAACAAACAAAACAAAAGGCTATTCATATGAAGATTTGGATATATCTATTATATTCTGCATTTAAATATATGCGTGAGTGCGTATGTATACATTCACGTCCCATTCGTTTATGTATACATGCGCACAAACATCTGCCGTAACATTTCTACAGTGAAAAAATAGAATGTCTTTCAACGTAACATGAGCAAAAATGAGCATCATCTTTACTTGCTAATTAAAAAAAAGAAGAGTATTCGTTAAAAACACTAAAATCAAGAAATCAAACGTCTGTTAAGAAAGAAGATAATAGTCAAAATAATACAACAATAACGTGTTTTTTTTTTGTTTTTGTTTTTTGTTTTCTACGATGTTACAAGAATAAGGCTTTTTTGGAAATAAGATTACACACGGCTCCTTTCACTCTCCCACCAATCAGGTTCAAGCATTCTCCAGATCGGCCAATCAGATCTGACGGCGGAGAGTTGACCCCTCCCCCCCTCGTACGCATATGCATGAGCGTGTAGAACAGTCCCACCTACGACAACAAGATAGCTGTACCGCAATTTCATGACGCGAATATCCATCGTCTATTAAACGAACCGTTTACGAATGAACCGAACCGAATCGTAAACGAACGAACCGTTTACGAACCGAGGCAAGGAATCCCAAAATAACCAGCAATGGGCTGTTTGGATAAAACAAAGGTGGACGCGCGGTTTCATTTTGGGGCATTAGGAAATGGACCAAGCGGTGGGACCAACACACCCACACACACACACACACACACACACAAAAAACCTTTCACACTTAAATCGGAGTCTTCACATGTACACATACAGCATAATGGAGCGAAAGCAGCATGTTTGGTATCAAGAGCGAACTGAAACCAAATCAAAACAGTTGTAAGACAAAAAAAAAATTAAAGAGTTGGCGATGAAGGTTGGTCACCGGGGACGCCAGAGTTACCACATATCGCCGCCTACATATCCGGTGCGACCATTGTTGAGTCTTCAGGTCCAAAATCTCCAGGTTTAGCTTTCGAGACGATGGAGATGGAGCTACATCGCTGGAAAGCACCAAATAACGGTCCAAAACCTCAAGAAACTGATGCGATTAGCTTTCTGCCATTTCCTCGAATGCCTCAAGAACGCCGTCAGCTTTCAATCTGAGGGTTTTACTTTCTCAAGTGGGTGAACGGTTCGGATTGCTTCTTAAGTGGCCCCCAATTTTGTCCAAATCACTTGAAAGAGGCTTGAACCGAGACGTGAGCAGCCAACAAAGTTTCCTTTCCAACTTGTTTTTGTACCTTTGCTCCAACTTCTCCACTCTTGAGTCTCACGAGACGTTAAACGTTTAGTAAACACTGAATGAACCAACCAAATCGGGTGCTTGCTGTGTATTGGCAAAACTCCTTCCTTTGTTTTTTTGTTTTGTTTTATGTACTATGTTCATAGAGTCAGTCTGGAAAGAAACAATGTTTGTCTTCCACATCAGAACACTTGAGGTAAGGTTAGTGGTCCGACACTTGGATCATTCCCACCCTACAGCCTGAGCCAAAAAACGGTTGGTTCCTCGTTGAGATTGGGGCTTCTGCGCTTGTTGCGGTCCGATTGGGAAACTCTTGGTTGGATTGGTTCCAAAAAAAAAAGACGTGTGGAAATAAACGCTATGGATTTTCTATAGTTGTCATCGTGTTTTTCAAGCAAGTTTTTATGGCTCAGGAGGCTGTTGGGGGGAGGGGGATTGTGGGGCTGGGGGGAACAAAAGATGGCTTTTTTTTACGTTGCATAGTGATCAAAACTTCCAAGGTACTCCAGAGCCGCCTGGTAGCAAAACTGGTACTCGTCCTGTAGAGGGAAAACACAAAGACATCAGCGACCGCTTCAGCTTGTCATTTATTTGAGCTTTTAAAGTGGTACTTCACCCCAAAATGTGGACAGCATTTTAGCACGTTTACAATTTAGTCTTACATCGAAATCATTTTCAAAATGCATTGACACATTGACTGAGGTTAGTTTTAACAGCTGACTGTGTTCTAGGTTAGTTTTTAACAGCAGATGGTACTCTAGGTTCCTTTCTGATAGCAGATGGTGCTTTACGGTAGTTTTTAACAGCAGATGGTGCTCTAGGGCCGTTTTGTTTTTCACAGTAAACATCTGTTAATGATCTGCTGTTAAAAACTAGCCTAAAGTGCCACCTGCTCTTAAAAACTAGCTTAGATCGCTGCCATCTATTGTTAAAATCTAGCCTAGAGCACCATCTACTGTAAAGAAAATTAGCTTACAGTGCCATCTACTTTTAAAAACTAGCCTAGAGTGACGTCTGCTGTAAAAAAAAACTAGCCTAGAGTGACGTCTGCTGTTAAAAACTAGCCTAGAGTGACGTTTGCTGTTAAAAACTAGCCTAGAGTGACGTTTGCTGTTAAAAACTAGCCTAGAGTGACGTCTGCTGTTAAAAACTAGCCTAGAATGCCGTCTGCTGTTAAAAACTAGCCGAGAGTGACGTTTGCTGTTAGGAACTAGCCTAGAGCACCATCTGCTTTTAAAAACTAGCCTAGATTGCCATCTGCTGTTTAAAACTAGCCTTGAGTGACATCTGCTGTTAAAAAACTAGCCTAGAGTGCTGTCTGTTGTTAAAAACTATCCTAGATCGCCATTTATTGTTAAAAAGTAGCCTAGATCATCATCTACTGTACAGAAAACTAGCCTAAAGTGCCATCTGCCGTTATAAACTAGCCTAGAGTGCCGTCTGCTGTTAAAAACTAGCCTTGAGTGCCATCTACTATTAAAACCTAGCCTGAATAGCCATCTACTGTTAAAAAAAACTAGCCTAGAGCGCCATCTGCTGTTAGAAATGATCCTAGGGCACCATCTCCTGATAGAAACTAGCTAAGATCACTGTCTGCTGTTAAAAACTAGCCTAGAATGACGTCTCATGTTAAACACTAGCCTAGAGCACCATCTATTGTTAAAAACTAGCCTAGAGTGCCATCTGCTGTTAAAAACCCTACAGAAAAATCCAGCTTAAACCAGCCTAGGCTGGTTGGCTAGTCGACCAGCCTGGTTTTGGAGCGGTTTTGGCCATTTCCAGGCTGGTTTCCAGCCATTTCTAGCCTGGTCTTAACTGGTCAGGCTGGGAGATGACCAGCTAAAACCAGCTTGACAAGCCTAGCCAGGCTGGGAGTCCAGCCAAAACCAGCTATGTCCAGCTTAAACCACTGAAATGGCCAAACCGCTCTAAAACCAGGTTGTTCAACCAGCTAAAACCAGCCTACGCTGGTTTTAGCTGAGTTTTTCAGCAGGGAAACTAGCCTAGAGCACCGTCTGTTGTTAAAAGCTAGCCTAGAGTGCCATCTGCTGTTAAAAACTAACCCAGCCCAGAGCGCAATTTTATTTATTTGTATTTACAGTTAGTTATTTATTCCCCTTCATGTCTTTCCAAACCAAAAAAAGGTTTTTGTTCATCTTCAGAACACAAATTTTAGATGAAACCCTGCAGCTCTCTGATTCTCAATAGACAGCAAGGGTCACGAGATCCAAAAAGGAACGAAAAACAATATCTCTGTTTCCATCCACCTATTTTTATGTGCCTTTTGGAATATCTCATAAATATTGCTTGATCAAAATGCCATGTGACTATAAATGTGTATAATGGGACACGTTAATGGACTTTGCAGTGTTTCCAGCACATTGTAAAACATCTGAAATGTTGTTTTGGTCATTTCTAAAACCCCTCAGCCGTCAGTCCGTCATCCCAGTGCTCCAGTATTGTTATTATTCCGTTAATATTCCCTCCAGAACTGTCTTGAGCATCTGTCTGCGCTCTCAAAGAGCGTCTCCAAAAGCCACCACATTGCGCTCATTGCATTCCATCTTTGTCTTCTGAGGCGCAACTCATTTATTAAACAGGAAAAAACACCACAGTGGCTTCTCCCAATGCATAAAACTGCATTGTTAAGTCTTATATTTGCTCCAGTTTATCAGGAAATAACAACACAATCTCACGGCAATTCGTAACTTTTTCATTTAGTGGCTAATTCGTATGAATTCGTACGATCTAATTCGTACAATTTAGTACGATTTGCTTATCCCCCAATGACGGTTGGGGTTGGGGTCAGGTGCCACGCCTCCTTTTTAAAATCGTACCATTTCGTACGACTGAACTCGTACGAATTCGTACGAATTCGCCACTAAACTGGCAAAACGTAAAATTCTTACGTTTTCTCGTGAGATCAGACTAGAAATAACCCTTTTGTTCTCTTTGATACATCAGATTGGAAACGCTGCTTTATTCGCAAACATTTCATGCAATATTCCAGTTTTGCATCTAAATTTAATTCCTACATTTGGATGTAAACATGTTTTATGTTGTTTTTCTGGATCCCTCGTTGTCTTATTGAGGATGAGAGAGCTCCTGGATTTCATCTAATATATCATAATTAGTGTTCAGTAGATGAACCAAGGTCTCACAGTTTAGAAAACAACATTAGGGTGAGTAAGTAATAGCATGTTTTTCATTTTCTTCATGAATTATCCCTTTAAAGAAGGCAGTCTGGTGTGGAACTGTAGCTTTAGTCTCTCACCTCCGTCTGCACCATTGCTGGCCGCTGTGTTCTGAGCATTTTGACCGTCTGGAAAATGTCCACGACTCCCTCATAACGCATCCTTTCCAGCACGATACTCAGCGTAATGAAGACCCCGGTCCGTCCAACACCGGCACTGCATCCAGAAACATCCAGTGTTAAAAATGATCTACGCTGGGTTCCACACAAATGTAAGTGGATTGAACATAAAAAAATTAAGTTCTCTACCAAAAGCATTAAAATTGTGTTGTTTCAACTCATTTTAATTAGGTTCTTTGAATAGATTCCAAGAGCTATATTTTGAGTGTAGAAAAACGAGCTGCTAACTGCTGCAAATGTTCTCCATTGAAACATCCTTAAAAAGATGCAGTTATATTGTTAAATTGTGCTCGAGAAGTTGTGATGTCTCCAACTTCTTCAGAATGAAAGAAATCAAATCAAAATAGTTAGACATTAAATACAACATTAAACATTAAATTAAATAGTTACAATTTTAAATACCTAAACTTAATACTTTTATTTGTTTATAAAATATATAAATGAAATACACAATATTAACAGTTAAATGATTGAGTTTATGATTAAATAAATAAACAGACCATAAATATAAAGTACATTTTAATGTATAATAAACAAATGATAAGAAGACCACTACCAAAAAATAACATAACAAATAACTAATAATAATAATAATAATAATAATAATAATAATAATAATAATAACATATTAAAATAAAATAAATAAGGGTGAAATAAACAAATAAATGAATATAAATTAAAGTGAGATAAATAAAATAAATAATTAAATTAATTAATTAAGGTGAAATAAACAAACAAATAAATAAAAACTAAGAATAAAGAAATAAAAAACAAACAAATAAATAAATATATTAGGGTGAAAAAATAAATATAAATTAAGGCAAAATAAAAAAATTATATATAAATTAGGGTGAAATAAATAAATAAATAAATATAATCTAAGATTAAATAAATAATTAAATATAAATTAAGGAGAAATAAATAAATTAATAAATATAAATTAAGGAGAAAAAAATTATAAATAGATAAATGAAGGTGAAACAAACAAAACTAACATTTTTGGTCTGAACTAATTATAATTCAGGAAAATTTAAAACATATTGTTAAAGCATATATATATATATATATATATATATATATATATATATATATATATATAGTGTGCAGTGTTATTTGCGGAGCCGGTGGTAAAGGCACAGATGTTAAGCTGGTCTGGCGTGACAGCGCTCAAACAGGACGACTCTTAAGTCTGATTTTTCATAAGCTGCTTTGCCGTCGAGCAATTTCACCCACAATAATTGATATGACAACAGGCTTATTTCCCTCTTTTCCAAACAGTGACACAACGACTCAACCGGCCAATCACAGCACGGCGCTGCAACCACACATTATAAGAGTTTAAAAAGAAAAATGGAGAAAGAGTCACAGCTTCTGTCCGTCTGTCGCACAAAAATACAATCAACCAATCAATAAATGAACGAAGGAATCAGGAGGATGAAAAACTGCGGAAACACAATTGAAAGAATTGATTCCTTTATAACCCACTAGCAACTGCTGGAAAAGGATGTCCTATAAAGGATAAAAACAAATATAATTATTAATTTATTAAGATTTTACAGGAGTTTTAATTAGTTTGAATTCTCATTTAATTTTCTTTGTTTTCGTTTACATTTTAGCAGAAATTATAACATTATATTTTATATAAATAAGGATTTAATGTTAAATTTACTGAAAATGTGCTGCTATATACTGTATACATTGATCTACGCTGGGTTCCACACAAATGTAAGTGGATTGAACATAAAAAATTAAGTTCTCTACCAAAAGCATTAAAATTGTGTTGTTTCAACTCATTTTAATTAGGTTCTTTGAATAGACTCCAAGAGCTATTTTTTGAGTGTAGAAAAACGAGCTGCTAACTGCTGCAAATGTTCTCCATTGAAACATCCTTAAAAAGATGCAGTTATGTTGTTAAATTGTGTTCGAGAAGTTGTGATGTCTCCAACTTCTTCAGAATGAAAGAAATCAAATCAAAATAGTTAGACATTAAATACAACATTAAACATTAAATTAAATAGTTACAATTTTAAATACCTAAACTCAATACTTTTATTTGTTTATAAAATATATAAATGAAATACACAATATTAACAGTTAAATGATTGAGTTTATGATTAAATAAATAAACAGACCATAAATATAAAGTACATTTTAATGTATAATAAACAAATGATAAGAAGACCACTACCAAAAAATAACATAACAAATAACTAATAATAATAATAATAATAACATATTAAAATAAAAATAAATAAGGGTGAAATAAACAAATAAATGAATATAAATTAAGGTGAGATAAATAAAATAAATAATTACATTAATTAATTAAGGTGAAATAAACAAACAAATAAATAAAAACTAAGAATAAAGAAATAAAAAACAAACAAACAAATAAATATATTAGGGTGAAAAAATAAATATAAATTAAGGCAAAATAAAAAAACAAATAAATTAGGGTGAAATAAATAAATAAATAAATAAATATAAATTAGGTTGAAATAAATAGATAAATAAATATAATTTAAGGTGAAATAAATAAATAAATTAATACATATATTAAGGTCAAATAATAAATATATAAATTAAGGCAAAATAAATAAATAAATATAAATTTAGGCAAAATAAATAAATAAATATAAATAAGGGAAAAATAAATAAATAAATAATTATAAATAAAGTAGAAATAAATAAATAAATTATTTAATTAATATAAATTAAGGAGAAATAAATAAATAAATATAATCTAAGATTAAATAAATAATTAAATATAAATTAAGGAGAAATAAATAAATTAATAAATATAAATTAAGGAGAAAAAAAATAATAAATAAATAGATAAATGAAGGTGAAACAAACAAAACTAACATTTTTGGTCTGAACTAATTATAAATCAGGAAAATTTAAAACATATTGTTAAAGCATATATATATATATATATATATATATATATATATATATATATATATATATATATATATATATATATATATATATATGTATGTATGTATGTATGTATGTATGTATGTATGTATGTGTATGTATGTATGTATGTATGTATGTATGTATGTATGTATGTATGTATGTATGTATATGTATGTATGTATGTATGTATGTATGTATGTATGTATGTATATATATATATATATATATATATATATATATATATATATATATATATATATATATATATATATATATATATATATATATATATATATATATAGTGTGCAGTGTTATTTGCGGAGCCGGTGGTAAAGGCACAGATGTTAAGCTGGTCTGGCGTGACAGCGCTCAAACAGGACGACTCTTAAGTCTGATTTTTCATAAGCTGCTTTGCCGTCGAGCAATTTCACCCACAATAATTGATATGACAACAGGCTTATTTCCCTCTTTTCCAAACAGTGACACAACGACTCAACCGGCCAATCACAGCACGGCGCTGCAACCACACACTATAAGAGTTTAAAAAGAAAAATGGAGAAAGAGTCACAGCTTCTGTCCGTCTGTCGCACAAAAATACAATCAACCAATCAATAAATGAACGAAGGAATCAGGAGGATGAAAAACTGCGGAAACACAATTGAAAGAATTGATTCCTTTATAACCCACTAGCAACTGCTGGAAAAGGATGTCCTATAAAGGATAAAAACAAATATAATTATTAATTTATTAAGATTTTACAGGAGTTTTAATTAGTTTGAATTCTCATTTAATTTTCTTTGTTTTCGTTTACATTTTAGCAGAAATTATAACATTATATTTTATATAAATAAGGATTTAATGTTAAATTTACTGAAAATGTGCTGCTATATACTGTATACATTGATATAATAACCTGTAATATGACAATATTTAACAACAAATTAATAATTATCAAAATATTATTACTTTGATAAATATTAATTTGTTGTTAAATATTGTATTAAATATATTAATAATATTTCAAACATATTATTAAATGATTTTCATCCTTACTTTTACTCTGAACTCATCATAAACACTTACATTTATTTGACATATATTTATTTTATTATTTACTTATTTGCAGTGTTTTGTTTTTATATTTTGATCTATTGGACAATCATTTAGCCTTCATCTCCTTAAAGCACAAATAATCACTGCTGCGCTGTCTAAGCAACTAAGTGAAAGTGATGCATGTTATGGTGAGTCTCACCTGCAGTGGACAGAGATGGGACCGTCCTGTCCGAACTGCTCCTTTGTTTTATGCACCTGTCCGATGAAGTCGATGAATCCCTCTCCAGATTTGGGAACACCCTGCTCCGGCCAGTCGGTGAACTGGAACTGACGGACGGTCCTGGACTGACCGTCCTGAGGGAGACACAAACATCATGAACAGGAACACACAAAAACACAAACATAAACACTCAACTATTTTAGGATTCTTGCTGGAATAAATGTCAAAAAACATTGAATAAAAAAGCTTTGATTTTATTGAATCTAATGTTGATCATTTTCAGTCAGTTTTCATTGAAGTTGAAATAATTAAAATATAAATCAGACCAAAGCAGACAAACATGAGGAACAAGAACATACAAAAAACTAAACAAATACTAAACTATTTCTGGGTACTAGCCAGAATAAAAAAAAAAAAAGATTAATAATAATAAAAAAAACTTCCATTCTATCTCAGTTAATATTGATGATTTACATTTACTTTAATATAAAATGATTTTTAAATAAAAACGAACTGTTCTAAGAAGTTTTAAGAGTACAAATGTTGAGTTTTTTGAACTGCTGGTGGCGCTGTAGAGTTTGACCTAAAGAACCACAATTAATGTCAGATGACTGTTTATATGATTCTCTATTACTGCACCAATTTACATTATTTTCAATATGTTTGCATCTATGGGCTGCCAATTCAGTCCCATACGGGACACTACTACCACCATCACTACTACTTCAACCATCACCACACCTACTATTACCACCATCAGTACTACTACCACCCAAACCACTGCCACCATTACCACCACCACCACAACAACTACTACCACCACCACCACCACTACTACTACCACAACCACTACTACTACTACAACTACTATTACTACTACCACCACGGCCACAACTACTGCCACCACCACAACTACTACTACTTCCACTACTACCACCATGATGACAACTACTACTTCTTCCACTACTACTACTACTACTACTACCACAACCACTTCCACTACTACTAATTCCACTACTATTACTGCCACCACAACGACAACTACTACCACCACCACTACTACTACCATCACTACTACTACTCCGACCACAACTACTACTACCACCACTACAATTACTACTACCACCACCACAACCACAATGACCACTTCCACTACTATCACCAACACCACAACCACTACTTCCATTACTACTACAACCACAACTACTTCCACTACTACTACTACTTCCACTACTACTACAACCACAACTACTTCCATTACTACTACTACTACTACTACTACTACAACTACTTCCACTCCTACTACAACCACAACTACTTCCACTACTACTACTACTACTACCACGCTGCAACTACTATTACTACCACTACTACCACCACCACCACAACTACTACTACCACTACTACCACCACCACCACAACTACTGCTACCACATCTGCTACTACTTCCACTACTACCACCACCACAACTTCTACTACAACCACAAATACTTCTACCACCACCACTAGTACCACTACTACTACTACTACCACCACCACCACCACTACTACCACCAACACAACTACTACTACTACCACCACCACCACCACTACTACTACTGCTGCTACTACCATGCTGCAACTACTACTACTACCACCACAACTACTACCACCACCACAAATACTACTACTACCACTAATATATATATATATATATATATATATATATATATATATATATATATATATGACTTACTGTTTAAATAAAATCTAATATATTAAAACCAAAAAATGTTTTAAATTAACTTTATAATTACATAAATAATATAGTTAACTTTTTCTAATTATATATGATGTAAGCAATTATAAAAAGTTATAATTAATTAAAAACAAATTAATCCAAATGAATTAAAAATGAACCAATTTTTCAAAATAATGATTGATTTATGATTTACACAAACATGATTCCATATATTTTAAATTCTGCATATTTAAAATTTGACTGATTTCTATAAGTAATTCCACTCTTTACACTGAATAATATTAATAATGTTTGATTACAGTCACACAACACGTCTTTACTCTTCCCCTTTTTGATCAAGCGTTAGTTTCTGCTTCAAAATAACACGAAAGTGGCATATTAAAAGCGTGAGTACTAAGAGTTGGTGTGTGTCCAATCCACTGATTAAAAACGTGACTGCGTATCCCATCATGCCTTGGCCTCCAGGCTCCGCCCCCTCCAGCCACTCTGATTAAAGCTCTATGATTGGCTCCTTCTGATTAGCGAGCGTCTGCTGGACGATTCAATCATAATTAAAGTGCTTGGCTGGAGTGAAGCGCTCATTTGGCCTCGGCTCCGACCAATCGCGCAGACTCTTTACTCGAAAGAACACTCGACTGATGAGGGCTCCAGGCGTCAAGTGAGCATTTCTGCTAACCCTCGGCTCATTCATATTCATACATCCACAGTCGAAATATGATGCAAAATGAGGAATTATACTCAAACATGCTTTTTAAACTGTTTGAAAAGATATAAGAATTAAAATTTGAAGGACAATACTAATAAATAAAATAATTAAATATGGTTAGAATCATATACTTTATGCATAAAACACATATAATTATATAAATAAAGTTAAACCGACATGTTATTATATTTATGATACCATTTCATATCTCATATTTAGTAAAAGTATATAAGAGTATTATTATCATATTCACTAACAGAATAATAAATAATTTATATATATATATATATATATATATATATATATATATATATATATATATATATATATATATATATATATATATATATTCATTTATTTATTTTATTTATATATTTATTTTCTATTTACATATTTATATAAAATTTTTAAATATATTATATTTTTAAATAAATATATTTAAATATATATATATATATATATATATATATATATATATATATATATATATATATATATATATATATATAATTATAAGACATACTAATTCTATATAGAAAAATTTATATAGGAAAATACTAATAATGAAATGAAAATAATTAGTGCTAGATTCATATATTTTAGGCATAAAACAGATATAACAATTATATAAATGAATACACTTAAACCAGTACGTTATGCTTTTTTATACCATTAAAAAATGATATTTGCTAAAAGTATTTTAAATATTTTATTTAAAAGTAAACACAAAAGTTTATTATTATATTCACTAATAAAATTAAATCAAATGATATAACATTCTTTTTACAAATGTATATATAAATACCTTAGTATTACAATTTTACCATGATTTACCATGTTTTTGAAGAGATTAACGATATTCTTTGCAGTACTTTCCACATAAACACCATGCCTTATGAATATGCTGATCACGAAATATCCAGCCATATGTATAAAATACCATGGTATTACCATGTTTTCCCCAGAAAACATGATGAATAGTGAGTATAGTGATAATAAGTACCATAAATAGTACCAAAGTATCATCATGGTGTTTACAGGGTTGAACACAATACTATTATTAATACTGTTTTCTAAACAAGTACCTTAGTATAGTGATGGCCTCAATCATAACTAGATCCAGACAGAATCTACAGACGTTTTTTGCTATTTCTGCTGAGAATTTTGGTAAAAGTCGGCGGATTTCTGCTGAATTATTTTGGGAGTATCATAACTAAAACCTTAATATGTGACATAAAAAATAATATCTTTGAAACTTTTATTTAATGTTTAATATGCAAATCCGATTAGATTTACTTTATTTGGTTAATAAAGCAAGTCTGTCATATAATATATCAAGTAAAAAACAGAATATATTACTGTACAAACTGCATTGTACATAAATCAGATGAACATTTTCACATTAGTCAATAATATTATTAAAATTAATTTAAAAAAACAGAATAAATATAGATATACACACATTTGCTCAAGTAAATAAACAGAATTAATGATGGGCTAAAAATCTAAGGAAAATCTGCGCGTGCAGATTCCGGGTGGGCCTAATCATAACATACAGCATACCATGGTAGTGAAATTCAATGGCTTTAATATGATACACCAGAAAAAATACCACCATGTCCAAAATACCAGGGTAAAACTATATTCGTTAATAATAGGAAGAAAGGTATAAAAAAAGTACCACGAAAGTTCAGGTAACCCTGAATTTCAAAGTCAAAAAACAGTATTTTTTTACATCCTGAGGTGCCATGTTACTATCCTAAATGTTTTTTCCCAACTTACCCGGGCATCTGTCACTTTAAACTCTCGGAGGATGTACTGCGGCATGTTGTACTCCGCCATTGGATCCACCACAAAGTACTGATATCTAGCCGAGCGCTCTGCCGGCCAATACTGGTGACACTTCTCCTGCGAAAGCACGGCAAAATTAAAGTCAGCGTGAAACAAATTGCTTTTATATTTGTGTGTCGATGTGCTTCCAACTTAAATATTAAGTAGGGGGTGGGGCTTTCTTTTGTGCATCATTCCGTCATAGTAAACTAACAGTAAGAGGAGCGTGGTTAAGAAATGTAGAATTTTGGAACTGCTGGTGACGCTGTTGAGGCTTAAGGAACCCAAATTTAGTCAGACGACTGTTCATGTGGATCTCTATTACTGCACCAATTTTTAAAATAATTTTTCTGTGTTCACTTCTATGGGTTGCCAAATGAGTCCCATTCAAGAATAGGAGGCGGGGTTTGAGGATATCGTGTGCTCGCAAATTTACCATTGTACATTTTGATTTCACAAAAACTTCATTTTGGATTTCAGTTGACCAACAAAACTCACTCTGCCCATCTCCCGCAGTTTGGTCAGCATCACCACAATGGTGGAGTTGTTCTCCCACAACATCCTCCAGAAGTCCTCGGTGGTCTCCGCTAACGGCCCCTGCGTGGCTATATACGCCTTCTGTTGTCTACAGGAGAGAGAAAGTCAATCCCCGTCAAATAAACGCACAAGTAACAAGATTCGTTTATAATGATGATGATGTCGACGTACCTGTATCCGTCAATAAAGCTGGAGTTGATGTAGTCGGAGCCCTCCAGCCCTCTGATTGGCTGCAGGCACACTCGAGTGGTCTCGTACGGCATGATGTTAACCAGGCGGTTCTTGAATTTGTTGCAGGGCAGATTGGCACTTATGAATCTGGACGTGTGAGCTTTGGAGTTCGCCAATCGCTGTGGGGAGAGAAAGATTTTGGAGTTAAGTCACTTTCCTAAAAGGGAGTGGGGGGGGGGGGGGGGTGGGGGAGATGGGGAGGTAGGGGTTTGAAGGGGGGGAGTGGTTTGGTCCCACAAGAACTACATTTCCCCTTTGTTGCATTGTAACTGCCAGTAGAATCTCTGAAAATACTTAAAAGGGAGCGAAATTCAATCAATTGGCATTGCTAGGAATTCTGGGCCCCTTGAACCCCCCTGAACTGTCCCACCTGATTGGTCCATTCATCACACTTTCAGGGATTTAGTTTGTGGAGTATGCATTAATGTCTTGAAGCACTGGGACACATCATCAGCAATGTTCCCTCAGGTGATTAGACATTCTCAAAGCCAGACACCTTGGCCCAGAAGTGCCTTGTACCTATGGATTAGTATGTTGTATGGTATATGTTTGGCCAGTCTTCAATAGTTGTTCCTATTGAGTAGTAGGAACTAATTTAGTGACCCCCACCCTCCTAAAAGATTGCCCGTTTCTGTGGTGTAACCTTGGAACAAGGTACGTCTTCCACAAGGTATAGGAACTATGAAATGTGCAAACGCTCCTACTGCTAGCTAGAAATCTCAGACTGCCATTTAACCGTCCTGACCTTTTATTTTTAGTATAATGGCTCTATTCTATTCCTCTCCACCTGTTTGTCTGTTTATAAACGGGGGAGACTGGCTGACCTAGTTTATGTGCGCTTGCAGGAAACCTGTCAGCATTCGTTTCTGTAATAATCCCCCCAAATCACTTTAATTGTCCATCAGGTAGCACGAAACAGCGCTCTGGAACAACGAGGAAAGTCATGCCGAACTTTTGGTGGCAATTTGGTGAGATGGGTCAATGCTGCATTTTGTATTCATGTGGCGACAGGACGCCATCGTTTTGTACACAGACCATCCACCTCGTACTCTTGTGTCATGATCTAAATTAGAGCTTGTAACCATCAATTAGCATCAACCGAGTCACAGTACCCGCAACTCTTCTCCGTTTCTAGGTCAGTTGTCTGGAAGGATTGTCTCCTTTTAACAGGACGAGCCTGGCACATCTAGAAACTGTGCCGCACTCGCGCTCTCTCTCTCCTCTGTTCTGCCAGGTAATGCCTTTGCCTGGTTATAAATCCACTCAGTTCCTGCTCCAGGCCTAGTCTTTCTCGCTCTCTTTCAGAAGCGGCCACTGGCTGTTTGTCTTTCTTTTGAGTCTTTGAGTAGCTTTCAAAAAAGGGAGCTGGAAGAGCATGAGGCATTCCGGTGGGAAGCGCCAGCCATGAACCGAGCTGCTGAAATAATAAGCATGCACACACACACTCTTTAGCTGGCTGGTTTAGAGGGCCAGTTGAGTTTAATAGAGGTTCATGACATACTTCGCCCGCTAACCCATGCCTCTTATTAACAATAAGCCAAAATCATATCTCATGCGGTGTTGGGAAACATTCAATATTATCCTTTTACAGTGCAAGCTGTGCTAGTCTTATAAAGACAGGTATTTAAAATGAGTATAACATGGTGAAATCAATGCTGTCTAATCATTTTTTGAAATTAGCACTTATGCTAACTTGTTAGCTGACTTGTTTTGCATACCTATGATTTGCCAGCCAGCATAGTAGACCATTACCTAATTATCCTGCAAATACAATCATACCCCTGCTGAAAAATCCAGCTTAAACCAGCCTAGGCTGGTTGGCTGGTTTTAGCTGGTCGACCAGGCTGGTTTTAGAGGGGTTTTGGCCACTTCCAGGCTGGTTTCCAGCCTGGTCTTAGCTGGTCAGGCTGGGAGATGACCAGCTAAATCCAGCTTGACCAGCCTAGCCAAGCTGGGAGTCCAGCCAAAACCAGCTATATCCAGCTTAAGCCAGGCTGGTCAAGCTGGTTTTAGCTGGATTTGGCTGGTCATTTTCCAGCCTGACCAGCTAAGACCAGGCTGGAAATGGCTGGAAACCAGCCTGGAAATGGCCAAAACCCCTCTAAAACCAGCCTGGTCAACCAGCTAAAACCAGCCAACCAGCCTAGGCTGGTTTAAGCTGGATTTTTCAGCAGGGACCTCCAGCCAATTAGCTTTGCTAGAATGCACTGATGTAGCATGCTACTTTATATTTTTGTTCACACGATTAGCACTTTCTAACTAACCTGTACATTTAGAGCTTTTACTAACTAGCTTGACGATTCCTTGAAAAGAACAAACTCACTCATTCACACATTGCTAGTTGTGATTTAGCTGACAGAAAATGCCAGGACTTTTCAGCTAGGAATGTTCAAAAATAGCTATGCTGCCACCTTTCTACTGAGACCTGTTAATCTAATTGGTTCTCTACCTTGCTAACGCTAGTGGCCAAAACCTGCAGGACCTCACTGCTCTCTGAGCTGGTGAGAATTACTTTGTTCCGGGCTAAAGAAAGAGACTCAAAATGACTGATGTAGCTTGAAAGAGAGAAAAAAGACTGGATAGAAGGAAAAGCTTTTCAAGGTCTCAGAGGCCAAAAACCTGCAGGATTATTTGACTTACCAAATGGAACCCGCAATCCCAATCTGCTCATTAGTCGACACATCGCTTCTCCTCAACATCCGTCTTCATTGGGTGTTAATTACCCTTCCCACAATCCCTTTCTGACCGTCATCAACTTTTAGTCTTCTAAGTCACAACTAGTGCTACACATCTGAATCCACAGGAATCAAACACAATCCCCAAAGCAGACTGTTCTTTTCTGACCTATATGGCATATTCAATTATCTTGCGCCCACATCTATGCTTGAGACAGTTACACCGTAGGACAGTTTTGCAAATTGGCTCAAAATTGATGTTTTTATAACAAAAGGTCCATGGAAATGCATATGCAACGTGATTTCAAAAACCAACCCTACTGAAAAAACCAGCTTAAACCAGCCTAGGCTGGTCGACCAGGCTGGTTTTAGAGGGGTTTTGGCCATTTCCAGCCTGGTTTCCAGCCATTTCCAGCCTGGTCTTAGCTGGTTTGGCTGGGAGATGACCAGCTAAAACCAGCTTGACCAGCCTAGCCAGGCTGGGAGCCCAGCCAAAACCAGCTATGTCCAGCTTAAACCAGGCTGGTCAAGCTGATTTTAGTTGGATTTAACTGGTCTTTTTCTAGCCTGACCAGCTAAGACCAGGCTGGAATTGCTTGGAAACCAGCCTGGAAATAAACAAAACCCCTCTAAAACCAGCCTGGTCGACCAGCTAAAACCAGCCAAACAGCCTAGGCTGGTATAAGCTGGATTTTTCAGCAGGGTAATCAGAAATGAAAGTCTCTAAAGTGTCTCTAATTGTCTTCTGGTTACCTTGAACTCCAGCTCCATGCCGCTGACATGCTCTCCTGCCTCCACCTGTGCCAGCTTCTGGATGTAGGAGAAGAGGCTTCGTGCCGCCACCTCGGTGTTCCCGCAGGCTACAGCCTCCAGGAGGGCATCGTGGATAAAGCTGTACTGGTCCTCCGTCTGCACCATGTAGTTCCTCTGGGAGCGCATGAGGGTAACATGACCATAGATGTCCACTGTCTTCTCGTGCTTGATGCGTTCTAGCATGGCATCGATAACGATGAAGCAGCCTGTGCGGCCCACACCAGCACTGAAATTAAATGATGATACAAGTCAGGGATTAGAGAAAGGTACAGGTCAATGCAATTAGGTCTTTGCCAAGGACTTTTAAAGGTGCTATAAGTTTTTGGGGTCACCAAGCTTGTTCCTGGAGGGCCGTTGTCCTGCAGATTTTAGCTCCAACCCTAATCAAACACACCTGAACAAGCTAATCAAGGTCTTACTAAGTATACTTGAAACATCCAGGCAGGTGTGTTGAAGCAAGTTGGAGCTAAATCCTGCAGGGATAATGGCCCTCCAGGGCTGAGATTGGTGACCCCTGTTCTTAAGCATAGTGAACATACTTGAACATACAAGTTAGTCTTTGAAAATGTGTCTTCCGTGTCAGAATGCCTATCTTTGTTTTGGTCTCTACAACCAGCTGAGTGACTGGTAAATAGTTTTAATTGCATAACCATCATGGACCAATGGTAGCTCAAAGGTGTTTGCGGGCCAAACAACTTTTGGGGGGAGTTTGTTTTGGCTCAGGAATACCTTTGATCTACCATTGGTTTCCGACGACTACGCAGTAGGTGGTTGTGCTCTGGAACTCTGCCATCTTTGGAACTCGAGACTATTGTGGCCCACAAGTGTTGTTCGTCAAACCCCTGCAACTGCTGGCCTTGCTACACCCGTACAGTTTTAGCCCTGCTCACACTTACCAAGCCAAAGACTGCCTTAACTTGATATGTAATTGCACTTTTTGAGAGGTGTGTGTTAGGGCATAGGGAAAGATACAAGGCTATGCTAAGACTAAGGCCCAGTTTACACTAATGCGTTTTTGTTTGAAAACGCGTAAGTTTTCCTACGGTTACGCCATCTGTCCACGCTACGCCGGAGTTTTCGAGCCCCAAAAACGGAGCGTTTTGGAAACACTGGAGAGGCTGTTTTCATTCTGAAACGCTGCAGCTCTGTCTCAGTGTGGATGTGGGACAAACAGAGACATCTGAAAACGGAGGCGGGGCTGCTGAGATTCGTTACCTGATTGGGGCTTTTGTGTCATTGCATATCCTTCCCTTATTCGTCAAGCCTATATCACATGACTATAACACATGGCTTTAACGCTACAGGAAGAAAGCAGACCCGCCTTTACTGTAAATAACAACATGGGCACAGAAATGGGAGCATTGTTTGCACTATTGTCTGTTTTAGGTGCCATTGTGCAGTTATTCATTTGTTACGTTTAATAACAACTCGACCTCGTCGTCTGTCCACAAAAATACCTCTCTTGCTTTCTTTGCCATCGCGTTCATTGCTCAACCGGTGCTTAATGACTAACAATAACCAAATGCCGAGCGAGACACATGCTTCCTGTTTATACTAGAATGCGCATGCCCAGAGTGCGCGAATGGTCACGTGATATATGTTTTTGGTGGTGTAGTGTGGACGGAGAGCTGTAAAGAAACGCTCGCTAGTGTGGACGCGGATCGTTTTTGATCTAAAACTCTGTTTTAAAACTAAAACGCACTAGTGTAAACAGGGCCTAAGTCTTGGGAAGACAGTAAACTAGGAAAGAACAGATTTCAGACCTGCAGTGGGCGATGATGGGTCCGGCATCCGGTGGATTGCACGTCTTCACCCTCCTGAGGAAGGCCAGGAATGGAGTAGGGTACTCGGGAACGCCGTGGTCCGGCCAGGCGGTAAACTGGAACTGTCGAACCTCTCGCTTTTCACTGGAACCATTCTAGAACAAGAAGCATTAGGTGGTTGAATGCATTGCAGAAAAAAGAATCTAGCCCTACTTCTAGTAATGCACGATTTAATTTTGGTAGCCCGAGATCCTTGTTGTTCAAGCGCCAACTCAGAGTCATAAACATGCTATTTCGATGCATCGACTTGTCTTCTGCGGTATATTTAGATGCAAACAAACAAGTCTTCCACGGAGGAGATTTGGGTAAAAAGAGGGAGAGACATCAGTGTCCTGCTAGTTCTAGCTGTTAGCCTTTATTTCTCATCCTGGACGTCTTTAAAGGGAGGTTTTGCATTTCAATGTCGCTGCTGTTCCAACAGAGGCTCCCTCTGAATAAATGAATAAATAAACGATGTAATTAAGAGCAAACTGGCCCAGTTTTGCTGGATACTTTTTTTTCCTCCGGCTGTCTTCTGCAGGCTGTGTTACTCTGCAGTGGATGGGCTTGTGCAGGATTGTTTTTAAGAATTCATGACTCTGGGTCGACTGTGTATGTGCGTCTGCAGGATATGCGCGCACATAAATACACCCCACTGTTCCAGCGAGACAGTGTGTGTGTGTGTGTGTGTGTGTGTGTGAGGCTTGTAAGCAAACTCTCACTATTCAGCCTAGCAATGCAATACCACAAACTGTGGTGCAACAAAAACACACCTCATCCGTATTCAAAGATATCCCAATGGTAAAGACACAGTCATACGCCAAAATAAGACATTATGTCTACTCTAGGCTGTCCAGGAAGACAATTTAATTGCTTATTCATTGCTCTGGATCTCTTGAGATCTCTTCTGAAACTTGTGGATTACTGAGGTTAGTCTTTCTGGGGCAAATCTGAGAAGGTCCAATTACTGTCCGTGCCGTCTAGGAGAATCAATTGAGATATCGAAGAGATCTCATTTCTCTTTCCTATGGGTTTAAATGCAAGCTTCATCCCGTAAGCGCGGACACACTCTTCATGTCCGTACGGCAGTCTCTGTTTAATCAATGCTGCGGCTCATGTCTTACGGGCGCCCTTCACTACAGTAAAAGCTCAATCCATTTTAATTCACGTTACGGTCTGACCGTGCAACTCGCTGACCCTTCTACATTTCTCTCCCTCACTCCCGACCACTTCATGTTTACTTGACCGCTGCGCCGTCTGGGATGCCAATTTTACATGGAGTCATTTTGCTCTGGCCACTTAGCTAAGTGCCTCTCTTTGGCAGGCGCAACATTAAAAGATGATGGATGTGGAATGAGGAGATTATAAAAACATGGTGTACGCGATGGAGATGAGAACGCGGGAAGGGCTTTGAAAAATGCTCCCGTTTGCCTCAACCGTTTGCAATCATCTCAGTTGCATATATCTGTCAGGGCCTGAAAGAAACTCCAGAATGAGCCCTTAAACGAGGGATATAAGAGGGCCATGCACAATGCTAACAGAGGGAGCGCATCTGATCTCATAAATGCTACTCTGTAGATCAGGGCGTGTTCAGAAAGGGGCAAGTTGCTGTTGTCGGAGCTCCAAAACACCCACCTAGAGGTCTCTGACAATCCTGCAAGACCTTGATTAGTTTTAATTAGGGTTGGAGCCTAGCTCTGTAGGACTACTGGACTCCTGGAGTAGGATTAGGCATCCCTGCTGTTGTTCGACTCAAATCTTTTAAACAAGAGGCACTACTCAGAGTTCCCAAATGTCAAATCCTCTGACTTTCACTGACAAAAAAGCTGAATTTTCATGACTTATTCCACCTTATTTTTCCATGTGTGGCTCAGATTTCCAGTCTGAGCAGGCACAAAACAATGTAGTATTTTATCAATAGTTAAGTGACTACTGTTAATAAATGGAAAAGGGATGACCACACAAACATGGGCGCTTTCAAAACCGTAGATTTCCTTCATGATTTGGCGAGCCAACTAGGGTCCTTAAAACTGAAACTTTTTGATCAACTCATGTCAGGGTGAAGACTTTCAAAAACCCCGGGGTCAGTGTAGTCATGTAGTTTTTGGCTTGTCCGCGCCATCATTTCCATTATTAGATTGTGCACTGTTGATGCAATTGCACGTCTGTGCATGGCCACTGTAACCAAAACTCTTCTGCTAATAGCGGCACTAACGGGGGTTGTTGACATTCCATCGGAATTACAATTTATTGAGGCTTCTGATTGGCCAACATAACTTTACTATGGGAAGTATATCGCCACCTGCTTTTGAGCGTGGATGTCAAATAGACGTCAGTTTGACTTCAAGGTAGTTTACGAGCATCATTGGGAGACAAAATACAGCGTACATTTGTAACTGAAGCTGTCAGATGAATGAAACTTTCCTTATATTACAATACTTTCGTGTCGTCATTTTAGAGGTTAAAAGAGCATCAATGTGTGGATGTCAAATAGACGTCAATACTTTGACATCAAATCGATGAACATGCTTTCGTTCTTAAAACGAAGGTAAAATTCGGACAAACAAAACTCCCTGACTTTCAATGTCTAGAATAGACCATATAAAATGTAATGATATTCCAGAAATTCCATGAGAATTCCTTTGGAACCACTTTTAATCTAAGATTTGACTTAAAAAAATATACCAAGTACTGGAAAAAATGGTCTGAATATGTCATTGTAAATAATTTGTGACAATGTACGTCAAACGTATCATGACTTGATTCTGTAACTCTTCCGACAACCACTTTTGTTCTGTTTTTTTTCCCTCTTCTCTAAATAAAATAATAAAAAAAAAGAAAAAAAAGAAAGAATTCCTTTGGAACCCGGACTATTATTGAAATCTTACCTTGTGCAAGGAGAATGTGCGCACACAGAAGGTGGCGAGTTCGATAGTGTCCAGAAGAGTGACTTGGATCATCCCGTAGGTCTCCGTCCCTCTACTTGGCCAGTACTGGTCACACTTTATCTGCAGGAAAGTGAGGGATCATTAGCATACCAGACATCTTTGATGTGGGCAATCTTTTCTCGGAGGCCACTGACTCAAATTCACCTAGATATTTCTATGCAAATACCTGCCAAATTTCAGTGCGCCAAGCAATTATAGAGCTACCGAACTAAGCCACACATATACCCTGCTCATTTTCAAGGGTCAAATAATCATCTAGAAGCTAACCAAAGCTTGGATTTTGAACACTTTGGGATTTTTATTCTAGTTTTAAAAATGAATAACATTTTACAATAATCAGAAGAATGTTGTTAACAATATTACCCCCTATATGCCCCCCCCTCCCCACATTTTACCAATCCCGGTGCATATCAGGAAATACAGGATAAATATAACTTAGGCCAACCAATTTAGTCGTATGGGATGCATTCTGACATTCTCAAAATAAGATGAGGGTTATTTGTGCAAGATGATGTAACATATACAGTAAAATGCCTGTTTTACCATGGCTGGTCCATGCTGATGACAGTTCTAGGTACAGTGTTTGCAGTAGGGAATATAACCAGTGCTTAACAGAGATCACCAGGGGGTTTCCACCTTTCAACACAACATGATGTGAATAGGGCGAGGCAGTGGCGCAGTAGATAGTGCTGTCACCTCACAGCAAGAAGGTCGCTGGTTCGAACTTCGGCTCAGTTGGCGTTTTTGTGTGGAGTTTGCGTTCGCCTTCGCGTGGGTTTCCTCCAGGTGCTCCGGTTTCCCCCACAGTCCAAAGACATGCGGTACAGGTGAATTGGGTAGGCTAAATTGTGGATGTTTCCCAGAGATGGGTTGCAGCTGGAAGGGCATCCGCTGCGTAAAAACTTGCTGGATAAGTTGGCGATTGACCCCAGATTAATAAAGGGACTAAGCCGTCAAGAAAATGCATGAATGAATGAGGTTGAATAGGTCGAATAGAACTGCGTGCCACGAACTTTAGGGAAAATTGAGAGTTGAGATATTTTTGGATTCCCAAAACACATGTAACAGCTATCTAGTCAACTTACAAAAAGACACCTTGGATTCTTGAAATGAATAGCAAGACTCATAACAGTCTGATTTCCCAAATAAGGTTCGCACCTGCAAAAAAATCGCAAACTCTTCTCGACTTCCCACGTCAGATCAATTACCCTGCCGTAACGTTTTCTTCCTCCCACTGACACCTGGCACATTGACAGACCCCCCGTCTGCCACAGTCCTAATAAAGATTCACTCAATAGGGAGCATGGCGAGCAGTCGGACTGCCCCCCCACCCCTCCAAAGTGCCCTGATGCGATGTGACAGCTCGCTGCTTCAGAAATGTGCAGGTTTAATGTGTTCTTTGCGCTTATGCTGCAGATTGAACGGCTCACTCTGATCGCATCTGACAGAGCTCTAATACGCCATGTGCCGCCCGCTAAGACGGGGCATCCCGAGTTATTGACGGAGTTCGCTGAGCCTGACAGTCTAGGGGTGTGACGGGATCGTCTTCAATGAACTTCTGGACGTCACGGCTGAGCGAGTCTTCAATATTAGGCCTTCTCAACTTCTGTCTCGAACCACTTCTCGATGGAGCTGAGGGATGATTCCCGGGTTGTTATCGGAGAGAGCCCCATTCTTTATTTCCTTTCATTTTTCTCCATGCTTTTTTGCCCATTCATTCAAGCGGCAATGGCATTTCAGCTGGAATAATGTCAATTTGTTCGGTATGAAGCTCGGTCTTTTTTAACAAGGCTAAAAGAGAGACAGCCTATTATCTTTTTAGGGGCTATTAGCTCTCTTCCCACAGCCTAGTGATCTGTCGAGCTAGACTGTATTTTAAAGGTATCACCAGACACAAAGGTCGTTTCTTTTGGACAAACCGTAATTTCAAAGAGACCAGCTGAGGCTGAATATTGACTAAGGGGCGGGGCTTTTTCTTTTTTTACACATAATTCCCTCATAGTATACTAATGGTAAAAGGGGCGTGGCTAAGAATATTGTGGTTGAAGCGTCAAGGAGGAAGAGCCAATCCAAATACAGAAGCAAATGTTCAAACTTGATTGAAGATTAATTGTTTTGTCCAATCAATTAACTTGAACAGATTGTTTAACTCAAGAATAACAATGGGTACTAACAAAACGAACATTGTCAATTTTGATTTCGCACAGACTTTAAGTGGAAATTGAACTCGTCACAATACTATATGTTATCGCTACCTTTAGCCAGCGATACAATATGTTTTGAGTGAGTTATTGAAATATCTATCGGAATATAATATATGATGTAATGTTTTTGTCAATAAAGTAAATAAGTGTATTATATAAACATTAAAACACATTCTGTGTCAGACACAACAAAAAATGCGCACTTGTTTTTTAACATAATATAGAAAATTAAATATTAGGCAAATTAAGAGATATAGGTGATCAAGTAGGACATGACTATGACAAGATTCCTGTGTCTTAAATTAGCTGCAACTGCTGTTTTGTTGTTGCATCACGATGGTAAAGAGGTTAAAGAGAGTAAACAAAAATACCGGAATCCATGATACTGAAAATATGTAGCTGAACGCGAAAATGTGGAGAGTGCCAAAATAAAAGTGCATTTTAAGGTATTGATATTTCACGCAAATTATCGATACATCATGTAGTTCCTCAATTAATTAATATATCAATAACTACACCCCTATTTATAGGTGTTAATTTTAAAGTAGGTTTATTAATGTTCTATTATTAATAACAGCTTGCAGATATTATTAACAAAGCTAATAACTATTAACAATACTTATAACCATACTCAAGCAATCTAGCGCCTAACGGCTACAAAGTCATTTACTATCGCATTTAAAAGAAATTCAGTTAGTGGTGTTTATGTTAGTCTTATGTTAGTCTGGTTTTCCTTATCCCGAGGTCTCCATAATCTTGGACCAGGCTGTATCCTGAGCAAATGCTCTGGTGTTCATGGAGAAGTGGTAAGCATGGGACTGAATCCTGAAAGACCCCAGTCACAGATGAGTCTCCTAATTGATATCGTGGGACAGCCTGAACACCCGCTGGTGACCTACTCACACCTGCAGCTTCCTCACGATGGACATCCAGTGTTCTCCAGCTTCTGGTGCCTAGACCGCAGCTCTGCACAAGACGTTTGGTCAGAAGAAAATTGGTCCCAACTATGCCTGGTTTCCGTTAAGGTTTTTATTTCCTTCACTTTTGTCAATTGGTGAAGTTTTGATCCTCGCCACTGCGACATGTGGAGCTGCGCATCAATGGATTTGCTCTTCAGTGTTTGCACTTTCAGCAGTGAAAATAAACCACACTGACCTGAACGTCAACTCTGAAAACTGGACTGACACAGTTTCATTTTACTAGAGAAATAAAGAGGAACTGGAAAAGATGAATCGTTTACTTTGTAATTGAGTGTTTTCTCTTCTTTTTGTTTTTCTATTTATTTATTTTTGTACATCACTTGGAGCAACCCTGGTTGTAAAAATGTGCTTTAAAAATAAACTCATGCTGTCACTTTTCTTACCCGTGACTTTTCCTCCAGCCTGGTCATCATGACCACCGTTGCAGCTCGCTGCTCCCACACCATCCTCCAGAAGTCTCCGAAGGTTTCCGGCAGTGGTCCCTGCGTGGCTATATATGCGTTCTGCTTCCTGTAGCCGTCGATGTAGTTGGAATTGATATAGTCGCTACCTGTGATTCCTTAAAACAAAGCATGAAGCAAACCTTGAAACACGACAAAAACACTTACAAAAAGGCAATTCGGTTTTGCTATTTAATATACATGACATTGTGTTTTGATAGTAATCTCATCCACATAGTACAGTAAACTACAACATCAAAAAACACAACAATGGAAATCGTGATTATTTTCACGTCAAAACAACATCAAAGTGTCATCTGAGACTGGCGTCAAAAAATACGTCAAAAATCAGGACTGTCCTGTAAATGGATCATTGACAATAATGTTAGATGTCAATTTGACCTCATCATGGTAGCTTACATGCACTAAAGAAGACAAACTCTACTGTACATTTGTAATTAAACTGTCAATTTCGGAGGTCAGAAGAGCGTCAATGTGTGGATGTCAAATAGACGTCAGTCTGACTTCAAGGTAGTTATCAAGCATCATTGGGAGACAAAATACAGCGTACATTTGTAACTGAAGCTGTCAGATGAATCAAACTTTCCTCATAATACAATACTTTCGTGTCGTAATTTTAGAGGTTAAAAGAACATCGATGTGTTGATGTCAAATAGACGTCAATACTTTGACATCGAATCGATTAGCATTTTTGATGTGTTTTTTGATATCTGTTTGACATTAAACTGCTTGCTGGGAAGTCCATTTAGATTAATATTCTGACAAGTATTAATTCAAGCGGCCCTCATTCGATATGCAAAAAGGATAGCCAATCATAACAGAGCATAGTCTTAAAGGTACAGTAAAGGCACATATATCTTGAAAGTTTGTCTCGGAAAGCAACACTATAGCTGCTTTTGCCACATAACAATATGAGTAACATTAAGAGTTGACTAAAATAGTGTACTTCGACACTCCTGTTTCCAGACTGTTCCAAAATGGCTAAAATACCTCAAAAATCAGGATGGTCCTGTACATGGATTCATGGCAATAATGTTAGATGTCAATTGGACATCAAGGTAGTTAACATGCATTGTCGGAGGACAAACTCTAGTGTACATTTGTAATCGAAGTTGTCAGATGAATCAAACTTTCTTTATATTACAATACTTTCGTGTCATAATTTCGGAGGTCAAAAGAGCGTCAATGTGTGGATGTCAAATAGACGTCAGTTTGACTTTAAGGTAGTTTACGAGCATCATTGGGAGACAAAATACAGTGTACATTTGTAACTGAAGCTGTCAGATGAATGAAACTTTCCTTTTATTACAATATTTTCATGTCGTAATTTTGGAGGTCAAAAGAGCGTCAATGTGTGGATGTCAAATAGACGTCAATACTTTGACATCAAATCGATTAGCATTTTTTACGTGTTTTTTGACATCTGTTTGACATTTAGGTGCTTGCTGGGAAGTCCATTTAGATGAAGATTCTGACAAATATTAATTCAAGTAGCCCTCATTTGATATGCAAAAGGATAGCCAATCATAACAGAACAAAGTCTTAAAGGTGAAATAGAGGAACATATATCTTGAAAGCTTGTCTAGCAAAGCAAACTTTAGCTGCTTTTGCCATAAAACAATATGATGTGAGTAACAGTATAGTACTTCGACACTCCTGTTTCCAGACTGTTCCAAAATGGCTGAAATACGTCACAAATCAGGACTGTCCTGTACATGGATTTTTGGCAATAATGTTAGATGTCAATTGGACATCAAGGTAGTTAACATGCATTGTCGGAGGATAAACTCTAGTGTACATTTGTAATTGAAGCTGTCAGATGAATCAAAATTTCCTTATATTACAATACTTTCGTGTCATAATTTCGGAGGTCAAAAGAGCGTCAATGTGTGGATGTCAAATATCCGTCAGTTTAACGTCAAGGTAGTTTACGAGCATCGTTGAGAGACAAAATACAGTGTACATTTGTAACTGAAGCTGTCAGATGAATCAAACTTTCTTTATATTACAATACTTTCGTGTCATAATTTCGGAGGTCAAAAGAGCGTCAATGTGTGGATGTCAAATAGACGTCAGTTTGACTTTAAGGTAGTTTACGAGCATCATTGGGAGACAAAATACAGTGTACATTTGTAACTGAAGCTGTCAGATGAATCAAACTTTCCTTTTATTACAATATTTTCATGTCGTAATTTTGGAGGTCAAAAGAGCGTCAATGTGTGGATGTCAAATAGACGTCAATACTTTGACATCAAATCGATTAGCATTTTTGATGTGTTTTTCTGATATAGCTTGACATCAAGGTGATTGCTGGGAGGTCCATTTGGATTAAAATTCTGACAAGTATTCGTTAAAGTGGCCCTCATTTAATATGCAAAAGGATAGTCAATCATAACAGAACGAAGTCTTAAAGGTACAGTAAAGGCACATATATCTTGGAAGCTTGTCTTGCTAAGCAAAACTTTAGCTGCTTTAGAAACAAACCAATCCGCTTGTTAAGTGGTGACGTGTTTGTGACGTATGTAATACTGTTTCAAGGTCCAAGCTGCCATTCATTTGAGAGGAGAAATCATTCGTTTATGATCACGTTTTATTCCTATCACACATTAAAGTTAATTTTATATAAAATCATAGTGTACACAACAATCTCTGGGCTCGCTGCTTAACAAATACCAAAAATTTAACAATTTATAAAAAAATAATCACTTTCTGGCCATCGGATATTAGGCATGGACATATATACTGCGATCGTGATTTTCGAAAGTATTAAATCGCTTTGTAAACATTTATTATTACCATTTCATGAGTCTCCCTATTCAGTTGAATAGAGAGCTTGGACTCGGAAGCCGCTTCGCGTGACGTCACACTTAACAAGCGGATATGAGTAACAATAGGAGTTGACTACAAAAGTGTACTTCGACACTCCTGTTTCCAGACTGTTCCAAAATGACTAAAATACGTCAAAACTTTTCTGATATTACAACATTTTTGTGTCGTAATTTTGGTGGTCTCAAAGGCACCAATGTGTGAATGTCAAACAGACGTCAACATCTAAACATCAAACCGATTTGCATTTTTAGAGGTGCCTGCTGGGAAGTCCATTTAGATTATTATTCTATCACGTATTCATTAAAGTGGCCCTCATTTGATAGTCAAAAGGATAGCCAATCAAAACAGAGTAGTCTTAAAGTTACAGTATAGAGGCACGTACAGCTGGGCATCTTGTTTCGCAAAGCAACAAAGCAATACAAGTAACATTAAGAGTTGACTGCAGAAGTGTACTTCGATACTCCTGTTTCCCGACAGTTCCAGAATGGCTGAGCATTGAGTCCCTGAACTAGTGAAAAACTTGCAACCCCACTAACGTGATATACAGTCACAGTCTGGTAAGAGGCTATTGCAGAGCTCGTGACAGATATCCATCATCGAAAATAATCCCCAAGAAAGAAAAGCCATCTAGCTCCCTTCACTGCCTTTTTTTTCCTCCTCGCTTCCTTCCAGCTTTTTGCAGCTCTCCGAGGGCCGGCCGACAGCATCCACTGCAGCTGATTTAGGGCCAGATGCTATACGATGGAATTAGGCTGGACTAGGAGTAAATCAGAGAGCAGAACCCACGCCGGACCCCGTCTCGCTCTCTTTCTGCCATCGCTCTGGGCGGCTCGCAGTAAATCTCCCGTAAAGCAGCCAAACATTCTACCGCCTAAGCTCGGGATCCATGCGGCGGCGGGAATAGAGGTAAAGCCCTTGTGTGCCACTGCTAGACGTAACATTCTTGTGGTCTACATCTCTCGAAACCACTACTGTGGACTTGGTCCAAACAAAAACAGGATCCCAGGGTCTTCAGGGGTAGTTCTGGGTCTGTGATCACCAGTGTTAATTTCGTTAACGAAATAATGATGAAAAATGTTTGCTGATAGCGTTTTTTGGACGACATGGATATCATTGGATACTAACAGTGACAAAAAATTCAATTTTGTATAGACGACACTAAAAACGTGACAGTACACAATCTTTTTCTAGTTATTTTGCAAGATACTAGTGTTTAGTTAAATATCAACTTAAAGACTTAAATAGGTTAATTAGGCAAGTTAAGAGTATTAGGCAAGTAATTGGACAACTGGTTTGTACGGTAGACCAGGGGTTCCCATCAGAGGGGTCCCGGCCCACAAGAGGGCCTCAGCGAGCTCTATGGGGGGTTGCGTCATATTTAAAAAAAATCCTTAGCAGTGGGCAATTAGGAGAATGATCATGTTACCGGGTCGCACAAGAAATTATAAATTATTTTAGTTTGATTTATTATCCGAGTCGGAACGATCTTTTATTTTGAAAAATGACCGTATTCTCTCGCTTACATCTCGGTTACTTGAGTGCCCAAATTTTACCCACATACTAGCAAAATAAGTAAAAAAAACAGACATCTTTGAAAAGTTTCTTTGCGAAGGGGAAAAGGCCCAGTAATTGACTCATGAACTGCCAAGGGGGCCTCAGCGAGGTCTGTGGGGGGGTCGCGTCATATTTTTAAAAAATACACAGCAGTTTGCAATCAGGAAAATGATCTTGTTGCCTTAGTTTTATCCTCAAGCTTAGAACAAACACCGGTCTGTGGATCAATTGGTACCGGGTCGCACAAGAAATCATGAATTATTTTAGTTTGATTTATTACCCGAGTCTGAACGATCTTTTATTCTGAAAAGTCTTTTATTTTGGAAAATGACCGTATTATCTCGCTTACATCTCGGTCACTTGAGTGCCCAAAATTTAACCCACAATCTAGAAAAATAAGTAAAAAACAGACATCTTTAGAAAGTTTCTTTGCGAAGGGGAAAAGGCCCAGTGAACGACCCATGAACTGCCAAAGTATGGATTTGCAACGCATTTTCCAGCATATCAGGTGAATGACCATATGGCTCTCCAAGAAGATCAACAGATGGAGATCCCAAATGATGCCGGCCTTTTAGGGGCAGTTCACATATTGCGTATTTCTAGAGTTTGCAGCTTGTGCGCACAAGTGGCGTGACACACTACATTGTTGCTCTACAATAACACTTCTGAAATGCTAGCTGGCAGGTTTTTACGGCTCTCAGTGTCGGGTTTTTTGGCTGGTGTTTTGTTATTTCTGAACGCTACCTTAACGTACAAGTCGCTAAAACTCGTTCAATCAAAGGCGGGAACCGGCTGACGTGCAACAACTTTAATCATAAGGTAAAAACAAAACAAAAGTTTCAATCTGGAGCTCCTTTATGGCACTTGTAAACACCCGCTTTAACAGGTTTGGGCGGTTCTTATTCCCGCCCACACTCGTAATTGCTACCAAGCAGACCAATCACAGAGCTTGCACTGCGTGTCTTTGCTACGTTACATTTTTTGAAAGGCGCACTTCAGCATTAGTGTCAGCATCGGCGTCAGCCACCGGGAGGGGTATGTGACGTGAAGGCTGGGTTGGGGCATACTCGTGTGCATGACTTGGTTAAATATAAATCAATAAGTATATCTCAGCCTTAAAACTAGTCCAGTAAATATGGCTAAAATTATATACTAATTTAATCCAAAGTCTAAGACTAAAACCAAATTTGCTTCCAAAATGAACTCTGGTGACCGCCTCTCCTCAATGAACGGCATGATTGGACATGTCATTTGTGTATTTAGCACTAACAGCATAGGAGGAAATTATGCAACAAGGCTCAATACTTAAGGTTAGGGGAGGTTTAGCTCAAATCCCCACAGTAGGAGCAAAGCGCCATTAATTCTCTGAAACAAGTCGCTTGTAATTACACTCGGAGTGCATGCTCGCTTCAGACCCCTGGCAAAATAACCTACGAGAGGCATATTTAATTGTACAGTTTATCCAACACAAAGGCTTCAATCACAAACACAGGCCCGCGGTGCTAAATTGTTGTTTTCGTGCTTTAACATCGAACAATGAAACACTTGGCCGTGCTCATTTTCTAGCCCCCGCTACGTCTGAGAAAAAAAAAAAAAAAAAGGCAAAATTAGCAATCAGGGGGAATAAAAAAAAGGAGAATGCCATTAAAAGCCTCTTCCCCGTCTCACAAAGCGTTCGCGGGAGTGTTTGGCTTTAGTCATAGCTAAGTGAACAGAGCACGGCTGCCTGCACGAATTGTTCCGCCGCTGTGTCTAATGGCGAAATCACTGCACTGTAAAATGGAAATTTCGAACTTGATTAATTTATGCATTCATGGGCGCTGTCTTTGTGATGATTCTGTTACGCCGTGTTATTGCTCATCTAAAATTGGGTCGTGGTGAACTGTGCCGAAAATCAAGGTGACGCGACGACAAGGGAGGGATCCTGGGGGGGGGAAACACAACTGTAAACAGCACAAGGGAGCGTCGAGGATTGAACATCGCCTCTGGATGGAGGGGGAAAAAAAAAGATGGGCGTTTAAGCAACATAAAAGCAGAATCTCTACTGGTTTTCCACTGACATTTTATGTTTCATCTGAATGCTCGACAGCTTCTATAGCTCTTTAGGGATATATCTGTGCACTATACCAATTGCACACAAATTTAGACTGCTTGTGAATTATTGGATGTGTTTTTCATGTGTGTGTGTGTGTGTGAAGACAATAAAATAGTGTGGGAAGGGAGGAAAGCAAACTGCTGGTAACCCTTTACTTGAAGGGGGGTTTATAAGACTGTCATGACACCTTTATAATCATTACATGTCATGGATATGACGATTCTATGCATGCTGGAGCTGTCTTCAGGTGTCATTCACTCAGTAATTGTCATGACAACTTGGCATTAGCAGACACATCATTACCTAATCTTTGTTTCACGAGTTCACACTCGTGATATTTGCCTGAATAGAATATGCGTATTTGGCGTGCTGTCCGGGGAGAGAGCTCTGAGCTCGGGAAGACACCCTAACTTGTGTTATTCCCCTTATCAGGATAAAGAGAGCTAGGGTGCGAGCGCAGTGTCTAGCTCGGCTCCAGAACGCTTCCCCCTTCAGATTTAAATAGGTATCTGGTTTAATAGTGTGGAGTTGGGGTGGTGGAGGGACGCTGAAGTCAAGAGATCACGGAGGTAAGACATGTTTGACTATTTATAGGAGTTTGCTCTTGAGCTGATTGGATAACAAAATGATTGTGTGTGTGATAAATTAGCCTTGTTAAAGACTGATCGTACTTTTCCACACATTTGTTTATAGAACATCAATTAGATTGGACTATGGCTTTTCAATACTTGGCTGCCCCATCCCGCTCTTCGATACCTGACGATGCTTCCCCCTGCTCTTCAATATTGGTCTACAACTCCCCCCACCAGGCTCTTCATTACTGGTCACCTCACCCTGCATTTCAATACCTAATGTTGCTTCCCTCCAACCCCTCCCCTTGCTCTTCAATACCTGACGGTGCTCCCCATACGCCCCTACGCTCTTCAATACCACTCTTCAAAACGTAACTCCACTCCCCCACACTCTTCAACAGTGGTCTCTCCAACCCCCCATCCCACTCCTCAATACCTGACGGCCTTGCCCCCAACCCTTTCTGCTGATCACTACCTAACAGTGCCCCCCCCCCAACAGTAATACCAGTCTTCTCACCCCACTCTTCAATACCTGCCGGCGCTTCGCCACACTCTTCAATACCTGACACTACTCCCCACAACCCCCATGCTCTTCAATACTTGACATCACTCCCGAACCCCAACACTCTTCAATACCTGACAGCACACACCACCCCCAACACCCTTCAATACCTGCCGGCGCTCCCCCAGCACTCTTCCATGCCTGCTGGCCCTCACCCCACTCTTCAACACCTGACAGCACTTCCCACACCCCAATGGTCTTTAATACTTGACAGCACTCCCCACCCTCCAACACTCATCAATACCCGATGGAGCTTTCCCCACTCTACAATACTTGACAGCAGTCCCCAGATCCACCATGCTCTTCAATACTGGTTGCCCCATCCCCCCACATTCTTCAATACTGGTCTCCCCCAACCACCCCACCTGGCTCTTTAATACTGGTCGCCTTACTCTGCTCTTAAACACCTGACAGACCCCCCCACCCCCACACACACAATTTTTAATACCTGACAGCAGTCCCCACACCCCCATACTCTTCAATACCGGTCAGCCCAACCCCCCACGCTCTTCAATACCGATCTCCCCCAGGCCCCTACCTGACTCTTCATTACAGGCCCCCACTTGACTCTTCACTCCTGCTCTTCAATACCTGACGGCGCTCCCCTTGCTCTTCAATACCTGACAGCAGTCCCCCACACCCCCCTGCTCTTCAATACCAGTCGCTCCAACCCCCCAGACTTTTCAATAACGGTCTCGCCAGCCCCCCCCACCCAAATCTTCCAATACTTTTCGCCTCACCTCGCTCTTCAATACTTGACAGCAGTCCCCAGATCCACCACACTCTTTAAAACTGGTTGCCCCAACCCCTCACATTCTTCAATATTGGTCTCCCCAACCACCCCACCTGGCTCTTTATTACTGGTCGCCTTACTCTACACCTGACAGATCCTCCCCCCACCCCCCACACACAATTTTTAATACCTGACAGCAGTCCCCACACCCACATACTCTTCAATACCGGTCAGCCCAACCCCCCACGCTCTTCAATACCGATCTCCCCCAGGTCCCCACCTGACACTTCATTACAGGCCTCCACCAGACTCTTCACTCCTGCTCTTCAATACCTGGCGGCGATCCCCTTGCTCTTCAATACCTGACAGCAGTCCCCACACCCCTCTGCTCTTCAATACCAGTTGCTCCAACCCCCCACACTTTTCAATACTGGTCTTGCCAATCCCCCCCACCCGAATCTTCCAATACTTTTTGCCTCACCCCGCTCTTCAATACCTGACAGCAGTCCCCACACCCCCCTGCTCTTCAATACCAGTCGCTCCAACCCCCCACACTTTTCAATACCGGTCTTGCCAATTCCCCCCACCCGAATCTTCCAATAGTTTTTGCCTCACTACGCTCTTCAATATCTGACAGCAGTCCCCACACCCCCACACTCTTTAATACAGGTCACCCCAACCCCCCACACTCTTCAATACTGATCTCCCCTGCTCCCCCACCTGACTCTTCAGTACTGGTCACCTCCTCCTGCTCTTCAATACCTGACAGCTGCCCCCCCCCGCTCTTTAATACCAGTTGCCCAAACCCCCCACACTCTTCAATACCGGTCTCGCCAATCCCCCACCCGAATCTTCAATACCGGTCGCCTCACCCTGCTCTTCAATACCTGACGACGCTTCCCACACTGTAAAAATGCATAAGACAGACATGAATGGTGATCCTCCCAAATGCACATGCTAGCTCTATCCATCACACTGAAAGAGATTTCCGGATCTCAGCATTGAAACGAATTACAAAACCAGCCTTTTTTTTTTTTTTTTTAAAAACCAGACGTATCTGTGGGCGACAACAAAGTTCAGCCATTCCGGAACCTTCAGATGCAATTGAGACGTTTTTCTCTTCAAGAATCGGCATGTATGTGTTTGTGTGTGCAAGCTTTCCCTGACCTTCGATGGGTGCCAGGATTACGCGGGAGTGGTCGTAGGCGATGACGTTGGCGTAGCGGTTCTTGGGTTTGTTGACCTCCAGGTTGGAATGCTCCCAGGTGAACTGCTGACCCGGATCGATGGACTGTGGAGAGAAAAGCACGCAGTGAAACCAACCCTCAGGGCTTTTCCCAATCCCTCAGCATCACTGCCATGAATACTAATGCGAGAAGAGAGCGAGTTCGCATCCGCCAGAACATCAGATGAAGGTGAAGAAAAACAGAGGAGAGTTCAACGCTCAGAAAGCGAGGTTGAGTGAGGCCACGGGGCCTGGGAGAGCTAAAACTAGCGGAAGGAAAAAACAGAAATGAGAATCCTTCACAAAAGCAGCTCAGATAAACATTCGCGACAAGATAAAAGTGCAGCACATTAAAGCGTAATTAAAAGCGTCTGCTATCACTTTAAATATGCACAAGCTTTCGGGCCAGGTAAGCTTTGGCGGGACGGAGATGTGGACAGTGAATAATAGCAAAGGAAACGCTGATAAAAGAGTCTGTTGCTTCCTGTGAGGGGGTGAATTATCTGACGCCAGCAAGATAAATGCCGCCGCCTTCCCAATATGAGAATTTGGGAATAAATATTCTATTCCGCTGTCGGGGTAATTTAGTATTCCATTATGATTCTCGGGCAATGGCTGGGTCCCAGCTCCTCTAGCTTGAGGGATGTTTTCATTTAGGCGACTATCGCTGCATGCTGAATCCGGGACTAAATAACCAACAATGAGGGGTTTGATGTAACTGTTTACCCTGCCATGATTACAGGCACAAATAACAGAGCGCGGATCCTCCACAGGTCTCAAAACCAGTCTCTCTTATCATCCACCCTGCAAACCGCCCGCGGGTTTTTTTTTTAACGCGCACAGTTTGGATTGGTTTAGTTCTCTTTCCTCCAAGGCTCTGCTGTGATCAAAGAGATCACGTATGGACTGAAGCATGATGACATAATGTGGTGCTTGCTAATCCGCAGCATGCTTTTGCATAGCGCACTGCCCACATCCTTATATCTGACCAAAAGTTTACATCAGCTTCAACCTCTGATGTTTTTTTCTTCTTTTCTCTAGCCAAGCTTTCCACACACATAAATCACTGATTTAACAGCGACTATTAGCGTACTGGAACACCCAGAATATCAAGAATTTGTTCATTTTTTTTCTTCTGCAACAGCAGTACCCAATACTCTTTTATAAGCCGAGCTAAATTATGTACTTTCTAATAGGTTTAAAGGCCCGTTCACACCAAACCTAACGATAGATATAGATATATCTACAACAATACATATAAGTGTGTCCACACTGACGAACGATAACGATGTTTATTTGTAGTTTGTTGTTTTTCAACTGACTAATGAACCTTTATTTGAAGTTTGATTAATCTAGTAAGCAAGTAAGTAGTAAGTGAGGTGTATTTATATAGCGCATTTATCATGTAAGGCCATACACCCTAAGCCAGGGGTCGCTAATTTGTATTTACAACAAATACCCTTTAAAATTTAGATATTTTAGTACTGCTTCAGTGAACTTGAATACTGCGTTCACACCAGACGCGGCACGCGCGTCAATCGCGAGTGATTTACATGTTAAGTCAATGCAAACTCGCGAATAGACATCCTGCGGCCCGATACGCGCGAATGGCGCGGCGCGAATGACGAGAATTGCGCGGTGCGCATGGCGCGAATGGCGTGGCGCGAATTGAGCGTTTTGCGCGTTTGACGTGCTTAATGCGCGTTTCGGGCGAATCATTCGCGTTCGAAAATCTGAACTTCAGCGGACATTCGCGCCGCGTTAACCAATTAGGAGCTTGCTCTTGTGGGGGTGTGATTGTGACGTATCGCCTGTTGTCGGTGTCCCAGGGGAAATCCCCCAGCAGACATCGACAAGAAGTTCATCAAACTGGGCTGGGCTCAGTCAGAAGCACCGCTGAAAAATTCCATCAGCCAGGTTCAGTTTCTGGAGGAGTTTTTGAGCTTAAAGAGCTGGATGCACATCTGAAAGGATGTAGTGCACTCAGACACGGCTCTAAACGTATCGACGCTGTTTATCATCCTTCATAAAGCACATAAACACTGTTGTTTTCTTCATAAAATCCATGTTAGCCATTTAGCTATGAAGCTAGAGTCACCGGGCAGACAGAAGCCCTGCCCATCACGCGAATCCGCGTCTGTTCTGAAGTGAATTTGACATGCGAATGAAGTGGGGTTTGACGCGCAAATGAAGCGAGTAACTTCAAATGTTCACGCGGCTATTTACGCGCGAATAGCGCGAACACAGCAGAACAAGTATACTAAAATTTTAACAAATTTTATTGGTATTTTTTTTTTCATCAAAGTGTGCTTTAAATGCTTAAAAAATTGTAGACTATAAATATATGTACTATATATCATTTATTTTAAAAAAGCGAGCAATATATTATAGATTCATTTTATTTAAAAAATGTTATATTGATTTTATTTTATTTTATTTAACTATAGGGGTGCAGCCGGGTAGAGGGCCCGACAAGACAATGCGCTCAGAGGTCTCTGAATTCTTATTCCGGGCCTGTGGTTACTAAACAGTAATGTATAGTAGAATTAATAGTAGTGATAGTGATAGTAATAGTAGCATAGTGAACATGTATAGTAATCGTGCTTGGTGTGAACAGGACTTTATTCTAATTGATTAAATGTATTTTAAATATATACAGTTGAATTCAGAATTATGACCCCCCTGTTTATTTTTTTCCCAATTTCTTTTTAACCAAGAGAAGATTTTTTAAACACATTTCTAAACATAATAGTGACTCATTTCTTATCACTGATTTCTTTTATCTTTGCCATGATAACAGCAAATAATATTTGACTTCAAATATTTGGTTTCAAAACACTTCTATACAGCTTAAAGTGACATTTAAAGGCTTAACTAGATTAATTAGGTTAACTAGGCAGGTTAGGGTAATTAGGCAAGTTATTGTATAATGATGGTTTGTTCTGTAGACAGTCAAGAAAAAAAAATTGCTTAAAGGGGCTAACAATTTTGACATCAAAATAGTAAAAAAAAAAAAAATCAAAACTACTTTTATTCTAGCCGAAATAAAACAAATAAGACTTTCTCCAGAAGAAAAAATATTATCGGACATACAGTGAAAATTTCCTTGCTCTGTTAAACATCATTTGGGAAATATTTAAAAAAGAAAAAAAGGTCTAATAATTCTGACTTCAACTGTATTTTATTCAATTAATTGAATTAAAAATATTTAATTTATACTACGAAGTTAACTTGCAGTTCCATTATAAACCTCTAGGGCTTTACGCAAACATTTTGGATTTGTTTAAACAGTTTACTATTAGGACACTAACTAATATTTAATAATAAGGTGACTTTACTCCATTGTTTACTCCCTTATTGCAGGTCAGAAATTGAATATTGAGCAGTCCAGTACTCGGACTTAGCTGCTTATGACTGACTTCCCCTCATTTAGTTAGCATATTCAGCTAATGCTTATCTATATGCTAAGCCAATGTCCCCTAAAAAAAAAAAACGATAGCGTGTTGGGTCTCCTCAAGCGCGTCTGTGTTCCTGCTGGGATATCAGGTCTGGCTCCTGCTGGGAGCCATTTAAGATGGCATTAAGCCCTGAGGGGGGGTTTGATGGCAGTGCTGCCGTAGCGCATTGTGATTTAAGATGGACGACGACATTTGCTCTATGCAAATGAAGGCTGATTCAGCAATAGTGAAGACTAATCAGCACTCGCAACATTTTTGAGCCTAGCACTCCAAACCGCTGCCAAAGCATGCGACGTATGAGTAACTAGCCACGTTTCCATACAAGGATGCGAATTGAACTTGAACATTGCAGAAAATAATCAACGCCTCATTACTGAAAAAAACAGCTTAAACCAGCCTAGGCTGGTTGGCTGGTTTTGGCTGGTCGACCAGGCTGGTTTTAGAGGGGTTTTGGCCATTTACAGGCTGGTTTCCAGCCATTTCCAGCCTGGTATTATCTGGTCAGGCTGAGAGATGACCAGCTAAAACAAGCTTCACCAGCCTAGCCAGGCTGGGAGCCCAGCCAAAACCAGCTATGTTCAGCTTAAACCAGGCTGGTCAAGCTGGTTTTAGCTTTTCATTTTCCATCCTGACAAGCTAAGACCAGGCTGGAAATGGCTGGAAACCAGTCTGGAAATGGCCAAAACCCCTCTAAAACCAGCCTGGTCGACCAGCTAAAACCAGCCAACCAGCCTAGGCTGGTTTAAGCTGGATTTTTTAGCAGGGCTATTAAAATAATCACAAAATCACATTACTTTCTGATGCTCATGCTGGAATTTATTTGGTAAATGTGTTTCCATTGTAATTTATGCACATTTTACTTATCAAATTAAATGTTTATACTTCTGAGTTGTGTGCTTACATTTTTATTTGGATAAGAATAGGTGGATGTAAGCAAAGCCACTCTCATGCAACCAGAAAAACATCCCAGCGACATTCATTTATCAGGAAAACCCAATTGATTGACCATCTTTTAGAACGGCAAACAATCTTTTTGGTAACATATTCAGTACCTCGTACTCCTGGGAGAGCTTCAGGTTGTCGTTGGCCTTCAGTAGCTCTGTGTGCTCGGCTAGTTCTGAGATGGGTATGGGCGGGTGGTTCATCATACCTGCGCACCAATCAGGAGAAGACAAGATCAGTAAGATGACCACAGACAGGAATGAAGAGAGATCTCAAAAGTTGGTGGAGAATGCGGGATACTGTGTGAAGGAAGACACCCAAGCAGGTCAGACAATGAGGTGGGGACTGAAGTGAGGAACAGTGGGTGATGTTAGGACACAGTGTGACCAGGCCAGAGCTCTACATCCTCAATCCAACCAATCAGAATTGTCCTAATACAGAAATACCGAGCACGGTTATACATAAGATATGAAGGAAAGGACCTAAGGACGATTGCTAAGGTGCTACGAAACCCCCAGACCAATTACAATGATGATAGTGGGTCAAATGGTTCCTAATAGCTTTGCAATACTTCCAAGGCGATGGACTGTCTTCTTTCTCACACAAAAAATAAAAAATAGATGACCAGGATGACACTCTATACATTTGATTCGTAAGACAAACCACACGTTTGTCCTCGGCGGGCTAACAAAAGGGAAATAATGCGCATGGTTGCCTTCTTGAAACCAAACAAATCTCCTTTCACAGGAACGATAAATTGAAACAACCCCTAGGATCTGCCCTTGAGAAATACATCCATGTCTGCAGAGCTGAAACGTAATTGATTTAATCAAATACAAGATCTGAAAACTTCTACTTCACAGAGGCGAGACAGAAGGCCAGAAGCACACAAGAAGACTGAAGCTATGTACATTTTGTTCAGGGCGATGACTGCGGGAATAGAGGAGTGCAATCTAAGCTCATAGGGTCTGTACCTAAGGTTAACCCTATGTAGGGGTGGGAAAAGGGAAATGGAGTACATTGGTTCTAGAGAAATGGAAAGACTTAGGCCTAATCCCAATTCTATTTTTGGACCTCTACTCCTTGGCCCTTGAAACAGAGTGTGAAGGGCTTCAAAATTTACCCCTAAAAAATGGGACAGCACTATAGTACCTGCACACGTCATCCTATGTCATTGCAATCTCTTGCTTCATATGAGATCAGACGTTCGAGACTGCTGTAGTTATTTCAGTTGTGTTATTTTTTGTTTTTTTATCTTTAGGTAATCACTGAAAGCATATATTATGTTAAAATAACAATCCGATGCGACAATAAGATCGAAACCATACTGTTTATTTACACAGTGGCCATATTCATCTATATAAACACACAAAAAACAACATTAACGTTATAGCAGACACTGTAAAAAGCTCATTCCCAGCCACTAGACGTTTCTGACCGGGCATTTGAGTGTTATAAAATGACAGAATGTTCTGGAACTGCTATAAAGTAGTTATTATTATGGATTACAGATTTATTTTAGCATTTTTAAAAACATACATGATGGTAAAACACGAACTCCCTGGATTCGAGTGTGGTCCTGAACAATCTCTGTTTCGAGGGGTATCTAACCCTTCCTCTTAGCTCTAGGCCTTCAAGCTAAAGAGAATTGGGACAGGTAAGGAAAAGGGATAAGGGGTAGAATTGGGACCTTATAGTAAGGCCTTGGGGGTGGGGTGGAACTTTGGGGGCAAAATGTAATTATACTCAAGGGGCCCAGAGTTTATAACTATGCCACTGATCCTATTATGCTTTTCAATCTGCGCCTAACCCCGGGTTATCATCATTCTAAACACTGCTTTCAAACTTCAATCTAAAACCGGTGTTAGCACTGCATCTCCAACATTTATAAAATACCCTTACTGAAAAAAACAGCTTAAACCAGTCTAGGCTGGTTGGCTGGTTTTAGTTGGTCGACCAGGGTAGTTTTAGAGGGGTTTTGGCCATTTCCAGGCTGGTTTCCAGCATTTTTCAGCAATTCTGTTCTTAGCTGGTCAGGCTGGGAGATGACCAGCTAAAACCAGCTTGACCAGCCAAGCCAGGCTGGGAGTCCAGCCAAAACCAGCTATGTCAAGCTTAAACCAGGCTGGTCAAGCTGGTTTAGCTGGATTTAGCTGGTCATTTTCCAGCCTGACCAGCTAAGACCAGCCTGGAAATGGCCAAAACCCCTCTAAAACCAGCCTGGTCGACCAGCTAAAACCAGCCAACCAGCCTAGGCTGGTTTAAGCTGGATTTTTCAGCAGGGACTGCTCTGGAGCAGATGTCGTAAGTTTGCTCAGTGTAAAACGGAGCACTGTTAGCTTATTGCTCCAGATGCTTGGATCAGACAGCCAATCGGAAATTGAGAGTGAAGTTTACATCAGGTAAACACAGGTAAGGTTAAGTGAAAAACTTCAAAGGTAAAGAAGACGGTTGCCTGCTGCTCATTGAATCAGCAACAGTGACACTGCAAATATGTAAGAACACGCATGCTAGTGAAGCTATGCCAGCTAGTGAAGTGCTGTGCAGGTAAACCTCACTCCTCTGACCTCTAAAGGTGCTCTAGGGACTGACGCTAGAGTCCATGGTCTTTAGCCTCCTTGTTAGAGCAACCGACTCCCATGCGGAGAGTCGAAGGTTCGATCCCAGCTCGGAGGAGGTCGGGTTAGACTGAATCCATTCAGCTGATCTCTGTCCACTTTTAGCTTAGATTAGCATAGAGCATTGAATCAGATTAAATCATTGACATCGCCCTCAAAAATCTGAAGTGCAATGAATAGTTTGAGGTGCAATGACATTACACAGGACTTGAAGATAGTCTCCAGGGAACTGCGCTGGTCATTGTGCCTGCTGTAGTAATGGTGTGGCAGCAACATTTTTTTTGATTATTGTGCTAGAAAATATTTGCAGGATTATTTGCTAACCTCAGGTATAATTTGAGAAGTGAAACGGGATTACAGATAACTCAGGGGTTAACAATTTCAAGTTGTTAACTAAACTTCTCTGACCACATTTCTAGAACTGCTTGATCGTGCAGATTCGCACTCTATAACATCAGAAAGATCCGACCCTTCTTATCTGAACATGCAGCTCAACTCTTTGTTCAAGCTCTTGTTCTCTCCAAACTGGATTACTGCAACTCTCTGCTAGTGGGGCTCCCAGCTAACTCTATCAAGCCTCTTCAGCTGCTCCAGAACGCAGCAGCACGAGTGGTCTTCAATGAACCTAAAAGAGCACATGTCACTCCGCTACTCATTCGTTTGCACTGGCTGCCAGTTGCTGCTCGCATCAAATTCAAAGCTCTGATGTTTGCTTACAAAGCGACTTCTGGTTTTGCTCATCTGCTCTCACTTCTGCAGATCCATGTGCCCTCCAGAAACTTACGTTCTGTGAATGAACGTCGCCTCGTGGTTCCATCCCGAAGAGGGAAGAAATCACTTTCCTGAACTCTCGCGTTCAATCTGCCCAGTTGGTGGAATGAACTCCCTAACTGCATCAGAACAGCAGAGTCACTCGCTGTCTTCAAGAAACGACTAAAAACTCAACTATTTAGTCTCCACTTCCCTTCCTAATCTGCAATTGCCTCTCTAGATATACCACTAACTGTACTCAAAATATAAATAAATAAATAAATAAAAAATTACAAACACTTTCCTTCTTAGACTTTACAGACCTGAAACTTGCCTACAGCACTAACTCATTGTTGCTCTCATAGTTGTGTAAATTGCTTCCTTGTCCTCATTTGTAAGTCGCTTTGGATAAAAGCGTCTGCTAAATGACTAAATGTAAATGTCAAGTGTGAAAAGATCGTGATATCCTAAACCAGATATCCCCAATCCTGCTCCCAGAAGGTTCTGTACCAGCAAAGTAGGTGTCAATCCCTATCTAAACACACTTGTACTAAATCACCAAAGTTTTTAAAGATCACTAAAAACTCCCTGGCATGTTTTTGGAGCTGAGATCCACAAGAACAGAGCAAGACTGGACACTCCTGCCCTAACTCTAACCCTGTCAAGTGCGGCGTTCTGGCAGTCCGGGACTGTTTGTTTTAGTTTTGAACAAGAAAGCACACAAGCTTCTGTCTTGTGTATTTTACGCTACATTTTATAAACAGACTCATTTGCATGTCGTCTACAGTCTTGCACGTAGACGAAACATGAACTTGCCGCTCTTGCTTCTCGCAGCTCTTGGGGGAAAAATCTGGAAGGCTTCCACTCTAAACATGAGCAAGCAAGAGGTAGAAAAATACAATATTGTCTTTCCCGGGAGTAAACTTTTTTCCTCTCTTAATATTTCTAACAGCTTTCCTTTTGGCAGTGGCTTGCGATAATTTCTTTATGTAACCCTTCGCTTGAGCAATGATGGGAAATAAAGCTCTTGAGGTGGATGGCGGTGATCCAGGTAAATAGGGGTCTATTTGAGAGTTCTGGCCTGGGTTAAGATGACCCGATGACACCAGTGCAAAGTGAAGCGTCGTGTTTTCTGCTTCAGTTCAGCCAAAGCTAAGCAAGCACAGAAGCAGTCGCCCATGCTAACCCCTGCGACAACCGACAAGGACATTCCTCAAACAAGCGCTTCCAAAAAAACACGCCAGGAATCACTCTGATGTTAATCCAGTCATGAATTAGTAAAGGAGCGTAGATAAAGCAAACACATCATCAACAAGACGGATGCTAATATATAAACAGAGAGAGAGAGCCGGACTTTCTTTCACGATCTACTTTAGCGCTAGGTCAAAAGTTGGCAAAATGTTGACATCTTCCTTCAAGAGTACTGTGATTTAATTAGGCATGGATAATATGCATAATCACATTAGCCGTCCTCAATTTAACATGCAGCTTTCTCTTCTTCTCGAATATGTCTGCCACTAATGACTTTGCCTGGGTTTGATTGAGAAAGGACACTTGCTGATTAGGAGCTGACGACACAAGTGCGACGCTAACTCAACGGGATGCCTCGGAAAAGTTCTGTGCTTAAGTTTCACGGTGTTTCTCCCCAAAACAAAGCAAGCTACATTGTTAATTCTCACTTTGGCAAAAGCTAGCATGTGAGCATTTGTTGACCCTACTGAAAAAAACAGCTTAAACCAGCCTAGGCTGGTTGGCTGGTTTTAGATGGTCAACCAGGCTGGTTTTGAAGGGGTTTTGGCCATTTCCAGACTGGTTTCCAGCCTGGTCTTAGCTGGTCTGGCTGGGAGATGACCAGCTAAAACCAGCTTGACCAGCCTAGCCAGGCTGGGAGCCCAGCCAAAACCAGCTATGTCCAGCTTAAACCAGGCTGGTCAAGCTGGTTTTAGCTGGATTTAGCTGGTCAATTTTCAGCCTGACTAGCTAACACCAGGCTGGAATTGACTGGAAACCAGCCTGGAAATAGCCAAAACCCCTCTAAAACCAGCCTGGTCGACCAGCTAAAACCAGCCAACCAGCCTAGGCTGGTATAAGCTGGATTCTTCAGCAGGGGAACAAAAACGTATAGGAAATTTTCTCCAATTTGCAAAGACCTTAAGGACAAATGTTATTCTCATCAGCCTGGCCGAGCTCTTAGAGATAGTCTGGAATCGGTTTGACCCTCTTAAGGTGAACCAAGGTAATATATGCCAAAGCACTCTCGAAAACGACGCGAAGGGCAAGTTTGGCAAACAACCCGAGATCAGCCCTGCATGCTAAACGCCGACAGCCTCCATAATGCAATGAGAAAGGCCATCTCGAGTCAATCGAAACCCAACAAACTTTGAAGATTACCACTTTCCAATGTCAACTTATTCTTCAACTCTGCTCCGTGTCAACAACAATTACTCGCCTTCCATCTTTCTATTCAACATAAAGCCGTTATTTGTTTGTTCTCAGGAATTTTGTCCCTGCAAGGCGTAAGAAACAATTACATTTAATCCGAGCAGAGTGCGGGGGAAAAAAGTATTTACGAGAGAGACACTAATAAAAAAAATAAATAAAAAAAAGTCTGCTTAAGCAAGGTCCAATCGGATATAAACTCTTTCAAGGACAAATTCCTGTTGCTGTTCATTTCCTCTCGGATCCCTCTGCCAGGATTTTTTTTTTTTTACTTTTCCGTCTCTTTCTCTACCGGAGTCTTTTTATCCCTTGCAATCAAGCCCGAGATCAGTGAGCGCGAGAGAAGCAAACTGTCTAATTACATATTTTCACTCTCTTATTTGCGCTTGACAGGTGATGCAAATAACAAATCCTTTTGATATCCGCCACTGCCGTTCCAGAAACGATTCTTTGCCATTGTTCATTTACATATAAAAGGGAAAAGGCTCAGTATATTCTCCTATAAAAACAACCTCCCCCCCAAAAAAAAGGGAGCTGCTCTTTCCTCTCGCTGTGGGGCGGGAGGGATGTATCAAATGTCGGACTATTGTTTGCGGAGGGTTTAATTAATTCTCCTCGTTATCTCTGCTTGCAGAACGACCCCACCGCTGGAGGAGACTGAAATTGCGGGCTCAAGCGGAGGATGCTGGAATGCGTGGAGACCTGTGGTAAAATTCTACATCATCAGCTGCTTTTTACTGTGAATTAATAGTGCGCAGCCAACAGCCTGTAAGAACAAAGCAATCGACAAGCAGAAATAGACAACAACAACTTAAAAAGGAGAAATCAAAAGCCGTGTTACTGTTGAAAGTTAAAAGCGGTCATAATTAAGATGAAACTCCTCACTGGATTTGCATTTTCCCTTCCCGCAGATGCATAATGCAGAATAAATGTCTAGGAAGTTTTGTCACTTACTTTAATTAGTGATGTCTTTTATCGTTAAAAAAAAATAAAAAATTTATATTTTACACACACTACCTGACAAAAGTCTTGTTGTCGATCCCAGTGGTAAGAGCAACAAAAAGCTTCTAGTTGATCATTTGGAAAAGTGGCAGCAGGTAGATTTTTCTGCATCCCAATCATCGCAAATACTGCACAAGGAACCCAAGGTTCTCATAGAAATCAGTCAAGTTTGGTAAAGGAAAAATCATGGTTTAGAAATCAGTCAAGTTTAGTGAAGGAAAAATCATGGTTTAGAAATCAGTCAGGTTTAGTGAAGGAAAAATCATGGTTTAGAAATCAGTCAAGTTTAGTGAAGGAAAAATCATGGTTTAGAAATCAGTCAAGTTTGGTGAAGGAAAAATCATGGTTTAGAAATCAGTAAAGTTTGGTGAAGGAAAAATCATGGTTTAGAAATCAGTCAAGTTTGGTGAAGGAAAAATCATGGTTTAGAAATCAGTCAAGTTTGGTGAAGGAAAAATCATGGTTTAGAAATCAGTCAAGTTTGGTGAAGGAAAAATCATGGTTTAGAAATCAGTCAAGTTTAGTGAAGAAAAAAATCATGGTTTAGAAATCAGTCAAGTTTGGTGAAGGAAAAATCATGGTTGAGAAATCAGTCAAGTTTGGTGAAGGAAAAATCATGGTTTGGGGTTACATTCAGTATGGGGGCCTGCAGGATGGATGGATCAACAGCCTGAGGTATCAAGACATCTGTGCCGCCCATTGCATTACAAACCACAGGAGAGGGCAAATTCTTCAGCAGGATAGCGCTCCTTCTCATACTTCAGCCTCCACATTAAAGCTCCTGAAAGCAAAGAAGGTCAAGGTGCTCCAGGATTGGCCAGCCCAGTCACCAGACATGAACATTATTGAGCACGTCTGGGGTAAAATGAGGAGGAGGCATTGAAGATGAATCCAAAGGATCTTGATGTCCTCTGAGAGTCCTGCAAGAACGCTTTCTTTGCCATTTCAGATGGCTTTATTAATCAGTGATCTGAGTGACAAGACTTTTGTCAATTAGTATATATATATATATATACTACCCAGTAAGCCAAATACAATTTGTATAATGTTGGCAAACATGATATGCTTAAAGCACTGGCTTGCTTTTATCCTACATTATGCACCTCGCTCAGTCAAAGTGACTGCTAATGATCAACACTTCTAGGTTCCCCTTGAATCATGATGCCTTTTAACTTTCGCAGGGTTACGGGAGTGAGAATCAGCGCAGATCCGTTTGCAGTTTGTGAGGGAGGGAGAAAAAAAAAACAGTCAAATGCAAATGTAGTCAGAGAACACAACCCATTATTCCGCATGTGGGGCAGACGCATTAAAAAAAGATAAGAAAACACCAAAAGCTCAGCGCGAGACGTGAGCACTAACTTTCATAGTCAAAACCGGCTTCGCTGACAGGACTGCTCAGACCCGAATCTGTGAAAAACACAGCAGAAATCAAAGAGAGGCATCGCTTTTTAAATAGGCACCGATCATTAGTGCAATCCTGAAAATGAATCAGCAGAAAACAGAATTGAATATGGTGAATTTTTAGCAGGCGAGAGGAGCGGACCACCCGGCTGGCTCTGAATGAAGGCTAATTCTCGGGGGTCCCTCAGTGTGTCAGACAGAGAAAGTAGGACATTGGTTCATCTATCAGACCAGCTTTTTTTCCCCCTCAATATATACTGCATATGCACCTGAGCGGCTGCTGGTTTGCCGTTTTTAAAAAATAAAGTGTAAGGAATCAGCTGGCGGTGTCGATCGAGCAGAAAGAAGACATACGGTCAGTATTTATCCAGCTGTCTTCAGCTTCTGAACCATCTGTGACGACTCCAGGCTCAAACACACTCGCAGAACAGCGGCGGGCGTATTCACAATTAATTTATATATTGACAAAGATTCAAAAGTAGGAACTTATTTGACGACAAACTCTTTTAATTATATATGCATATGAAATTGACTGTCCTATCGGTTGTAATATATTTAAAAATAGTTATCGGTTATGTGTATATAGGCTATATAGCCAAAACAATGTATATATTACAAATTTGCAAGTAGGAATGGATTCAAGAGCAAAAATAAATATATACACATGCAAAATTGACAGTTGTATCAAATATCGGTTGTTATATATTTAAAAATAGTTATCGGTTTTGTGTATATAGGCTACATAGCAAAAACAATGTCATATTATATTAAAAATTTGCAAGTAGGAATGGATTCGAGAGCAAAAATAAATATATACACATGCAAAATTGACAGTCGTATTAAATATCGTTTTTATTTATTCAATAAATAGTTATCGGTTATGCGTAAATAGACGATATAGCAAAAACAATTTCCTATTAAATTAAAAATTTGCAAGTAGAAATCGATTTAAGAGCATATCGTCATATCAATCTTATCAAATATCGGTTGTTATATATTTAAAAATAGTTATCGGTTTTGTGTATATAGGCTACATAGCAAAAACAATGTCATATTATATTACAAATTTGCAAGTAGGAATGGATTCGAGAGCAAAAATAAATATATACACATGTAAAATTGACAGTCATATCAAAAATCGATTGTTTTATATTTAATAAATAGTTATCGGTTATGTGTATATAGGCTATATAGCAAAAACAATGTCATATTATATTACAAATTTGCAAGTAGGAATGGATTCGAGAACAAAAATAAATATATAGACATGCAAAATTGACAGTCATATCAAATATCGGTTGTTATATATTTAATAAATAGATATCGGTTATGTGTATATAGGCATTATATCAAAAACAATGTCCTATTAAATTAAAAATGAGCACATAGGAATCGATTCAAGAGCATATCGTCATATTTATCATATCAAATATCGGTTCTTATTTATTTAAAAAATTTATATACACGAAATTGACTGTCATATTAGTTATTGGTTGTAATATGAAAAATATTCTCTGTATATAAGCTGTATAGCACAAAAAACATCACATTATATTTGAAATTAGCAAGTAAGAATGGATTTGACAGCTAAACTGTTATTGGTTATATTGGCTGTAATATATAAAAAATTGTTATCTCTATATAGCCTATACAGCAAAAACAATGTAATATTATATTACAAATTTGCAAGTAAGAATGTATTTGAGTCATATAAATTATTGGTTGTGTGCATATATATCGGTAATGTGTATATAGGCTATATAACAGAAACAATATCATATTATATTAGAAATGATCAAGTGGGAATAGATTTGAAAGGAGAAAAAAAAAAAAAAAAAAAAAAAAAAATATATATATATATATATATATATATATATATATAAAAATGTGTGGATACGAAATTGACTGTCACATCGGTTATCGGTTGTAAAAAAAATTAAATAGCATTATAACACATAACCAATATGACAGTCAATTTCTTATCTATCTATCTATCTATCTATCTATCTATCTATCTATCTATCTATCTATCTATCTATCTATCTATCTATCTATCTATCTATCTATCTATCTATCTATCTATCTATCTATCTATCTATCTATAGATACGAAATTGACTGTCATATCGGTTATGTGTTGTAATGTAAGAATAGTTATCTGTATATAGGTTGTATAGCACAAAAACTTCATCGTATTATATTAAAATTTTGCACGTTATAATGGATTTAAGAAAAAAAAACATATGCATTCAAAATTGACTGTCATATGAATTATCGTTTGTTATTTATATTTAATATTGGTTATAATGTGTGTATACACACATAACCGATTTATGTGTGTATAGCCAACCAAAACAATGTCATATCATATTATACAGCATTTTAGAATGGATTTGAGAGCAAATATATATATATATATATATATATATATATATATATATATATATATATATATATATATATATATATATATATATAATAAAAATAGTTATCTGTATATAGGCTGTATAGCACAAAAACCCCCAGATCATATTATGTAGGAAATTAGCAAGTAAGAATGGATTAGCAAGCAAAACTGTTGTATATATTTTTAAATCCATATGAAATTGACTGTTATATCGGTTATTGATCGTAATGAAACAATATTGGTCAAATATTTTATATGAATAAATTTGTTAGTGTACAAAACAAGATTAACGTTTTATTAGGCTAAACAGTTTTGAAATTATGATCATAATTAGCAAATTAGAAAGATTTTTAAAGCAAACTGTTAACTACTTTTCATGTTGTGCTAAAAAGGGCTTCATAGCAAAATAACATCACATTATATTCTAAATTTATTCATAAACAATACAATTATTAACTTAAAAAATAAAATAAAATAATAATAAAATAATAATAATAATAATAATAATAAACAAATCCCAAATTGAAATCTACATTAACATAACATTTCTTTATTAATTCCACATATTTCTGGGGTGTAAACTTAAATAACAGAGTAATAATAATAATAATAATAATAATAATAGGTATATAAAAATAATAAATAAAAATATAACAATAAAAGTACAAGGATTCCAAATCTCTATTGCAAATCCCTCTATTGACAAACACAGTGTTAGCATTGTTAGCCGTTTTAGCGAGCACAGTTTCCTGATAGAACTCTTTGTTTTCCAGAAACTCGACCCCGAGCGGCTCTGAAAACCAACAGCATGTGTGTGTCGCGTCTCATTAGCACGTCTTGCCACTCCATATGTGAACTCATCCATGTGAACTGGAGTGTGTGTCTCTCAACAATCGCCCCTATTAGCTAATGGAACCGGCGCTAGCGCTCACCGGCCCAGCTAATTGGGCTAAAATGCGCGCTTAAGTTAAAACTCAGCGAGGAAAAGAGATAATGACATCCCTCGCTTTAAAGCGAACAACGGCGCGTCGCAAATGGAACGATTCGCAATTAATAAAGAGGAGTTTTAATGAGTCGGAAAGCTGATTTGTGATGTGTTATTAGCGTCTGCTGGACGGGGATTGTGGGGAAATGAGCTGGTTTTATTTTTCTTCGCTCTCCACCTGCTGAAGAAGAGCTCTTTCAGTGACCTCCCGGCTCAGATTAGAGACTTTGAAACAAGAATAAAATGTCAGAGTGGCTTTACGGGGAAAATTAACCACACATCGGATGCTCCTGAACAAGAAAAACATCCGCGACGACTGATGGATGTTGAGTTTATATTAATATTAAATAAATCTGACTCTGAAGCACACAACCTCATGTTTTATGTATGTCTTATGTTGCAGGGATCTACAGTTTATTGTATATTATAAGCCACATTTTTAATCATAATAATTTTAATAACTGATTTCTTTTATCTTAGGCACAATGACAGCACATAATATTTGACTAGATATTGTTCAAGACACTAGTATTCAGCTTAAAGTGACATTTAAAAGGATAACTAGGTTAATTAGGGCAAAGTTAGGCTAATTAGGCAAGTCATTGAATAACAGTGATTTGTTCTGGAGACAATCCAAAACTAATATTGCTAAAGGAGGCTAATAATATCCACCTTAAAATGGGTTTAAAATAAATAAAAGCTGCTTTTATTCTAGCCGAAATAAAACAAATAAGACTTTCTCCAGAAGAAAAAATATTATAGAAAATACTGTGAAAAATTCCTTGCGCTGTTGAACAGCATTTGGGAAATGTTGGAAAATTAAAAAAAGGGTAAATCATTGTGACTTTAACTGTACTTAAATAGCCAAGATGACTTTGTATGAGTGAAAATTTTTCATTAGGAGATTATATAAAGATCAGATTCCATGAAGATATTTAGCAAATTTTCTACTGTAAATAAATTAAAATGTAATTTTATTAGTAATGTGCATTGATATCAATATTTAGATTTTTTTGAACCCTAAGATTTTCAATAGTACTAATTTTGTCCTATCAAACAAAAGTAAGCAAGTAAATAAAAGTATCCTTTTCACTAGTTGTGTGCTACAGGGTCAAATATTACATATAAAAATGAAACAATTATGGAAAATGTGAAAATAAATATAAAAATAAATCGAAATTGAGAAAATGAAAAAGATTAATGAGAAGTTTGTTATAAGTTTAATCAGAATAAATTATTTACATTTTTTAAAATTAAATTTTATCAGTAATGTCTACATTTTGTTGAACTGCTTTGCTTGCAGGGTTACACCTATAAAAGTTATAAAAATATTAACTACATTTCTTAAACATTTTTAAAAAATGAGATAAGATTTAGAGATATTGGATTATTTTTTTCTAAATATTACAAATTTTTAAAGATTACAAGATTATATATATTTTGAAACGGTTATCGATTTAAAAACATCAACGCTGCTTCACTGGTATAACTCCCAGCTGAAAAAAACACCTTAAACCAGCCTAAGCTGATTGGCTGGTTTCAGCTGGTTGACCAGCCTTGTTTTAGAGGGCTTTTAGCCACTTCCAGGCTGGTTTCCAACCATTTCCAGCCTGGTCTTAACTGGTCAGGCTGAAAAATGACCAGCTAAGTCCAGCTAAAACCAGCTTGACCAGCCTGGATTGGGCTGGACAAGCTGGTTTTAGCTGGTCATCTCCCAGCCTGACCAGCTATAACCAGTCTGGGAAACCAGCCTGGAAGTGGCTAAAACCCCTCTAAAACCAGCCTGGTCAACCAGCTAAAACCAGCCAACTAGCCTAGGCTGGTTTAAGCAGCTTTTTTAGTAGGGTTATGAGCTTTTTATGGTAAAACAGTGAATTTAAATCAATATAAAAGCCCCTTTTCTTCAATAATGTGATGTTTTACTGCAGTAAAACAGAATCAAGGAACAGAACAATAAAAGTGAAGACATCAGAAAGTGTTCAACAAATGATTTTAAGTTTGAAGGAACATTCATATGTATGTATACCTGTTATAAAACCGAACCCTGTAGCGAAGGTGAGATGCAGATGACTGACGGGCCGTACGCAGTTATTAACTAATAAAGCGCATCAGTGGAGACACAAATGAGAAAAAACAGCAGGCGCGTCTGAATCTGACACATCAGCGAGAGTTAATTGACAATCGCTGTCAGTCCCGCACACTTCACACCAACATCAAAGCTGAATCGGAGAGGAAATCACGTCGAAAGCTGAGTTTCTGTATTAAAAAGACACTTGTTGTGTTGTGTTTTGTGTGTGTTTTTGTACCTGGCGTCTGGAAGTTGATTCTCCTCATCTCGACGGGATCTGTGGGATGGTGAGGCGTGATATCGGCGTTGTTCAGCAGGCATTTGGTCCGCGGCTCCGACTCTTTACGTTTGCTGCTTTAAGACGAGAAAAACAACCAGACTAAACCACAAAACGAGGAGGAATCGAGTGACAGATCACAAAAATGACCAACTAAAGGGACCACAGTGTTTTCTGACCCATTTAGAACACTGATTTGAATGAACAAGTGTGTTTGATTCAGAATGAATCAATAAGTGGTTCAAATGATTCAGTTGATTCTGAATCGGTTCAATAATTGAGCAGATTCTTTTTTTTTTTAAATAAATGAACCCTAAATTATACTACTAATAATAAAAGCATCACAATATGTATGTGTATATATAAACTCAGGTCAGAAAACACAATGTTTACAGTCTGTATTGCGTATGCTAAGTGCTAGCACCAACACAGCTACGTGCTGAACTGTATTTCACCGCACTGTGTTTTTCTCCGCCATCTAATTAAAACTTGCTTTAATGCTGAGGCAGCTTGTTTTCTTTTGCCCCTTGAAAACAGCAATAAAGTCGGGCTAAGCCTTACCTGTCAGGCTTGCTGCTTCCAGAGAGGGCAGCGGAGGGAAATAAATATATAAAGGAGAGAGAAAACACAACAGGAGAACAAGAGAGAGGAGAAAAATCAATGGAGAGCATTTACATTCACAGGACGGCTAGCGCTGGCAGATTAGCCGGATCTGCATGCGGTCAGACCTGTAGATGTGTGTGTGTGTGTGTGTGTGTGTGTCTGTGTTTGCGCTTCACAGAGCGCAGGTCAAACTCGAGAAAATCCTGGTCAAAAACGTCCACTTTTAACCTCGTTCACAAGCCGCTAATGATCAAGAGCTTCACTACTCAACGTTTACATGCTAACAGTCGATGCTAATGTCTATTAGCGATCATCTCATTCATGTTTGATACGTCTGAATTGATCATTCTTCTCAGCTACGCTGTGTACTACTGCAAACCGCGCCATACTTTAGCATTTAGCATTTCTCGACCATTAATTGTGTCCGTGAGCTGGTTTGAAAACGAAACGAGCTTCTAAAATTCATATTTAAACTAGAAATATATTAATTATAATTGTTTAACTGCATAAAATGTGTTATATCCTACAGAAAAAAATCCAGCTTAAACCAGCATAGGCTGGTTGGCTGGTTTTAGCTGGTCGACCAGGCTGGTTTTAGAGGGGTTTTGGCCACTTCCAGGCTGGTTTCCAGCCATTTCTAGCCTGGTGTTAGCTGGTCAGGCTGGGAGATGACCAGCTAAATCCAGCTTGACCAGCGTAGCCAGGCTGTAAGTTCAGCCTAAACCAGCTATATCCAGCTTAATCCAGGCTGGTCAAGCTGGTTTTAGCTGGATTTAGCTGGTCATTTTCCAGCCTGACCAGCTAACACCAGGTTGGAAATGGCTGGAAACCAGCCTGAGAATGGCCAAAACCCCTCTAAAACCAGGCTGGTCAACCAGCTAAAACCAGTCAACCAGCCTAGGCTGGATTTTCAGCAGGGTATACAGTACTGTGCAAAAGTTTTGCCCCCCAACAGTTAAAATATAGTTCAATATAAGACTGGTCTCTGCAATAAGGTATAAACAGACAGAAAATACAGATGTACACGCAACTGAGATTAAAATGGCTCCATGGTAGCAGTATTTAGTATGAGTTTTTATATCAGACCTAAGTTCATCTTCTAGTTCAGGTGTTTTTGTTTTTTTTTCTCTTTGTCACGTCTGCTGTAGTGCCATCTTGTGGTTTTCTGGACACATTTTGGTTTGTTCCTGTTTTGTAGTTCACGTGATCACTAATTGTTTCCAGCTGTCTGTCATTGTCTAATTATTGGCTGCGTCCGAAACCGCCTACTACTCAGTAGGTACTGCATTTGAATTTAAACATACTACTCGGCCGTTAGAAAAGTACGTTCTATACAGTATGAATGTGAAAAGTATAAATGGAATTCGGACGTACTACATCCGCCATTTTGTCATGGTCACATGACCTACCTGTGTCAATTGCGTCGCCTCACTTCCATTCATGAATTCTCTCACGGGGCATTATGGGATAGCGCAGCGTGCATGGGATGCGCACTTCAGAATCTCGCCGGAAGTAGTAAGTCATCCGGGTACTTCTCGCATACTGATTTTTGAATTCTATGAATTCTGACATACTACTGGGCTCGCATACTGATTTTAGCGTACTATATAGTATGAAAGTATGCGGTTTTGGACGCAGCCTCCGTCTTTGTAATATTGGATTGTCCCACCATCCCTCCCCCTGGTCCACCTCCATTCCGGCTCCCTCCTAGATGGGCGCTTATTTGAGAGTGTCTGGTAGCCACTCCCCCCGGGTAATGTCACGTCTGCTGTAGTGCCATCTTGTGGTTTTCTGGACGCTAGTTATATTTTGGTTTGTTCCTGTTTTGTAGGTCACGTGATCACTAATTGTTTCCAGCTGTCTGTCATTGTCTAATTATTGTTGTCTTTATAAGTTTTGTTATGTTGTGTTTAGTTTGCCTTTGGATTTTTGCTGTTTACTCATGCACCCCGTTCACCCGATTCTGCTTTGTTTTGTCCGGCTCTTATCTGGTCCTAGTCTGCTCACTGACTCATCGTTTTGGTTCGTTTGTTTGTTCACTTTGTTTCATGTTATGATCATATTTTTGAATTCCTGTTCTAACTTTGTTTGATACACTTTTGTTTATTGGGTTGTACTTTTGTCTCTGTTGGATTTTTTGAACCTGGCCTGTACCCTTATTGTTTATTAAAACTTCTATTGCTGCACTTGGATATCTCTTGTATTTTGTAAGCACATTATGACACTCTTAGCAGGCAATCCCATACCCTCTCTGTAAAAGTATATTAAGGTCGGGACTCTGTGTAGGCCATTTCATGACTGTTTTAGCTGTTTTGGAATAAATGACATTACTAAATAACCAACACAGGCTCATTCTGAAAACATACTCCTATTTACCTTTCTGGACACTGCGAATTATGTAGCCAGTGGTACGTATGGCTGCATTTAATTTTTTTTTTTAAATGAAAGCTACTGGAGGGTATGACGCCATTCTGTGTGGACCTCTGTGTGGAGGGTTTTCCCGCTGCAACCAGTTTGTCCAGTTAGCTCGTCATGTTTGTCGGTGGACTTGAGTTGCAGAGAGGAGATGACTACAACGATGGGGTTCAAGTCCGGGGAAGAACGATTCCAGAAATCAGGTGAGACAAAAATAGAATCCAAAAAATAAAATAAACAAGTAAACAACAGGGTGAGAATTTGGTAAAATCCAAAAACATTTTAAAAATCAGACAAGGGCTTTTTTTTTAATTTGCTTTTGTAAATCGTTGGTTGGGTTTAGGGAAGTGGATGGGCGGGTCAACCGATAAAATTGGTTGGGTTTAGGGAAGGAAGAAGGTGGGTCAGTCGATTGGTCGGTCGGTCAGTCAGTCATATAGTCAGTCAACAGCGGCCTCTGGTGGATTTACGCGAGAACAGCGAGTGCGAATGGCACTCGAGAGAAACTTGAGGTGTGAAAAAGCACACACAGCGAACTCTAGTGGATTTGCATAAACAAAAACTGCAAACTCCAGAAACTTATATATGACTATGTTTTCAGAATGAGCCTGGGCTGTAAATAACACGACATGTAAATATCATACAATTTCATAATCAATATGATTATCTATAAATATCATTACTGTTCAGGTAAAGATTATTATACTATATAATATATATATATATATATATATATATATATATATATATATATCAAATGACTAGTACATTACTCACTTCTTATAGAGGAGAATGGCAATCACGATACAGATTATGAAGACCACAGCGAGGACAGGTCCAACCACCCAGATGAGGCCATCTCCTCCTGACTCCAACGGCTGAGGGTCCAAATCGGGGGCCATGATTGGGTCTGTGTAGGGGCTGGATACAAACGCTTTCTGCTCAAATGAAAAGACATGGTCATGTTCAATTATATTCGTAATTTTTCATATCTCTAAAAGTCTACATGAACTGAAAGTTACTGAGACTTTTATTTTAGAATTTTGATGTGCTTCAAGCTGATTCAGAGGATTGAGTAGGGGGCGGGGCTTTCTTTTGCACCTCATGCCCTCATTGCAAACTAACAGTGAGAGGGGCGTGGTTAAGGATATTAATATAGGATTGTTAATGGACCGCCACTCCAAACATGGAAGCAAATGGTCAGACTTTAAAATGGTCAAACATTTTTTTTTCAGTAAATTGACGTAATAAAACGTATAAATTCTGATGGAAAATGGCTTGTATTTCACCCACCACGCCGGTGGTGTTGAGCTCGGCCAGAATGAACAGCACATATTCCTGCCCGCGGTCCAAAGCACGATTCTCGAAGCTGCCGTACATCATCTGGTTGCCCAAAGTGAAGGACGGTGGCATGGATGAGGGCTTGAAGCTGGCAGCGATGTAGGGCCGTTTCCCGTCCACCTGTTTGAGCTGACGGGTGGTTCCGGAGTGATGTAGACCGAGCCTTCGTTCACCCAACAGCTGTGGGGAAAAAACACTGCATAAGAAGGACTGGAACCAGCTTATGTTGTTTGTTTCTTCTAGGATAGTGGTTTTCAACCTTTAGCACGTGGCTCCCCAGTGGGTCGTGATGGTATTACAGGGAGGCGCCAAGTATTGTTATTAGAAATAACATCGTTAATAGATGTAAAAATGTTTGGTCAGAATTTCACATGTAAAAAAAACAATAACAAATTATTAGGGTACTTTCATTTGGGAAATGGCAAGAGATGGAGTTGCCGCACATGGGTACCCATTCAAATCACTGGTAGCTTATTCAATTAAGACAGTTAACAGTTTTCATTAGAGTAAATTACCAACCCACCACAAGTAGCGGGTTCATTTTAAAAATTGGACCATGGAAACATATGTTTTTGGTTTAGGGGGCCACAAATAAAAAAATTTGGGAACCACTGTTCTAGGAAACAATCTCAATCAACATTCGTGCTAGTAAACTATTAGCATAGTGGGATATCTACTGTGAAAACAAACACTGAATAACACACAAACTGAATACAGGCACCTTCGCACCGTACAGCTCAAGGTCAAGTAGCTAAGCGTGGCAGTTTGCCAGCTGGTAAGGATAAGGGCTGTGTAATTGTCCCCTCTCTCTGACAAACCCCTCGGGAACGTTCCCACAATGCTTGTGCGAAAATACTTTCAATGGCCCCGGCTCCACTGCGTCTGCGACACAAGGATAAAAACTTGAGAAAAGAAGCTATGCGTATGTTCACCTCTTCCAGGTCCAGCTCATCTGGGCTCTTGATGTGGCGCATCGGTCCTTTTCCCTTCTTTAGAGGAACCACCACGACATAGATTGCTCTGGAAGAGATCAAGATGGTGCATAAAACACGCTATTTCTCAGTTTCCAATTTACAAGACAAAAAATGAACTTTGCCGTCATATCATGGCTGTAGGCGCAGAGATATTATGCGGCAAAAGAATCCCCAGCTAGGTAACTAGCTACAGTAACAGTGCTGTGCAGCCATGGTACAACAGCAAAGTACGATAGCAACTTTTCGATGTTCGGTTTTTGTCCATGATGTAACTACAGAAGAGTCAAGCTTTAAACAGAAAAACGGTCAAAACTGTGACAATAGTCTAATCTAGGGGTGTCAAACTCGGTTCCAAGAGGGCTACAGCCCTGAACATTTCAGTTCCACCCCTGCTTCAACACACTTACCTATAGGTTTCAAATAAGCCTGAAGGATTCAATTAGTTTGAGGTGTGCTTAATTCGAGTAAAAGCTGAAATGTAAAGAGCTATGGCCCTCCGGGATCGACACCTGTGGTCTAATCCAATTCAATGATTTATGCTAGGCTAAGCTAAAATTCTCCCCGAGATATGCTGAATGGTCAAAAATGGTAAAACTCAACTGATTAACTTTATCGGAGATGTAAAACGAGCCTATTTCTGATTTAAAGTAGCGCAAGCATGCAATGCATTCTCAGTGTGACCACAAGGGGCACTGCAGCAAAACAAAGTGTGGTGTTTCTCACTTGATCAAGTCTTTTGTTTCCAGCGGTGGGAAGACAATGGTCAGTGTACTCTCTGACTCTCTTTTCAGGTCTAACTCAGGCTTTCGGATCTGAATATGTGGCGCAGTTCGGGCAACAAGCTTGTGTTTGGGTCCACCATCGCTACTGTCCTGGCAGCTGATTCTGAACTCATAGGTTGTGTTGGGTCGCAAGTTTGTGATGAGAGTTTTCGTCATCCTCGCGTCAATGTCAGACTTCTGCCGGTGGTACTCGATCTGTAGATAAATGCGGATTGATAAATTCTGCACGGTAACATCAAGATGAGTGTGGGTGAGACTGCTCATGCAACTGGCCTTACTTACCGTGCATTTATATGGGAAACGGCTATCATAGAACTTCCAGGAAAGCAGAACTGTTGTCTTGGTGACCAGCTTTACAGTGAAGTTCCTAGGAACATCTGTACAGGAGTGAATGGAGAGAACAAATTGAGAAAGACACTTTAGGAATGAAAAAAAAGGACATACAGACCGAAGGGAAAGAAGACTGACAGAATGTTCGCATTTGCAACCATTTTCTCCCCAAAGGAGAGGGGCTTTGGTCCCTCGTAGTGAGTGGAGTGCAGTATTAGCTGTGAAGGGGAGGGGGAGGCGCTCATTTGGGACAAACAGCACGCTAGACTGGACTGGTGAACACAGAACCACAGAATCGCACAGTACTCTGTCTGGCCTGGCCCGGCAGTGCCGCCCCAACAAGAACATTTGGCAAGCAGTTTTTATAATCCCCCCTGAACGCTTCCAGAATAGCTGAACCCACATTATGTTTGAGTAACCCACTGCTGTGTGCTCTCGAATTTGGATAGGCACTGCCGTGGCAGACAGCCCGACAGGAACGAGGACAAACCCCAACACAGTTGTCATGCCCACACTTGTTAGCAGTGCATCATGGGACGCCATGCTGAAAACCATCCCAGTGTGGGAGAGAGGGGGAAAGGTGAGTACAGAAAAAAAAAGGAACTGTCAAACCAAAAAAAACTAAGGAAAAACCCAAAGTAAACAAATGTGCCTAGTTCCACTTCAGATCTGGGATCTCCTTGTCATGGCTCTCGCCTACCTTGGAACACTAGGGGAGTTTTTGTGATTGGATGAGTGAATGTGCTGGGCGTGTCTGACCAATCGGCACTTACCTCGCAAAAATTGATGCTCCTCCCCTTTCAAAACTGACTGACTTCACCTTACTGACTTATTTTACCTTGTTGTGGGGGAGGGTGTTAGTGAGGTATGTGGCTCCCAGAGAACGTTATATAATCGGGTGTAGGTGCTTGCATTGTAGAGGTTTGTCCCTTGAGGCGGGGAAATGAGCAACCTTTACCTGCTTCATAGGCCACTGTTCGATACTGGATCGGTGGGCTGTAGGGCCCTGGACCTACGCTGGTGTGCGCTCGAATTTTCACATCGTATACTGCGTTGGGCCTCAGGCTGTTTAGGATGTAACTGTTCTCATCGGCCGGCAGGCGCAATTCCTTAGGTCCACTGATTGTTCCGGCCTCCTGATATGATAGGGTGTATTCTGTTATAGCGCCATTGCGCTCCGCCAGCACCGGAGGGAGCCAGGAGAACTGGACTGAGCAGCAGGTGATGTTGGACCCTTCGGTTATTTGAGGATACCCTCGAGGAACCTCTTCCGGGACTCTTAGTTCTTGAGTTGCCTCTTCACCAAATCCTGACTTGGACTTGGCGGACACTTTGAAGATGTACGTAGCCCCTCGGTGGATATTGCTAATGGAATATTCCAGCTCCTGCGGGCCAAACTCCAGCGTAGCCAGGGGGTTCACATCTTTTCGGCCAAACTGTAGCCGGTACCCCTGCACCTCGAGGCCAGGAGCAACGTAATCTGGGGGTTGCCAGCGGATTATTGCAGTAGACTCTGAGTTCTGGTTGACGGAGAGAAAAGGAGGCCCTGGTACTGTTGAGAGAAAGAGAGAAAGAGAGACGTTACATTAAATTCAAATGAGCCGCATCGCACTTAAATCTATTGTAGGGAAACCAGGTGTCTATTCATCCCGCCTTCACCCTACTGAAGAAAAGTCACCTGGAATTACTTTAAAGGGATTTATTGCAATCCCATTTACTGTAAAGTACTATTACATAAGCATGCGTGTATTGTACAAACTGCCATAAAGGCGCTTGTATATCACAGAAAGCCGCATCTACAAAGTCTGCTATGAGAATTCGGTTATATCTTCAAGTGAACAGTAGTGACTAGCTGGTTGTTGAACAGATCACTAGATGTGAGATTGTGGGTTAACAGCCATATGATGGAAAAGATGGGCATGAGAGCAGATAGGAGGACAAATGACTCCCGGGGAAAAAAAAAAGGAGAGCTGATGAAGGTGATGGCGCAATCTGCCGCAGCGAGAGGACAACGAGGGTCAGAGCCACCGTGATTGTGGACTGCTTCCCCTCACCGACAGCACTCCAGTGCACTCCACTGGATGACACGCAATCCTTTCCACAGGACCACAGGCACGTTTCCCATTAGGCCTTGCATTAACGGCCACTGTTGACCCACAGCCACTGATTAAGATAGGATTGCGTTTCACGCTCACGCCCTCCCCCCCTTCCTTTCCCGCTCTCTGTCCTTCTCATCTCCAGTGTAGGAGAAGCATCCGAGCTGCTATAGAACAAAATAAAATAACCTTCAGCTAACATGCAATTAACCTGCCGACAGGACTTACAGTGAGGTATATCAGGCATATAAAGCACGACTGCCAGCTGACACGACTGCAGAAAACTGCAGCGCTGCATTCTGGGCAGAACTGATATCAAATACACAAAAGACAAGGGCGAAAAATGTGCCTGAATATTATCACCTGACTAAAAGTCCTCAGGAACGGACGACAAAAAGGTCAATGTAATTAACAGTCTTTGATTAGTTCCTCGTGCATTGTGTAAAACTGAAAGCAACTCTCCACAAGGGAGCGTGCTTTACAGCGATTTTACCGTGGTAATAGGCACACAGGCAAGCATTTTATGATTTACTGCTCCAATAAAGAGGCAGCAACAGCAAAAAGGTGTTTAATAATACAACTCATAATGTCAATTTGTAATCCCATAATCCGAAATTGCGGTCTACCGAAAGTTCAGCTCCATATCGCACTATCCAGGCATCAGATGGTATAAGACAGGAAGCTCCAGAGACCGACGTGAAGCTTCGCTCTCCACAATCAGGACTGGAGCGAGTTGCTCTAAGTGGACCAATTAATTGAAGAGAATAACCACAGTGCCGGGAGGATTGTGAGTCATCCAGACTCTCTGCTCCCCCAGCCGTGGCGGCTGTCCAAGCGGACACTCGTGAAGAACACCTCCAGCCCCTGCATTAGCATGCAATCTGCTCAACTCCCGCAAGGATGAAGGGAGACGGGAGGAAATAAAAAAAGGGAAGCTCGTACTTGATCAGAATCTGCCCTACGGACATCTTAACGTACAGACGTTTGCATTTACTGCACAAGGAACTGCCGATGATAAGGTGCATTAGCAGCGGGACGGTGAAGGGTTTGGCGGCGCATGCATCAATCAGTCCGTCGGCTCTGAAACGAGAACGGAATCAATCACTCCCTTGTCGTTCCTTCAGGACAACAGGCAGCATCAATTCGATCGATGCAAGGACATCTGCTTTGAGATCAAGGCAACCGATAACGTTTCTTTGAACGCGACATTAATAATGTTGATCAGAATGGCTGACGCATACTCAAACTCGATACGATGATTGTTCGAATTGACAGAAATGTGCTGTTTTGGTTTCATTACACTTTAGCTCTACCAATACCAACGCACTTGCACCACATGAACCGAGGATATTTTGACTATAAGTGGGGACTAAATTAGCTAGAGTCCAACCAAGCAACGTTTACGCTGATTGGCAATAAAATACGTTTATTTTTATGTCAAGCATTGACTTTTTTTCTTGTTTTTTTTAAAGATACTAGTTTTAGTTCATGATAACGTTCCAGATTTGAACCCCTTAAATACTAATGCGCACTCCAGCACACATTATTTCTTTGAAGGACGGCTTGGCTTGACTGTAGAGCCTGACTGACGGGCTTGACGGTGCAGTGCCATTGCTCTGAAGTGTATCTCCGACATGCAGAATGGCAGCTCGGGGACGGGCGGCTCTCTCGGATGACAGGCGGCTTGCGGAAGGTTCCGGGTTTGAAAGGGGTGGGTCGGGCCTTATCAATACAATAAGGCAGGGGCTTAAGTTGTCTGACAGCATTATGTAGCAGAAATGAGGCATGAAAGTGCCCCGGAGTGGCTCCTCTGAGCCCCATTGGTCAAGCTTTTCCTCTGTTCTGGCACATGAAAGAGCGAGATGCCGCTTCTTTAAGTGGGGCTGAGTCGGTCCTTGTTTATTTATTTATTTCTTTTGTCTGCTGTAAGCGTTTCGCCACACTTTCGGAGGCGGGGAGAGCGGGGACATCCTTCCTTTGAGCGGGCGGCTGTGCCACATCACTGCGTGATGGAGAGGAAGAGAGACAGGCCTTGAGAATGACATGCATATGTAGCGGCACTGTCACATTTGACACCTGCGATCGGCACACCTGTCTCGTCAACGTCTGGAGCTCCAGTGCACTGAAAAACCAGGCCAGGCTAACACTGAGGCTTAAAATAAAGCCTACATACTCAAGGTACTGCCGTTAGATACTCACTAAACTGATTAAAATAAAATCATGGAGATTCACCAGAAAATCTTTAGTTAATGTGGCAAACTTAATGAGGAGAGACCTCTCAAACAACAATTGTTGCTGTCTGGTGGAAGTCTGCTACACAGGATAAGTACTTTATGTTCAGTATTCATTTTTGACAAATCCAAACTCCCAACCCCACATCTTCAAACAAAATGCTCATGATGCAAGCCAGGCCTGTGTACAGAAATAGAGTCATACTATGGAATTAACATTCTGCTGGTGTTCAGACTTCACTAGCATGTTATTCATTTTATTGGTAATATCATGGTATCTTTAAAGCAAATACCCCAAAATACCTACACTCTAAAAAACGTTGCGTTAGTTATTTAACCTAATTGTTCATTTAAAAATATTTGGTGCATTGTTGGGTTATTTTTAACCTTTATATGGTTATTTATTCATAACTCAACTAGTTGGGTTAAATATTTGGTGCATTGTTGGGTTATTTTTAACCTTTATTGGGTTATTTATTCATAACTCCACCAGTTGGGTTAAATATTTAGTGAACTGTTGGGTTATTTTAAACCTTTATTGGGTTATGTATTCATAACTCAACCAGTTGGGTTAAATATTTGGTGCATTGTTGGGTTATTTTAAACGTTTATTGGGTTATTTAATCATAACTCAACCAGTTGGGTTAAATGTTTAGTGAATTGTTGGGTTATTTTAAATCTTTATTGGGTTATGTGTTCATAACTCAACCAGTTGGTTTAAATAATTGGTGCATTGCTGGGTTATTTTAAACCTTTATTGGGTTATTTATTCATAACTGAACCAGTTGGGTTAAATATTTGGTGCTGTGTTGGGTTATTTTTAACCTTTATTGTGTTATAGATTTAATAACTCTACCAGTTGGGTTAAAAATGCTGAATTTTAACAGTCAACTGATTTAACTGACACAGAACTTATTTCAAGCAAATTTTTACTTCCGGTTTGAAACTAATTTTTGAAGCTGCGTCACGGTCATGACATAATAGCGTGTATTCCAGCGTGCAGACTGGACGTCTGTGCCAGAGTGAGTCTTATTACGTCTTACAGTGTGTTGCATTAATGCATGAGTAAGGCTTGGTTCAAACCAATCAGCGCGCTCTATTGTGCAACTTCATTAATATTCAATACTATCACCGTGTTTTCAGGACAGAGACGCCACGTTGTGTTGGCAAAACAAGCGTGAAGTGTTGCTTTTATAGTTTGCTGCAGTGAAGTTTTGTTTTCATTTTCTCTCTGTGAGAGCTCAGAGTCACGTGTGGATTACAGTGTACGCGACGCTCGACAACAATAACTTACGTGTCTAAGGAGGAACATTGTTTACCTGAGAGCTGTTCTCATCTGCAAACGCTGAGATCCGGATTTGCTTGTAGTCTCCTCTTAATAAAGACGCGGCTCTAGTTGCTGGTGATTGTCCTGTCTCTACAAATTTGGTAAGTGAGCGACCAGCGCTCTTTTTTTATTCAGTTCGTATTTTATTCGTATCAAACAAACTATTGCACCGAGTGTAAACACGTTAGCACCACAACCAAACTTTAACCTCGTGTAGGGTTTTTACCGCATTTTCTGACCGGAATAACACACGCGGCTTTCTGACACTACCTGCCGTGTGCATCTAAGTTTCCGGGAAATGCTAAGGTTTTTTTTCTCTCATTTGCCGTGCGGTATCAAACATTGCATGAAAAATACACGCTTAGAGCAGCTCCTCGAATCAAATATCACGTTTGTCGCGAGGGACATGAATGAATTCCCTGAATGAAAGAGCCAAACTGCAGTTAAAGTCCACCATTTAATAATTTGGCAAATAATTCGACTACAGATGTCCATGTAGGTTAAACACCATCACTTTCTCCTGTATGTGTGTGTGTGTGTGTGTGTGTGTGTGTGTGTGTGTGTGTGTGTGTGTGTGTATTTTGACTCTGAAACTCGCGCGTGCCCAAATAGACACTCCCACACCATCCCACTTTTCTTCCTCCGACACTCCCCCATAAACAGAGCTGGACACGCCCACTTTTCTGACTTTTTCCAAAGTAGAGGTGTGAAAACACCCTGCTGAAACGAGGGGGTTTCATAGCCCTTTAAATGTGCCGATTTTGCAATGACACACTTCGCCGGAAGCACTTAACCCAGGTTACTGGCAAATTAAAAGTCCTTTAGCATACTTAGCATATACCCTATAATAATAATAATAATTTATTATTCTAAAGCCACTTTCTGGCATAATAACCCAACAAATAAGTTATTTTTCTAATCTATGGTCTTGGGTTACCCTTAACAACCAAATAGATTGGGTTAAAATAATCCAACAGCAGGTTGGTGTCAAAACGACCCATCATTGGGTTACCTGTTGGGTTAATATCAACCCAACTGTTTTAAATGAGTGCACTAGGGATGTAGAAAACAAATTACTAGGATAGTCTAATGAATAGCTGCTACTGAATAGCAATAGCACTACATAAGCAGGCAAGATTAGCACTATCTATTTACAGCTCCTCATTCTAACGCCAAAATGCTCATTGTGTCAGATGTGGAAAAAAAAACAGCGAGAAGCATTGCATTAGCCCAAACTCATTAGCCTACAGAGTTTGAGTATCGTGGAATTAGCGCTGCATGGCTTAAGAATTAATTTCCTTGTATAATTAGGCTACCTTAGCATATGCATATTATTTCCGCATGTCTAAACACTATTTATACCCCCACATATCTTTAAAATGCACGCGTAGAAACACTTTGATTTGAGGAAGAACTTAAAGACGCTACTTAGCTTGCTGGTAAGCTTATTGTTAACACACTAAATCATGCTAATCTGCGGTGCAGATCCTTAATTTTACTGTAATTTACTGCAGATGAGGAACCGGACATGTGGGCAACCTTGTGCCCTGCAGAGTTTAGCTTCAACCTTAATCTAACACACCCCTACTGAAAAAAACAGCTTAAACCAGCCTGGGCTGGTTGGCTGGTTTTAGCTGGTCGACCAGGCTGGTTTTAGAGGGGTTTTGTCCATTTCCAGGCTGGTTTCCATCCATTTCCAGCCCGGTCTTTGCTGGTCTGGCCTAAAACCAGCTTGACCAGCCTAGCCAGACTGGGAGCCCAGCCAAAACTAGCTATGTCCAGCTTAAACCAGACTGGTCAAGCTGGTTTTAGGTGGATTTAGCTGGTCATTTTCCAGCCTGACCAGCTAAGACCAGGCTGGAAATGGCTGGAAACCAGCTTGGAAATGGCCAAAACCCCTCTAAAACCAGCCTGGTCGACCAGCTAAAACCAGCCAACAGCCTAGGCTGGTTAAACCTGGATTTTTCAGCAGGGAACAAGCTAATCAAGGTCTTGTTAGGTATATTTGACACTTCCAGTCGGGCGAGTTGGAGCTAAACCCTACAGGGACCTACAGGCCCAAGATTGGTGACCATAGAAGAAACCAAAACAACAACAGCAACCCTAACCTCCTTAGCAGAAGCATGCGCACACACTGTTAATAATTCCTGCTATATGTTTACCCACAGCCTTTATGTACTCCAGACACACTATATAGGGCACGTTTGTTGTCTTTCCCCCCTAAAGGTTGATTTTGCTCCTGTAGCCAGTAAGTCCTGGAGCTCAGCTAATGAGGGTGTTATTAGTATTACCGACCTGCTCCTTTGGTGAGCACCAGCTTGGGCTTGCTGCGGGCTCCGTCTCCTTTGGTGGTGTAGGCTGCCACCGTGATGGAGTACGTGGTGTCGGGCTGCAGGCCCCCGATGACCATCTCCTGTGGTTTCATGGACATGGAGAAGGAAGTTAGCGCTGTGCTGAATTTTTTAAAGACTTCACAACATGCCATCCGCGCTGTCACTTTCCCTTTTTTGTCAGCGTCACAGCCTGGGATCTGCGTTGAAGTATATTAACTTTAGAAACGCACACACATGCACTTGCAAGCACGCATACGCACAAGCGCACGCCGTCGTCTTATTTCCCAGTGTTTCAGGTGAGGGCGAGAGAGCTTTGATCAGTGCGTGACGGAGAGAGAATTAATAGAAAATGCTCAAAGAGGAGAAAGAACCCGCAGCCCCTGCAGCTTACAGAGCACTGAGCTTCACACAAAACCTCTTCAATATTCATATTCATGCAGCTCAGGATTGAACAAATCAGCCCAAAACACACATATAAACACACACACCTGTTACCGGGCAACTTTCAGGGATGGAAAAGAGCTATGATATTGTACAGTATATTGGCTAATCATTGTTACACACGACAATCATATAAAACATGTTACATTAATAAAACAAAAGGCATGACAATTAAAAATAATATAATAAATTACAAAATAGATATATACAGTTGAAGTCAGAATTACTAGCCCCCTGTTTATTTCCCCCCCGATTTCTGTTTAACGGAGAGAAGATTTCTTCAACACATTTCTAAACATGATAGTTTTAATAACTCATCTCTAATAGCTGATTTATTTTATCTTTGCCATGATGACAGTAAATAATATTAGTTTAGATATTCTTCAAGACACTTCTATACAGCTTAAAGGGTCACCAAAACACATGTTTTGAGCTGTTGACAGTGGTATATGTGTCCCACACTGCTAAAAACACTATTAGGACACCTATATTTCACTAAAAAGTGTAAATTGGTTGTTTTTGCGTTATTTCAAGCAAATTTTTACTTCCGGTTTGAAACTAATTTTTGAAGCTGCGTCACGGCCATGACATAATAGCGTGTATTCCAGCGTGCAGACTGGACGCCTGTGCCAGAGTGTGTCTTATTACGTCTTACAGTGTGCTGCATTAATGCATGAGTAAGGCTTGGTTCAAACCAATCAGCGCGCTCTATTGTGCAACTTCATTAATATTCATTAGTGTCACTGTGTTTAGACGACAGAGACGCCACGTTGTGTTGGCAAAACAAGCGTGAAGTGTTGCTTTTATAGTTTGCTGCAGTTAAGTTTCGTTTTCATTTTCTCTCTGTGAGAGCTCAGCTGGAGTCACGTGTGGATTAACAGTGTACGCGACGCTCGACAACAATAACTTACGTGTCTAAGGAGGATTATTGTTTACCTGAGAGCTGTTCTCATCTGCAAACGCTGAGATCCGGATTCGCTTTAGTCTCCTCTTAATAAAGACGCGGCTCTAGTTGCTGGTGATTGTCCTGTCTCTACAGATTTGGTAAGTGAGCGACCAGTGCTCTTTGTTTATTCAGTTTGTTCGTATCGAATTAAGTTAACTATTGCACCGAGTGTAAACATGTTAGCACCACAACCAAACTTTAACCTCGTGTAGGGTTTTCACCGCATTTTCTGACCGGAATAACACACGCGGCTTTCTGACGCTACCTGCCGCGTGCATCTAAGTTTACGGGAAATGCAGAGTTTTTTTTCTCATTCGTCGTGCGGTATCAAACATTGCATGAAAAATACACGCTTTGAGCAGATCCTCGAATCAAATATCTCATTTGTTGCGAGGGACATGAATGAATTCCCTGAATGAAAGAGCCAAACTGCAGTTAAAGTCCACCATTTAATCATTTGGCAAATAATTCGACTACAGATGTCCATGTAAACACAGTCACTTTCTCACTTTCTCACTTTTCTGACTTTTTCCAAAGTAGAGGTGTGAAAACACCCTGCTGAAACAAGGGGGTTTCATGGCCCTTTAAAGTGACATTTAAAGGCTTAACTAGGTTAATTAGGTTAACTAGGCAGGTTAGGGTAATTAGGCAAGTTATTGTATAACAGTGGTTTGTTCTGTAGACTATCGGAATAATATAGCTTAACTTGATGCCGCTCCGACGTACCGCCTGTAGTACATAGCACATTTACGGGAAAACTTCATATATCATATATGTCATATATCGTTTGAAAGCTGCGATTCTTGTGATTAAAACTATTCCAACCATTTTAAGACATGATGAACATACAGTGGCAGACCCAATTAGTGTCAAAATGCCGATAATCACAGAAGCAATAACAAAACTGAAAAAAACTCACATTTTATGCCTTCTGTCTGTCCACAGATCCACAACATTTCAACAAACAGGGTGTAAATACACTGCAAAGGGTCCGGCCAATCCAATTCAGTAAAATATTTAGTCCACAACCCAAGAAATTCACCGCTATCATTTCAAACTAGTCTCCGGAGCAATCAAATCTATGTGTTCGGTAGTGTGTTGTCTTTTCAGATGTAAACAATACTACCATTTCGAAAGAAAATGGCCACTGACCTTTGCCCTTTTGATTGGCATATCAATTTACTTTGGGCATGCATTTTTTGGGCATTTAAGCAAATTTTAGAGAAACGCTAAAGGGTTCAAGGGGCTAATAATATTGATTTTAAAATGGTTTTAAAAAATTAAAAACTGCTTTCATTCTAGCCGAAATAAAACAAATCAGACTTTCTCCAGAGGAAAAAATATTATCAGACATACTGTGAAAATTCCCTTGCTCTGTTAAACATCATTTGGGAAAAATTAAAACAAGAAAAGAAAACTTAAAGCGGGGCGAATAATTCTGACTTCAACTGTATACACACACACACACCTGTTACTGTGCAACTTTTGGGGACTCAAAAGAGACTTTTTTTTAAATACCATCAAACATAAATAGATAAACAGTAAGATTGTATATTGGTTAATAGTTTTTATACCCAACAATTGTATAAAATATGTTAATATAAGTCATGACAATAAAAAATAAAACAACACAATAAATCATAAAATATCCATTTGATTATACACACATACACTCGCTGGCCACTTTATTAGGTGCTCGTTAGCGCAAATTTCTAATCAGCCAATCAGATGGCAGCAACTTAATGCATTTAGGCATGTAGACATGAACAAGACGATCTGCTGCAGTTCAAATTGAGCATCAGAATGGGGAAGAAAGGTGATTTAAGTGATTTTGAACGTGGCATAGTTGTTGATGCCAGACGGGCTGGTCTGAGTATTTCAGAAACTGCTGATCTACTGGGATTTTCATGCACAACCATCTCTAGGGTTTACAGAGAATGTATGGAGTCAATCTAGGGCCATATATATATATTACTTGCAACATAAAAGAACGTTTTGCTATTAAAAAATAAAATTATTGGGCAAAAAAACAAAACAAAAAAACAAAACAAAGCAAATCTAAAAAAAAAAATTAATCATGAAAATTGAGTTTTGAGAAATAAAAAGGAATTTTGCAAACAAAAAAAAAAGAGCTGCAAATAAAAATCAAGAAAAAAAAATATATATATGTATATTTGCTAAATATTTTTTCTAGTATTGCCTTTAGATATATTATTAGATATATATTTAAATATATTTAAAGAGCACATTTCATACACAGTGGCAATTCAAAGGGCTTTACATAAACAACAATAAAAGAGACAAGCATAAGAAAATAAAACAAATAATAAAAACAATTAAAAACAGACAAAACAGATTAAAATGTGTTAAAACAGGTTATAAAAGAAAGAAAAAGAAAGACATAATAGTGCGATCTGTGGGACGCAGCACAGTGCTCATTCAGTAAAGGCACAGCTAAACAGATGTGTTTTCAGTCTTGATTTGAATGCGCCTAATGTTGGAGCACATCTCATCATTTCTGGAAGCTGATTCTAGCAGCGGGGGGCGCTGTTAGTGGCTGAAAGCCGATTCACCGTGCTCTGACTGAACTCTTGGATTTTCGCATCACGGATGTGCAGCCGACGAATCTGTTGAATCCATGCCACGAAGCTTTAAGGCAGTTCTAAAGGCAAAAGGGGGTCCAACCCAATGCTGGTAAGGTGTACCTAATAAAGTGGCCGGTGAGTGTGTGTATATATATATATATATATATATATATATATATATATATATATATATATATATATATATATATATATATTCACACACATGCAATGCATTTTTATTTTCTTTAAAACAAGCATCAGATTTTGTAGTTAACTATGTTACATTGAAATGCACACACGATCACAGCACAAAATACACACTTTTTTTCCATGGCAGGCATGAAGAAACCCTGATGTTACATCATTTCCCCTGTGCACCATTAATATTTTTCACACACACGCACACAGTGGATGTGAGCTTGCATTTGTTGTTTTTTTCTGTGACCCAAACAGCTCATTATAAACAGCCTGAACTTCAGCACAAACATGCAGAAATGTACTGATGATTATGGCGGGTGGGCGTGATGTATGCATTAAGTGGCCATGCTGGCTTGTGCATCTGATGGGCGGGGCCAGTCTATGCAAACTGATGGGCGCGGCTGATGTATGTGTCTGGTAGGAGAGGCCGACGTATGCGTAAGATGGACATGCATCATGTTGGCGTGGCGAATGTATGTTTAGATGGGCGTGACTAATATGTGTGCTAGGTTGGGCTGATTTATGCATCTGATGGGCGGGGCCAGTGAATGCAATGAATGGGCGTGGTTGATGTATGCATCTGGTAGGCGGGATTGATTTATGCATGAAATAGACAGGTTTGATGTATGCATCAGGTGGGTGTGGTTGATGAGTCATGTGGGCTAGGCTGGGTAGATCTAATGTATGTGTAAAATGGGCGGGGCTGATGTATGCATCAGGAAGAGGGGCTTAAGTATATGGAAAATAGGGAGGGCTGATGTACGCATCAAATGGGTGGGGCTGATGTTTGCGTCAGATGGGCGGGTTGATGTATGCACCAGGTGGTTGGGACTAATTTATGTGTAAAATGGGTGGGGCTGATGTATGCATAAGATATGCGGAGCTGATGTATGCATTAGGGGGGAGGGACTAATGCATGTGTAAAATGGGCGGGGCTGATGTATGCATCAGGTGAATGGGGAGCTGATGTATGCACCATGTAGGTGGGACCAACATATACCTAAAATGGGTGGGGCTGATGTATGCATAAGATATGCGGAGCTGATGTATGCATTAGGGGGGAAGGACTAATGCATGTGTAAAAAGGGCGGGGCTGATGTATGCATCAGGTGAATGGGGAGCTGATGTATGCACCATGTAGGTGGGACCAACATATACCTAAAATGGGTGGGGCTGATGTATGCATAAGATGGATGGGGCTGATAGGTGATTGGGACTAATGTATGTGTAAAATGGGTGGAGCTGATGTATGCATAAGATGGGTGGGGCTTATGTATGCATAAGATAGGTGGAGTTGATGTGAGAGGGACTAATGCATGTGTAAAATGGGCGGGGTTGACGTATGCATCAGGTAAATGGGGAGCTGATGTATGCACCATGTAGGTGGGACCAACTTATGTCTAAAATGGGTGGAGCTGATGTATGCATGTATGCGTAAGATGGGTGTGGCTGATGTGTACACCAGGTGGTTGGGACTAATGCATGTGTAAAATGGGCGGGGCTGACCCATGCATCAAATGGGTGGGGCTAATGTATGCATAAGATAGGCGTAGCTGATGTATGTACCAGGGGTGGGACTAAAATACACGTAAAATGGGCGGGGCTGATGTATGCATCAGGTGGGTGGGAGCAATGTATGCGTTTAATTGGTGGAGCTGATGTATGCATCAAATGGGTGGAGTTGATGTATGCATCAGGTGGGAGGGATTAATGCATGCGTAAAATGGGTGGGGCTGAGTTATACATTAGTTGAATGGAGATTGATGTATGCACCAGGTGGGCGGGGCCAAAGTATTCCTAAAATGGGTGGAGCTGATGTATGCATGAAATGGGTGGGGCTGATGTATGCATCATATTGATGGGGCTGATGTATGCATCAAATGGGTGGAGCTAATGTATGCATCATTTAGGTGGGGTTGATGTATGCATTAGATAGGCGGAGCTGATGTATGCATGAAGTGGGAGGGACTAATAAATGTGTAAAATGGGCGGGGCTGATGTATGCATCAGTTTAATGGGGATTGATGTATGCATCAAATGGGTGGGGCTGATGTATGCATCAAATGGGTGGAGCTAATGTATGCATCATTTGGGTGGGGTTGATGTATGCATCAAATGGGTGGAGCTGATGTATGCATCATTTGGGTGGGGCTGATGTATGTATAAGATAGGCGGAGCTGATGTATACATAAAGTGAAAGGGACTAATGCATGCGTAAAATGGGCGGGGCTGATGTAAGCATAAGATGGATGGGGAGCTGATATATGCACCATGCTGGTGGGACCAAAGTACCGCTAAAATGGGTGGAGCTAATGTATGCATCAGGTGGGAGGGACCAATGTATGCATAAAATGGGTGGAGCTGATGTATGCGAAAGATAGGCGGAGTGGATGTATGCATGGGGTGGGAGGGACCAATGCATGTGAAAAATGGGTGGAGCTGATGTATGCATAAGATAGGCGGAGTGGATGTATGCATCGGGTGGGAGGGACCAATGCATGCGTAAAATGGGCGGGGCTGATGTATGCGTAAGATGGGCATGGCCGATTTGTGCATCAGGTGGGCAGGGCCTATATGTGAATCAGTTGGGCGGGGTTTAAGTATGTGTGTGGTGGGCAGGGCTAACGTGTGTACGTCTGGTGGGCGGGGCAGATGTAACATCACAGGTGTGGATCACATGACCTCAGCCATACTCACGTATTCAGCTGTGTCGTCCATTTCCCACTAACATCCCCCACCCGGAGGACAGACAGAGAGCAGAGGAGAAACACAGACAGACAGACAGTGGAGAGTAAGACGAGCCCAGCAAACACTCCTCTAAAGTAGGTCAGTGTGGATTAGGCCAAAAAAAGAAGAAGAAGAAAAAAAAAAGGCTGGAGATTGAAGACGAGGCAGGAAATTGAGCACCGAGCGCGATCGGAGCATGACATTCACCATTTCATTTAGTCAGAGGATGAAAAAAAAAAAAGGCCCGTTTCAGTTTCACAGCAGATCGATCCAGCAGTTCATCTAAGATATATGCTAGGAGGATATTTATACTCAAATATACATTATTTTCATAGATTTTTTCACATACTTAGTAAGTTAAATTAACAAATTCGAGATTTTTTTTTTTTTTTTACTAAATTAGCTAAATTTCATACCAAAATTAATTTCATCTCATTCATTCATTTTATTCTCAGCTTAGTCCCTTTATTAATTTGGGGTCGCCACAGCGAAATGAACCGCCAACTTATCCAGCATATGTTTTACGCAGCGAATGCCCTTCCAGCTGCAACCGATCATTAGGCAATAATTTCATCTCATAATGCTGACTTTACACAGATAACTTACAAAGTTTACAAAGATATGCAAATTAAGCAATTATTCTAAAAGAAACTGTTCTAAATTGAAATATCAAGTAAAACAAATAAAACAAATGTACATTTACATATTTTTAAAAAAAATTTAAATATGCAAATATCTCAATATTCAAATACAGTTGAAAGCAGAAGTACACACACTGTATAAAAAAAGACACATAACCAATAAAACAAAGTCAGAGGTTAATATGACTAAACTTTTAGGTAAGTTAGGATTATCAAATGTGTTTCTGTCATGCTTAATAGCAGAATAATGAGAGAGATTTTTTTTGAGAAATTGTTATAACTTTTCTTTGAAATTGTTAAAACTTGGTTTTAGAAGTTTCTGATTGGCTGATTGACAACATTTGAGTTAACTGGAGGCACAACTGTAGAATAGTATTGAAGGAAAAGCTCAAACACACTGCTTCCTTGTGTGACAACATGGGAAAATCAACAAGCCAGAATCAACAACAAAGCCAGATTACATTTAGCTGAATTACACTGGGAAAAAGAGTAATGTTTGGAGACATGTCCTGTGGTCTGATGGAGCTAATATTGAACTGTTTGGCCAGAATGACCAGCGTTACATTTGGAGGACAAAGGGGAAAGCTTACAAGCCTAGGAACACCATCCCAACTGTGAAGTATTGGGGGCGGCAGCATCATGTTGTGGGGCTGTTTTGCTGCAGGAGGGACTGGTCCACTTCACAGCATAGATGGCACCATGAAGAAAGAACATTATGTAGAAATACTGAAGCAACATCTCAAGACATCAGCCAGGGAATTAAAACTTGGCCACAAACGGGTCTTCCAAACAGACCATGACTCTAAGAATACTGCCAAAATAGTTCAAATGTGCTTTAAAGACAACAGAGTGAATGTTTTGCAGTGGCCATCACAAAGCCCTGATGTCAATCCTATAGAAAATTTGTGGGCAGAGTTGAAAAAGCTTGTGTGAGCAAGACAGCCAACAAATCTGACTCAGTTACACCGATTCTGTCAGGAGGAATGAGCCAAAATTCCTGCAAACTATTGTGAGAAGCTTGTGGAGGGATACCTAAAACAGTTGATTAAAGTTATACAGTTTAAAAGCAAAGCTAAAAAATACCAAGGAAATGCGTGTAAACTTTTGACTGTCTAGAAATTAATAAAAAATTCTCTTATTATTCTGGCATTTAACAGATGTAAATCATTTAGGTAATCCTAACAGACCTAAAATAGTAAACGTTTAGTATGACTTAACATCAGACATATAAAACAAAAATGGTTGTGTTCTTTTTTTAGTGTATGTAAACTTCTGGTTTCAACTGTAATAAAAGTTCTATATACCTACATTTTTATGAATCAAATGACAAAACGGCATATTTTAATATTTACTATTAATGACTTAAACTAAAAATGACTTGATAAAAGTCTCTTAAGATCTACGAGTATATTTTCACAAAAGCCACTTCAGGTAAAGAGAAACAAACGAATATAAGCTTTTATTTTCAGGTCAAACACAAAATATCCCGTCATGTCCCAGATATCACTGTAAAATCAACTGACGACTGTAAGCCACTCGTTCATAAACAGAAGCGGCGCTAACTCAAACGCTTCAGTCACGGTTTGTTCAAAGCTGTAATGTTCGCGGCTGTGAGGAGAATACGGCATCCGTGATTTCACTGCTGTTTTCGTGACAGAAGCTTGTATTATAATTCGAGGTTTCAGCCGGAGGCATTGGCTCACTTTTTATTCTCTCTTCTTTTCTTTCTTTGCTGTTTGTGTTTTTAAATTAAGCCTGAATTGTGACCGCAGCGCTCAAGTGCCTTTTTTTGTGCAGCTCTCGGGCACTCAATACGGCAGACATAATCAGCTTTTGTTGACTTTATCTATGACACTACAGCCTTAGAGGTTAAACTTATTAGAGGTTTGACTAAACCGTGCAATTCTAATGGCTGATAAGATGTTTTGGACTGCTTGTGGAAAGCTTTCTAGAGGCTAGAAAAGAACTTCACAGATTAAACGATTTATAAAAGGATTTTCACGCATTTTAGGGCCACTTTTGCTCTAACGGAAGTCTGAAAATATTGGACGACTAGTAAACCAATCGAATATGCACTCAATAGGGTATATGCACAGCTTGTGTTTTTCAGCCATTAATAAACTTCCGGTGTAAGGTTTATGTAACTATTTTCAATTTCATAAGGTTCCTTTTACACCTTTGATGCTGTAATATAATTAAAATACAATTAGTTAAATAGATTTAAGCATTCGTTTAGTTGTTCAAGCATAAAACAAGCAGGCTAGCACAGAAACTCCATTGAAAAAACCAGGGTAAAATAAATTTCGATATTTAAAGATGTGGAATAAAAAAAATGCTATTTAATGCAGTGCTTCTTGTCTACTTTGCTACCTGCTTAACATCAATCAGGAAGTGAAAATCACTGATTAAAAAAAAATAAGATCCTAAACGTGGCAATTTTTAATGGCGCAACAGTTAATGCACCATTGATAAAGAAAGTGGTTTCAGGGATGGAGCAAGACGAATATGAATCCAAACATACCTGTGCATCAGCTAGCATGACGTCCTTGATGAGCGGGAGGCCACGGGATTCACCGTTCTCCACTCGGACGTAGTGCACTTGGTACCCCCGGATCTGCCCGTGCTGCTTTCCTGGCAGTAAGGAGCGCCACATCACCTTGATGGCAGTGGAGTTGAGCACTTCGACCTCCACGCGGCGCGGCGGGGCCCCGGGGACTGCAGGGACCAAACATTGCTCAACATCAGACACAGGGTTGATCATATGCACTACTTTTTACCATCTTCAGAGGCCAGTTTGATAAACATTTCAACCCAGAGAAGACTCTGAAAGTCTTGAATTTGAAGGGAGCACATTTTTCTTTCAATCTACCAATTTGTACAAAGCTAGTATTAACGATTCCTGAGATTTTTCCATTTTAACATTCAATACTGGTGGCCGAGTTCGTCATATGCACTACTTTTTACTAACTTCAGAAGCCAGTTTGATAAATATTTCAACCCAGAGAAGATTCTAAACCACTTGAATAAAAAGTAAGCATGTTTTCCTCTAATATATCAATTTGTAGGAAACTAGCAATAACGGTTCCTGAGATTTTTACAATTTTAAATAAAATACTGGTGGCAGAGTTAATCATACGCACTAATTTTTACCAACTTAAGAAGCCAGTTTGATAAAAATTTCAACTCAGAGAAGACTCTGAAGCCCTTAAATTTAAAGGAAGCACATTTTTCTGCCAATCTACCAATTTGTACAGAGCTAGTACAAACAATTCCTGAGATTTTTAAATTTTCACATACACTGGTGGCCGAGTTCATCATATGCGCTGCTTTTTACCAACTTCAGAAGCCAGTTTGATAAATATTTTAAGCCAGGGAATATTCTGAACCACTTGAATTTGAAGGTAGCTTATTTTTCTACTAATTTACTAATTTGTAGACAACTAGCAATAATGGTTCTTGAGATTTTGACATTTTTAAATATAATAATGGTGGCCGAGTTCATCATTTCCACTATTTTTTTACCATATTCAGAAGACAGTTCGATAAATATTTCAACTCAGAGAAGACTCTAAAACACTTGAATTTGAAGGAAGCACATTTTTCTTCCAATCTACCAATTTGTACAAAGGTAGTAATAATGATTCCTGAACATTTTACATTTTTACGTACAATACTGGTGGCCGAGTTCATCATATTTACTACTTTTTACCAAATTCAGAAGCCAGTTTGATAAATATTTCAACTCAGAGAAGATTCTGAAACACTTGAATTTGAAGGAAGCACATTTTTCTTCCAATCTACCAAATTGTAGAAAGCTAGTAATAATGATTCTTAAGATTTTTTCATTTTTACGTACAATACTGGTGGTCGAGTTCATCATATACACTACTTTAAACTTAATTCAAAAGCCAGTTTGATAAATATTTCAACCCAGAGAAGATTCTGAACCACTTGAATATGAAGGAAGTGTGTTTTTCTTCCGATATACCAATTTGTACACAGCAAGTAAAAACAATTGCTGAGATTTTTTACATACAATACTGGTGGCAGAGTTAATCATATGCTAATTTACCAAGTTAAGAAGCCAGTTCCATAAACATTTTAACTCAGAAAAGACTTTGAAATCCTTGAATTTAAAGGAAGCACATTATTCTTCCAATCTACCAATTTGTACAAAGCTGGCAATAACGATTCTTGAGAATTCTACATACAACACTGGTGGCCGAGTTTATCATGTTCACTAATATATACCAATTTAAGAAGCCAGTTCCATAAACATTTGAAGACTCTGAAACCCTTGAATTTAAAGGAAGCACATTTTTCTTCCAATCTACCAATTTATAGAAAGCTACTAAAAAACAATTCCTAAGATTTTTACATTTTTACATACAATACATGCCGAGTTCATCATATACACTACTTTTTACTAATATCAGAAGCAAGTTTGATAAACATTTCTACTCAGAGAAGACTGAAACCCTTGAATTTAAAGGAAGCATGTTATTCGTCCAATCTACCAATTAGTAGAAAGCTAGCAATAATGGTTCCTGAGATTACCTTTTTTTAAATATGGTATCAGTAGCCGAAATCCCCAATAGCTATGTTTCTATCAATAAATGTCAATTGGACTCATGTGCAAAACTGAAATATCGCATAAAACATTTCCATCCAGTCAAAGAGAAAAAATAATCGTCACTTCCCAATAAACTGGCACCACATATAAACAAGTATTTTTTGTGTGTGGTAGGAAAAGCCACTCTGGGCCAGTTTTCCTTATATAATAAATGAGTTGCGCCTCAGAAGACGAAATGTAATGAATGTGCTTTTAAAGGCATGAGACACTCTCAAGACAGTTCTGGAGGTAATAATGATAATAGAATAATAATAATAATACTGAACCACTGTGATCACAGACTTTGGCTGAGGCATTTTAGAATGCATAACATTTAAACACAATATGATGCTTGCGATCTGCTAAGCTAGCAATAATATTTGTGAATATTTATTTTTACATACAGTATGTTGGTCTTTATCTGTGCAAAGGTCATCGATACCGATGTTACGGTGTTGTTGCACATTGTTTTTCAATTGACTATGAGCTACTTTGTTTTAAAGTAAGCATGTTTTCCACCAATCTACCAATTTGTAAAAGGCTAGCAATAACAGATCCTGGGATTTTTTAACATGCGGTAGTGTTTTTGGTTTGTGCAAAACCAATTTCGTGGCAGCGTGTTGCTATATGATACTTCGGTAGCCTCGTTTTTCTCCATATCAGTAAGTGTAGTTTGAATTATAGCGGTAGTGTTGATTGCTTACATCATGTTAGGGACATTAAAAAGCCAATTAAAATTATGCTTTGATTACAACTCGACTTGAGTAGACATTTTTGCGTTATTTAAACTAATATTTTTGCCTTATGAGTCTCTTTGGTTTGAAGGGAACCATTTACAAAGCTGGACCCTAAGATTTCACCCCCTAAAAAATTTGAATGCAAGGCTCTTCTCTCTTCAAGAGTGCAGTTTTAAGTTCATGCAACATCACACATATTCAATTATGTCTGATTCAGACTGATTAGCCAAACTGTAATGGCACAATGCACCTACCCTAATGGAGCACCTCAAGACGGTACAATAGACCCAGCTCAAAATGTCTGAAAAGAAACTAAGCCCTAGCGCCTCGGCTAGTATGTACATTCAATTATGTGAAACCAGGTTACTGATTAAGCGCCCATCTTCGGGGACATTTAATCAAATGTAATATCACACCCCCATATAGCCGAGCGACCATTTCATCCCCTTCCATTTCACTATCATTCTTATCCGAGATCAATTCTCCGTCTGCAGACCTGCGAGCTAATGAAAATCCTTTTATACGAGGCCTTGATGTTTAATACCTCCGGTCGTTCGGCAGTGCTGTAAGGAGGAGACCGATTTCCTGGACGGTCAATAAAAGGCACCATAAGGGGATGTACTGTACTGTGTATCAGGGCCCGACTCTTCCTTATGAGACGGTTTTAATGCTACAAGTCTGTGACTGGCGTAATGCTCGGATAACTTCATGTGGGTTGGTGGAATGAGATTTCCCATCGGAGGTCTTGGGAAAACGTTCCCTCCCTCTGACCGGCCGGCCTACAGCGGTTGACCAGCCTGTCAAAACCATCCATCGCCGGATGGCCCCCAGCGCCAGCGGAAGGCTGTGCTCCGTATTGATTACTAGCTTGTATCCTGAACCAGTGCTGTCAGTCACGGAGAAAGACTGCTGTCACCGGAGGGGGACCGTCAGACAACATTTCTTACTCTGGCTGGATTTATCTCAGTGCTCATAAGCTGTCCGGGCGCTTTACAAAGAGGTGAAAATGATGCCAAGTCAATGTTTCCTCCATCATGTAATGCTAGTCAATAGATCTGCCCCCCCAAAAAGGGAGCTGTCTGCAGTGACGTACAATCAACATTTCTCCTGGCTTGTTCGCTGTATTGGATTTATTTACTTGCTAAGCTTAGACAGTGACCTTTGAAGGCTCTAGAAAAATGATAAGCCCTGCCTTTTCGTTCAAAGAGTCAATTGGCTTTATTCTGGAATCAGGGATTCGTATCTATAACATAAGAATATAGTGTTATTATGTGGTCTGTAGAGGAAGCATTAGGCCAGGGGTGCTCAATCCTGTTCCCGGAGATCTATCTTCCTGTACAGTTTAGCTCAGGGATGGGCAAACTCGGTCCTGGAGGGCCGGTATCCTGCACAGTTTAGCTCCAACACTAATCAATCACACCTGAACAAGCTGTATATATATATATATATATATATATATATATATATATATATATATATATATATTAGTGCTGTCAAAAGTAGTGCGTTAACGCATGCGATTAATTTTAAATAATTAACGTGTTAAAAAAAATTAACGCAATTAACTCAGTTCAGGTTTTTTTTACTTCCTGTTGTGGTGGACGTGTGTTCAACATGCAAGAAATGTGGATAAGACCAAGGAAGCACTTTTTGAAGGCAAGTTCCAGTATAAAACAATTAGTTGCATCACAGGTTATCCAGAGTTTCATGCAATTTCGGGTGTTTCATTTTTAACTTTCGACATCTGTTGTAAGTTGATACCGCATGGCGAACAGAAAGAAAATCCTCCGCATTTCGTGACTCGGTGTTCCTTTAAGGTAGAGGTCTGCATTCCCGCGGCTGTCCCGCGGGCGCCGCGGGACCCGACCAGATTTCTACGGCGCGGGTATAAATTTCCGAATAAATCACGGGGGCGGTCGGTAACGGGTTTAATTTGGGACGGGAGCGGGCTGTCTAGCAATATCGCTCCCGACTCCCGAGTGAGCACGCGTATGTATGTGTGTAAATGAAATAGCGCGATGCTCTGTTTAGCTTGTTTGTTGCAGTGTGTGTGTGTGTGTGTGTGTGTGTGTGTGTGCGTGTATGTATGCGCACGCGCGAATGAGAGATATGTGTGTGTGCGCGCGAATGAGAGATAGAGAGCTTTGCCTGTGTTTGTGCTTGGTGCTTATGAGTGTGTGTTAGAGGGCGCGCGTGCGCGAATGAGAGAAAGTTTTGTCTGTGTGTGTGTGCTTGGTGCTGTGCGTGTGTGTGTTTATACAGACAGCTTGTTATAGGCTGTCTGGACTGTATAACTTGGTGATTTTCGGTTTTGTGGTTTTGTTCTCCCCCCGCTCTTTAGCGGGTCGGGCGCGGCGGATAGAAAACGGGGCGGGTCGGGCATCGGGACATCAAGTGCTTAATATAAGCGGGAGCGGTCGGGTTCGGGCTAAAACCTGGCGGGTGCGGGGAGCGGGATTCAAAATTTAGTCCCGCGCAGATCTCTACTTTAAGGTAAGCTTCCTTTTAAGGCTACACGGTAGAATTTTATTAAAGAGTATAATCTTAATCATATTAAAATCTGAGTATTGGTGTCTTATGTAAATGTACTCAGAACGTTTGGTGAAGTCGCAGGCTGTCAAAGACAGGGCATTACTCTGCCTTTCAGCATGAGCCCTCCAAGTTTAGCGCGTTTCCTCATTAAACGCAACTAAAGCGTATGCTTCGCGTTGTTGTGTCAGAATCCTTGTGAAATACAGTAATACTGTAGGACGCTTAGTTTAGGACGCTTAGCAAATTTGATGAAGGTGATCATGCGTGTTGAATCTGAGGGGAGTCGCTCCAGTATGGAAGGCCGTTGGGGCCAAAACGTCTGCAGCGCGTTGTGTGTGTCTGTCTGTGTGTGTGTCTGTGTCAGGCCCGTTGAGGGGTGTCAGGGTGGAGTGAGCGACGTATCTAGGGGCGAGAGGGGTGTGCAATGTATTTAACGACCGGTTTGCAAGAAATTATCATTCATTTGTGGGCATTTGGGAGTCTCTGTGCACTTGCGGGATACTCCTAGTCTTAGCAACTGGATGAATGTAAAGGAGGATTAAGCAAAATAGTTTCTACTCTATAATTAATGTTCTCAACTCACAGCAATAAAACTTTACAATGAGTGCAACAGTTTGTATTCTATAGTTAATTATTATAATTTTTCATTTTCCATATCTGCAATTCCTGTATTTTGGCTTTTTTTTTGCAGTCCACTTAGAATCCAACATGGAAATCAATGTTTTCTTTATTGGCTTTGATTGTTTTGAAATTTAAATGTCATTAACATGCCTGTGTTTTCATTTCTGTAATAAATATGGCTGTCAAGCCAGGATCTTGATGGTTTATTGTGGGTTTGTTGTTTACATGAAGAAATCTGTGGTACAAGTTAAACAAAAATTCTATTAAACAATAATATTTTGAATTTAAATTTTTTTTCTTGCGTTTACATTAATTTTACATTTAAATAGGCAAAATTACAAGTTTCAGTATTTTAAATGCGATTAATCGCGATTAATTTTTAAAAAAAGGTGCGATTAATTAGTTAATTTTTTTTTTCGATTGACAGCACTAATATATATATATATATATATATATATATATATATATATATATATATATACTTAAAGGCTTATTGTGTGAATGATGAAGCTGTGGTGGACTTCTCCTTTCGAAAAATTAACCGTCACTCTCGAGGCTCTTCGCCACCTGTCCACGACGATGATTATTAGTTTTAAATAAATTATTAAATCATAAAAACATGGTGCTGCACAGTCTAAGTAAATAAACTGGTTATTTTATTTATTTCACAAAATAATTTGTTAAAAATATTAAATATTAAGTATATATAAAATATAAGTTATATGCTAATGTGCAAACCAGAATGAAAAAAATCCCATCATACTGTACACTGATAAAGTTTTTGACCACAGCAGTCATTTTATTAGGTTTTGACTCAAAAAGCTTTGTATATCTGTGTTAAAGCTTATAATTATTTTTCTTTACTAGATAATTATGTTATGAATCAAAAACTATAGAACCATTTTAATCAAAAAGGTTCTTAGCTCTCGAAGGGTCCTAAATGGAACCATTTTTTTGGGTAAAAGGTTCTACTGGTCAAGTATAGAACCCCAAGGTTCTATATAGAACCTCTTTTTTAGAGTGTAAACAGTTGAAGTCAGAATTATTAGCCCCCCTGTTTATTTTTTCCCCGATTTCTGTTTAACAGAGAGATGTTTTCAAAAAAATAGCTTAAAGGGGCTAATAATATTGACCTTAAAATGGTGTTAAAAAAATTAATAACTGATTTTATTCTCACCGCAATAAAACAAATACGACTTTCTCCAGAAGAAAAAATATTATCAGACATACTGTGAAAGTTTCCTTGCTCTGTTAAACATAATTTGAAAAATATTTAAAAAAGAAAAAAAAAATTAAAAGGGGGGCAAATAATTCTGACTTCAACTGTAAATGCTTTCACTCTCAACCTGTTTGATGCATTCTAACACTTTTACGAAGAATAAAATAACTGTTTTTGAATAATCATTAATGCAATGTTGGTTTATAAACCAATGAAAATTTGTTTTTCAAACAATCCCTATCCATGCATGAGCACTAAATCGGAGCTAATTCTGAAATGAGGTTTAGGTTTCAGTACCGTCCTCATCAGTCCGGCAGAGCAGAGGCTCGCTCTCAGGGCCCGAACCCACACTGGTGGAGGCCGCCACGGTGACCCGGTACATAGTCCATTTCTCCAGCCGTTGCAACAGGATCTGGTCGGACGTGGGCGCCTCCACATGCTCCGTGCTGACCTCGGCTCCGGCGCCCACCACCGCGTAGCGCACAATGTACCCGGCCAGCTCCCCATTTTGGCTTTCTGCCGGCGGAGGGCGCCAACTTACCATCAGGACGGTGGAGCTGGAGCTGGAGCACTTAATGTCTTGAGGGGGGGCGGAGGGCTCTGCTCAGGTTTGGGGAGAGGGGGGGGAAGAGGAAGGGGTGGAAAACAAAAAACGAAAAGATGGGAAAGAGAAAAAGAAAATGATAAAAGGGAAAAAACAACTGAACGAAAAAAAACAAACAAACAAACAAGCAGAGACATACTGGAACGTAAGAACAAAAGAACCAAACGCAAAGGGTAAATGCAAACAGAAGAGCTTGGTTTTGAAGGGGTCGGTGTGCTTCTTTTGCATGCATAAATATGGAGTATGAAGGCTTAACTTTGGCAAAGATCTGGAGGTAACACCATATTTGATGGGTGTACGATCAGAGATTACACTTCAAAATAAGATTATCTTTCACTGTATTTGTGCATCTTGCCCTGCACTAATACCTACATGTTAAATCAATTAGTAGAAGAGCAATATAACATTAAAAAAAGTTTTTAAAACATAAAAATTAATAATTTTATGCATAAAAACAGGAAAAATCTCCAAATGGGGTGAAAAGTGTCACCTTTCTTAAGCTTTGCATTTTAAAGCTAAAGTATGTAGCTGAGTATTTTTGCTAAATTTAGCCAAGTATTTTTGTAAAACCCTATTGGTTTCAGTATAAACTCACTATATTTATAAACAGTTGAAGTCAGAATTATTCGCCCCGTTTTTTTTTATCCCCAATTTCTGTTTAACGGAGAGCAGATTTTTTTCAACACATTTCTAATCATAATGACTTTAATAACTCATCTCTAATGACTGATTTATTTTATCTGTGCCATGAAGACTGTAAACAATATTATAGTGCTTTCACACCTGTGAATCGATTCAGTTGTTCCGAAACAGAGATTACAATTGTTACATTGTTGCTCTTTGCTCTTGGAGCGGTTCGCTTTCACACTGCAAAGTTTCTAATCGGACCAAAAGAGCTAAAACAAGTCACGTGCGAGTAAACTCTCCTCACATTGGTCAGAGTGTCAGGGTTTATTTTGCAGCGTCCCGCTCAGCTGTCAGGAGAGGTGGTGGTTTGGTGGTGATTGACAGGGTGCGCGCGTGTCACGTGTCGGAGGAGAGACATGGTGGGGAGGGGTGAGAAGGGTGCGCGACGTAGCCTATTTGAGGACCGGGAGGGAGACGCGAGATTACCGGGAGATCATCACTCGTTTGCGGGCATCCGGAGACTCGCGAAACTTCCCGCCCTACTCATAATTCTCTCTTCATATAGCCGTAAGCCTATTACACATCCATAAAACACTGTGATATAACCGCGCTCGGATCGGATCGCTTTCTCACTGCAATCGAACCGCTCCAGGGTTCGTTTCAATCGAGCCGAGACCACCTCATTCAAGCGATCTCGGAGCGATTACTTTGGCGCGATTGCCCTGTTCACATATGCCAATCGAACCGCGCTAACTGGGCAAACGAGATACGTTCCGAAACAAAAGTGTAGGTGTGAAAGCGCCCTTATACTAGATATTCTTCAAGACACTTCTATACAGCTTAAAGTGACATTTAAAGGCTTAACTAGGTTAATTAGGTTAACTAGGCAGGTTAGGGTAATTAGGCAAGTTATTGTATAATGATGGTTTGTTCTGTAGACTGTCAGAGAAAATAGCTTGAAGGGGCAAATAATATTTTCCTTAAAATGGTGTTTAAAAAATTAAAAACTGCTTTTATTTTAGCCGAAATAAAACAAATCAGACTTCCTCCAGAAGAAAAAATATTATCAGACATGCTGTGAAAATTTCCTTGCTTTGTTAAACATCATTTAAAAAATATTTAAAAAAGAAAATAAAAATCAAAGGGGGGTGAATAATTCTGACTTTAACTGTACATTGACCTTCTCAAGTAAATATATCTTGATTAAAAATGTTTTGATATGAAACAAGGCCAAAATACAAAGCACGAAAGTCATTTTTGCAGCGTATCCAGCAATAGCCGCCTGTACGCAAGCTGAAGATTTAGCCCATCTTTCACCGTAAATACCCTGGGCTCTCAGGATATATTTCCACCATGTGGGGAAAATAGATCACATTATTTGCATTTGAATGAAGGCCATTCATTGCAGTATTTCTAGGCGGTTTTTTTTTTTTTGGGTTCTTCCCCTGCACATATCAGAAATTACAAGGTCTAAATCAATATAAAAAACTTGTTTGAAATGCAGAGTCTCTGCCTTCTAAATGCTCGCGCATATGGATGTATTATACCATTTAAAGGCTCGTAACATTTATCTCCATTGTAAAATCGAGCATTAAAAGTGACTCTGTCGCACAGATCCCTGAAGCTATAAGTAACACAAATGAATGAGGGGGAAATGGACAGACGGGGATAAAGCATGTTTGTGACTGAAATTCAAACGGATGAGCGCCATCGTTGGAAAAAAGCAAAACAAAATCATTCAAAACAGATTGCAGGAAAATGAGCGAAACCGTCGGCAAAATAATGGCTGGAAAGAAAACGTTAGGACCCAAAATGTCAACTCAGAAGAATCATGAAAAGCCACCAAGCTTCAAACAGAAAGTAAGACCATTAAAAACCAAAAGCAAAAGCAAAAAACAAAACAAACACAAAAGCATTTTCCTGTACATCATACGTACCTGACATCTTCAAACAATAACTTTTAAAGACTTTCTTACCACAAGCACCCGATTCGAGGGAGACTACATTTCCCTGGAGTCGGTTGGGTTCTGCCCTCTCCCTCTATTGCTGAGCTCACAAAACACAGCTCGATTTCAACCGCTTACACCAATTTCGTTTTCATTATTAGCTGATTCATTGATAGATGTAAGGATGTTTTTGGGGGCTGGAGGGAGTGAGCGTTCCCTGTGCCTTCATCAGGCTGCACTAGTCACTGTTTACACTAGCCTGAGGGTCCACAAGATTGAGATCAGGGTGCTAGCACCGTGCTACCTATTTAAGCCTACGTAATATAATCCACACCATTGTAACTTTAACTTTTACAAACATCTCAAATTTCAAATTAGTACCAATTCTTGATGTGCTTTTTTAGGGGAAGTGGTTAACCGATTTATCCCACCACCAGTTCAACTTTCATCACTACTGTCCTAGAGTTCAGTAAGTTAGTCGGAGCCTTGAGAACGTTGAAACAAAAAAACTGAACTGAAGCAAAATTTTTAAAAATAAACCTGCGAGACTTAATTTATGTCCTGCGGCAAAATTATATTTATTAGACTTTTAGTGATCTGTTTGAGGTAGGTCATTTTATTTTTATGCTTTTGATGAAGCAGCATTCAACTTAAGCTCTTTAGAGCATGCGCCGGACTGTTTCTCAGTGTTTCGCCGCAATGTCTTTAAATAAATAATCATTTAGGCCTATTTCATTTTTAATTTATTTTTCGTTATTTGTTTATTATTATGTACAATAATTGAGACATAAAATGAGATAGTAAAATATAATCAACAACGAAAACGTAAATGAAAATGTCTTGTCTTAGTCCTATCAAAATAGCAAACACTGAACATCTCTCTATATTTAGGCTAAAATACTGCTTTATTTATTTATTTAAGACTACTTATTTGAACTGAATGTTTGTGCTTTCATTTTAGTTGTCTTATATTTCCTCAGTTCTATTTTCCAAAACGAGTCCTCTTTGCACTTAACAGGTTTACAATGATAATAAAGCGGATTAACAAATTTTAAATGATTAATGAAGGAGTTATAATGTGTTGACTTATTGTTTAATCTCATTTACAAGCACAGTAGCATATTTAAAGCTGTTGTATAGGCTATTTCTGTCCGTTCGCATTTCGTCCCTTTGCGCCCCCTGGCGGTTTATTCACAAACTGCGGTCATACACTAAAAACAAAAAGCGACAGCTATTTAAACAGCGGCGGTATAAGCCGCGGCGGTAATGGTCACATTGAACTCTCACCTACTGTATATTCACCAAATGGGTTCACTGGATTACAGTTGTGATCTTCCATTTGAATATATATTTTAAAGATGTACTTCCTCTCTAAGAAAGTATTAGCATTCAGTAGATTCTTGGTTTAAGTGCAGCAAGAAGTTCTGGTTGGAGTAACAGAACTACCTGAAGATTTAGACTCATGATTCTGGAACTGTATTAAAAGAGCCTCTTTAATCCAACCACAAGTTGTACCTTAAAACAAAAATCACTGACTTAATGAATGATTGATAATCAACAACAATTGGTGGCGCTATTATTAATAAGTCAACGGAGAGTCAAGAGGTCAACTGAGACATTTCTGCAATTGAAGATTTGTTTGTTTTATTTAAGAGTAACAAATAACTGAAAATATTAAACGTGTCTGAAATGCTACTTGTCAGCCTCCCGATATATTTATGCCTATGTAATATAATCCACAACAACGTAACTTTACCATTTAAAAACATCTCAAATTTCAAATTATTACCAATTATTGATGTGCTGTTTTAGGAGAAATGGTTCACCGATTTATCCCACCACTAGCTAACTTTCATAACTACTGTCCCATTGTTCAGTAAGCTACGTTAATCAGAGCCTTCACCAAATGGACTCACTTGATTACAGTTTCATTCTTCCATTTGAATATATATTTTAAAGATGAACTTCCTCTCTTGGAATGTATAGCATTCAGTAGATTCTTGGTTTAAGTGTGGCAAGAAAGTCTGGTTGGAGTAACAGAACTACCTGAAGATTTAGGCTCATGATTCTGGAACTGTATTAAAAGAGCCTCTTTAATCCAACCACAAGTTGTACCTTAAAACAAAAATCAAATGGGTTAACTACATAAATGAATAATTGATAATCAACAACAATTGGTGGCGCTATTAATAATAAGTCAACTGTGAGTTGAAGAGGTCAACTGAGACATTTCTGCAATTGAAGATTTGTTTGTTTTATTTAAGAGTAACAAATGACTGAAGATATTAAACTTGTCTAAAATGCGACTTGTCAGCTTCCTGATATATTTATGCCTATGTAATATAATCCACACCAATGTAACTTTAACTTTTAAAAACATCTCAAGCTTCAAATTAGTGCCAATTATTGATGTGCTGTTTTAGGAGAAGTGGTTAATCGATTTATCCCACCACTAGCTAACTTTCATCACTACTGTCCCATTGTTCAGTAAGCTACGTAAATCAGAGCTTTGTATATTCACTAAATGGACTCACTTGATTACAGTTTTATTCTTCCATTTGAATATATATTTTAAAGATGTACTTCCTCTCTAGGAAAGTATTAGCATTCAGTAGATTCTTGGTTTAACTGGGTTTAAGTGCAGCAAGAAGTTCTGGTTGGAGTAACAGAACTACCTGAAGATTTAGACTCATGATTCTGAACCTGTATTAAAGGAGCCTCTTTAATCCAACCACAAGTTGTACCTTAAAACAAAAATCAAATGGGTTAACTGCCTTAATTAATGATTGATAATCAACAACAATTGGTGGCGCTATTAATAATAAGTCAACTGAGAGTCAACTGAGACATTTCTGCAATTGAAGACTTGCTTGTTTCATTTAAGAGTAACAAATGACTGAAAATATTACACTTGTCTAAAATGCTACTTGTCAGCCTCCCGATATGTTCTTCGCCAAATCCAAGATGAGGACTGGTGCAGAAACCCTTGCCCTCAGTTTGTGGACCCTCTGCGACAACGTCTGAAACCTTTGCATCACTCAATAGCCATTGACTCTTAAGTGGTTTTCCCAGAATGCCTCTGCCGCCCACTTGGTCAAGGCAGGAGTGTCTATCTCCACTAACCCTCAAGAGTATGGACACATCCCCCAGTATTAATTATCCTCAAAGATATATCAACAAGTGTCAGGGGATATGGAGGGTGAGGTGAGTACTCTCTGCCAGACCATCGCAGGGGCTTTGGTTTGTAATTGCGGGCTGACCCAAGAACAGTGTCAACTGAACAGCACTGTACCAAGAAGGCAACAAACACAATACACTTTCCTTTTGTGCCTTCATGAGGAAGCCCAGTCTGCCATTTGGTCTCATTCAAAACTGATTTACAAACTCCTCCATTATGGTTTAACTCTCGGTGAGGATGACGGTGCTGTGAATGAGTCTGAACCAATTCCATTTGCAATACAGGTTCGACGACTTAAGGTTTCCTTATGCCTACATATACGCACGGTCTAGTTGGTTATATGGTTGACCTTCTTAAACATGGCAGATTGGGCTTCCTCTGAATGGCCGTCACTTACCTCACAGGAATCCACACTGTAATGTTTGTTTATGTGTTAGCTTGAGGGGCATTTGAGCTATATTGCCTCTAACTGTCCGAGCTTGTCGCCTCCCTGACCTTGTTAAGGGTAAATCTGCACTACTTTACTTTCTGCTCAAGGGAAGACATCGGCAGATGTAGTGAACCACGTCTCCCATCTGCGAGAGCCTGAGGGACAACGTCCCGTAACTCAAACAAGAAGCCTACGGTCCTCCCGCTGGGATACTTACTCTCTCACCTTTAGTTTAATGGATTTGCTTTGGCAATGCTTAGGGCTGTCGCTGCTTGTCGTGGAAAGCGAAACCCAGACAGGAAGAGCAAACTAAAAAAGCCGAAAGCTACTTTTCTAGGTGTGATAGAGTAAATCAAACTAAAATGAAACAAAGTTGAACTTAAACCTGTGTACTGAACAGAAAAAAAAAAAAAAACAGGTGACCTTAAGCTGCAGCAGGTGAGCTTTAGTTTCATTTCAGGAGACAAAGTGAAACGACGAGCTAGAAAACAAAAGGGAAGTTGAAAGTGCACCGCATTGTTCCAGAATACAATATGCGAAGGACACCAACAGTGGGACAGACATATAGAGATGGAACAGAAGGTGACACACACACACAACATGCATTAATAGAGCGCCCCCCGGGGGTAGGGGGAGGTAATACATGCATTCAGTGCGCGCTCTCTCACGCTCAGGTGTTACGTTGTGTGTCAGTGCAGCAGGTTCATTGCATCCCAGCACCCATTCAACCAACCCCATCCCACCCATTCTCCACCAACAAGCTGCACAGGTAGAAACAGAAGATGAGTTAAAACGCTCCACATTCGCTGCCATGGCTTTCTGGCATCTTCCTCCTATTAAACAGTACAGCATTTCACATATTCTTTTGCCTGCTTGAAATACCCACTCATGCATTCAGGCTTTACAATTTAAAACGTCCCTATTGAAACCTTCGGTGTGTTTCACAATACAGGCTGAACATAAGTAACCGCATTTTTTAGCACTGGGCACATGCCAGCTGCAAGGTTCCCCACAAGCACTGATGATTTCATGCACCGAATCATGATGCGACTCAGCGAGGGTGTATTTTTAGGCCGGAGGCTTGAATAATTCAGCCGGTCTCCCAGCGTAAATGCTGACTACCTGCAGGCGCCAGCGGCCACTGGCTGCGCTGCTTTCAGTAATGCACAGTGAGGGACTAGATGTGGTGGAAAGCCATGGCAGACCCCGGTGTCAATAATATTTTGTGCGCTTCAGCCGCACGGGAGGAAAGAAAAGTGCATTTGCTGTTGACACATGAAAAAGAAATAGGGACACAGAAGAAAGAAGGGAGCCAAACGGCACGCTTGCTGCGGATCAATCAGCCCACATTGATTTGTTTGTTTCACGTGTAGGAAATCTCTGAAGTACATAACTGTGACATAGAGAAACCCAGATGAAAGAACAGAAAGGAAGTGCATCAGACGACATCCTGCCAAGGGGCAAGGAATCCATTAAACTAAAAACACGGGTCATTTAAAAGTTTGGGCCTTAGACGCTCACACAAAATAAATTAGTCGGAGGTTCTTCTTCATGAAACGCAAGTGGAACAAATTGCGCAAATCATACATACAGCCATTCTTACATAAACCGATGTATCGCAGAGAATGCAACCATTTACGTAAGAATGTTTCTACAAACAATTCACAGATTTTATCGTCTTTAAATCAGCATGCACAGTAAGAAACTAAGGCCCCGTTTACACTAATGCGTTTTAGTTTGAAGTTTTGCAACGGTTACGCCATCTGTCCAGAGAACTACGCTGGAGTTCTCGAGCGCCGAAAATGGAGCGTTTCGAAAACGCTGGAGAGGCCGTTTTCATTCTGAAACGCTGCTGCTCCGTCTCAGTGTGGATGATGGAAAACGGAGACATCTGAAAACAGAGGCGGGGCTGCAGACATTCGCCTCTCTGATTGGGGCTTTTCCTCAATATTAAGTAGCCTACAAAGAGTTCAGTCCCGCATCTTCTCCGTGTAAGTTCAGACTTTGCAAGTTTGATCAAGGCTGCAGTGTCTTCTTTTCAGTTTGATATGGAAAACAGACTATACCGAGGACACGGGTAAATCTTCAAAGGGAACAGTTTACTTTATAACTTCATTCACATCACCCTGGCTACGTTGTTTCACTTTCTCAACAATAAAATGTAAACATGATATAAGGAACTGCCTATTTTCATTTTAATATCAACAACTAAACAGACAGCAGAAATGTTGAGGCGTCGTGCTGCATATATGAGCGTCATCTTCACTGTGTGGATATTTATAACAAAACGGAGCCGATAACAACTGCCTCCTTTCAATTTCAGTGAAAATACGAAACATCCCCTCTCTTTTGCTGAATATCAGTTTTAATAATCGATAATGGCCATTATAAAAGTATAACATACAATAAGCTTATACATTATAGGAAATAAAGGCGATCAGTCAATATACAGAATGTACGTGCTTACATAAATCATTAACTTATCTTTGCGCTCAGCCAAAACACGTTACCTGAGAACAAGTAATAGATTCCAATGACCAAAGTCAGGGAATATGTCGTTAGATAAAGACAACAAGATGAATGAAATATCCCGTTTAATAAATATAGTGAGATTAGATCCAGCGGGAGATGCTTGATGAGAAGTCCGACTAGCAGAGCTCTTATCTGGGTAGATGGGCTTGCCCGAGAGTGTCTGTGTGGTCACGTGATGTGCGCTTTTAGCGTTTTGGTGTGGAGAGCAGTTCAGAAACGCTGGGTAAGAAGCGAGTGTGGACGCGGATCGTTTTCATTCTAAAACGCTGTTTTAAAACTAAAACGCACTAGTGTAAACGGGGCCTAAGAACATTTGGTTTTTGGCAAGTCGTTTGGGAATAATCTCATCAAAGCAACATCACCTTTGCAGCCTGGATGTAGCAACACGTTTGGCTCAAAGGTGATGCTGTTTTAGATGCATAAGCAAACAACACAAAGGAATAAGGCCAAGAACAACTGCCAGAAACTTGAACCAGGGACCAATGTTCGGTCGTTAACACATATCTGCTGTAGACACAAGCACATCATCATTCACTCTTGACATTTCAGGATTCGATAAACAACATCGCTGGATTGGGAAATCGGGGTGAAGGTTACAGTGGCTCTCTCCAACAGTGTTTTGTAGTATACCGACCCCAGTGAAAGCTCAAAATAGCCATTACTTCTTGGCATTTCTCAATCCAAATACAATTTTAGACAAGCAACCCTTCATTCGGGTCCTTAGGAAAAGAAATGGACTACATACTGGCTTGAGACGTCGTCTGGGCTAAGTCGTTGGTGAAGGCTCCAATGCCCTTGCTGGAGACGGCAGCCAGAGAAAAGAAGTACTCCGTATTCGGACGTAGGCCGTCCACCACAAAGGAAGAGGTCGGAGCAAATTTTTTCTTACCCTGTTTGATGGAAAACAATAACGGTTACTTCTAAATGAGATGCGCAGGAATGGTCCTGACGACATAAATCTGCGCGTTCGAGAAGATTCATATGAAGGACGCACCAGAGGTCCATCTTTGCCCTCTTTGTAATGCAGTTCGTAACTGATGATTCCCTCTTTCTCAAAGGCTGGTTCCCACGTCAGCTCAACACCCGTGTCTGACACCTCTCCGACCTGGAAATTGGTCGGCTGTCCTGGGACTACAAACGGAGGCAGTGTTGACAGTTTGATAGACATGAAATAAACAAAGAGATTCAAAAACTGAATGTCGAGTGAAGATGTTGGAAGTGCATAAAAAGTTTTACCGGGTTACAGTTTTGCTCACTTAACACTGGCTAAACACTTTTTTTTTACCAACCCAATGGCAACAATGTTGTAAACTATTTGGGTTGTTTAATAGATAATAAATTATCAGGAGATGCTATGGCAAAAAAAGCTTTTAGGAAGATTTGTGGACAAATTAGTTTTTCAGCAAGGCAAGCTGATCTGTTGAATGTTCATTCTTTACAATTGTTGGCAGGAGCTTTAATTCAACCCCATTTTGATTATGCTACGTCATTTTGGTACAGTAGCTGCTCACAGAGTTTGAAGGAAAAATAGCAAAAGGCACAAAATAAATTAGTACGAATAATTAAAAAAAATGCATCCTAGAGCACATTTGCACAAAGAGTCTTTTAATAAATTAGGCCTGTTAACTGTTAGTAATAGAGTGTTTTTTAAAACAGGGAATGGTACGTAAATATTTAATAATGTGGTTCCTAGTTATTTGATTAACTATTTTCAAATGGTGAGGCAACAGCATTCATGCAGCACAAGGGGTTGGGATTTTAATATTTGTTTATTTAAATTTAGAAGTTTAGAGGGAAGAAAATATGTTTTTATACACAAGTGCAATCACGTGGAACAAACTACCAAAATCAATTAAGGAAATAAAAAAATTAAGGTTGTTCAAAAGAGCTATGAAACGATGGTTGTTTGATGAGGATAATTAGTTTGCATGGTGGACGAGGAAGGCCATTAGCTGTGTAGAACATAAGTTGACGGTTCGTACCGCTGTGGCGACTGTTTGTTTTATGCATCATTGGTAATTTGAAACCATACATTGTTTTTATTTAACAGAGGACCACAATGGAAATAAGCCCAGGGCTTTATAGTGTTTTTATCCTCGACAGTTTTATTTTTAACAAAGTGTATGGAATACTTTTTGTACAGTTTGTCTAAAATTTGTAAAATAAAATTCAATTCAATTCAACAGATTTCCTGATCACAAATCTCACTTTGCAAGATCATTAGTTCACCAGGTACTTAGAACCCTACTGAAAAAAAACAGCCTGAACCAACATAGGCTGGTTGGTTGGCTTTAGCTGGCCAACCAGCCTGATTTTAGAGGAGTTTTGGCCACTTCCAGGCTGGTTTCCAGCCATTTCCAGCCTGGTCTTAGTTGGTCAGGCTGGGACATGACCAGCTAAAACTAGCTTGACCAGCCTAGCCATGCTAGGAGCCCAGCCAAAACCAGCTATGTCCAGCTTAAACCTGGCTGATCAAGCTGGTTTAGCTGGTCATTTTCCAGCCTGACCAGCTAAGACCAGGTTGGAAAGGTCTGGAAAACAGTCTGAAAGCAGCCAAAACCCCTCTAAAACCAGGCTGGTTAACCAGCTAAAAGCAGTCAACCAGCTTAGGCTGGTTTAAGCAGTTTTTTTCAGCAGGGAATGGATAAGTATAATTGCTAAACTCACTTTACGGCATTAACCCACCAAACACTGATGACAGGCATTTCAATAGCTAAACTCACTTTGCTACACCATTAGCTTTTTCGATACTAACAAAAACATTTTCAATTGAGAAACTTACCGTGCTGCATTGTTAGCTCACCAAAATGGAAACCTTTCCAATTGAGAAACTCACTGAAAAACCGCACTGTTGACCTCCCAAATAATAACAACATATATTATTAACCACTAAACTCACTTTAGCATGTTAGCTCCCCATACTAGCAGTGATTGCAGATGTTTTTCAGCCACTAAACTATTTGATTAACCCAGACTTTACCTAGAAGGGAAAGTAACCTTGTTACATCTTCCACACGCTAAAATGCAGACTCAAAACTAACCTCCTTGAAGCACTTTGACGTGAATGGGATCTGAGAAAGGTCCATCTCCAACAGATGTGAAAGCCAGAACTCTGATGGTGTAGGTCTCAGAGGTCACCAGACTCTGAATGGTGGTGAGCACGCTGTCCTGGACATTGTGGATCTGCCACATGCTCATGGGGAGAGTTGGGTCCATGGTGTAGTAGACCCGATAACCTTTGATCTGTCCATTGGGCTCATCCGGCTCATCCCAGCGTACCAACACAGTGTTCTGCGAGATGATTCGGGCTTGGATGTTTCTTGGCGGGCTGGCGGGAGCTTGCTCTCCAGTCCGAGCCTCCACCGGTTCGCTGGGTGGGCCTTGCCCAATGGTGTTGAAGGCTGAAACGCGGATCTCATAATCCGTGTTGGGAGAAAGTCCTCCAATGCTGTAGCGAGTGGTGGTGATGGAGTCCACAGTCTCAAACTTGCTCTCGGGAGACTTGGCGCGATACTGGATGATGTAATGAGAGACAGGCTCAGGATTCCCACTGTCCCAGGTGATGGTGATACTGGTGGCAGTGGTTTCAGTTACGACAGGGGTGCCCGGAGGTTTTGGCAAGGCTGTAATGGGGGATAAGAAAATACACGGGTGTAAGCATTCATGGGACTAGACAGCATTTGAAAATTGATGCTTCGACATGGGTTTCGTTTCTTGTGCAACCCTTGAGCAACCTTGGATGATTCTTACACTTGACAGTGATCTGGGCCACAGTCTCAATGATGCCCAGGCTGCTCATGGCCACGCAGGTGTAGTTGGCTGACTCGCGGACGCTGTTCAACTCCAGAACGTTCCTGCCCACTGGCATCTCATCCTCAGGCGTCAAGTCCTCCGAGTTAAGCATCCACTTGACGTAGGGCATCGGCGAGCCCACGGCGACACAAGTGATGTTGACGCTCCCGCCCGGCATGATCTCTTGGCTGGTGGGCAGGATGGAGAAACGTGGGGGCACGCGACGAACTGCGAAGGGTGGATGAATGGCGACAAGAAAAAGAGAAAGAGAAAGGTAACAAGACATGCCGATGAAAACGAGCCTTTCTTTAGAACACACAAGGTTGTCTAAAGAGAGGACAGCAAATGATAAATAAAGAGACTAAACAAACTTCACAAATGTTTTGGCTTATACAAAATTAAAATAACGATAAATTAACAGAACTGCTACACCGACAATATAGATTGACATTAAAGCAACAAATTCATAGCAACAAGGTTTCAAGGACTAATATTTGACCCATCACAGCACGATTAACTGCACAAAAATCTATTATGAGTTTCTCATCTTTGAAATTTGGAGATGTCTGTGTGACCTAAAGCAAAGTTAAATGCGTGCATTACTGTTACAAAGTAAAAACGCTAGAGCATTTTCTTTTTAAGGGAATAGAGAAGTGTGAGGCAACTTCATAGGCCAAAACATCCTACGTATGTAGCACTGTATGCACACATTGGTACATAGGCAAACCATGATCTGTAAGTCCCGCCAAGAGGGACTAAAGATGAGAAACCTTAATCAGATTTTTATGGTTGAGAGTAGATCAACTGGACAAAGCCTTTTTAAGATCTGACACGCTTCCATTAATAGATGCAGCTGTCATTTTCACAGACATCATGCAGAAATAGGTAGAGGTCAACCAAAAGAATAAATGGGAACAATAAAACCAGAGAGAAGAGTTTGAGATAAAAATGCATAGAGGAATATAACTGAAGGTTCGCTGGCATGCCCGGACAAAAGACAACTTGAGAGGGGAGTAAAAGGAAATATAAGAGAATAAAACGCGCAAAAAGAGCCAGATAGAGGAAGAAAGGGAAGGGTTGGGTAAAGGAACGAGGGGGGGAAACCCACTTCAATGCAGAGAAAGACTTTTTGAATCGTCTCCAGCCAATATGACGTAATGTGACAGGCTTGTATTGTCACATTGCGGCCCTGGCTAGAGGTAACACAAAATTTACAGTGGAAATTCTTGATTCAGTCAATCTGTAGATGTCAGTTCAACTGAACTCACTGTCACACATATATATATATATATATAAAAGAAAAAAAGAAAGGAAATGAATCAAAATTGGCCAAATAATGGCACATGAAGGTAAGGACGCTAGTCTACGGTGATGACAGCGATGCACCTCAACTACTGAGATTCCAAACCTACAACACGAGAGAAAAGATGAAGGATCTGTGAGGGGGGAAGGACTGGACATGAGTTATGGTATAGATGGAGTAAGCCAGGTTATAAAATAGGTTATTTTTTTATTGTCTGTCTGGTATCTTCATTCTTGAATCCTTGCTTTTTGTTACATGACTCAACGAAGGTCAAAAACTACAGACTCTGGACTGCAGATTCATAGAATCTGTTCCAATACTTATGAAGCACCCCTAATATAAATTTCTAATGTTAAGCAACCCCATATGTTACACAAATACTGCTGAAAGAACTGTTTCCAATAGAGTACGATCACGAGACTCTCTAAATACACAGTACATCCAAGTATTGAGTAAGTGTGTACATTAGGGGTGTCAAAATGAATTGTTTCTTCGGTGCACCACGACAATAAGGTATCGGTTCAGTAATAATCATAACCGGTTATTATGTACTGACGCCATTTATCTCCTATGCGCTCTGTCACGAGGGAGGTGAGCGCGAGTATTTACAACACTCAGCCAAATCAGGGCCGGCCCGTGGCATAGGCACCATAGGCAAATGCTAAGGGCGCTGTATATCCAGGGGGGCGCCAGAAATGAGCGCGATTCAGTTGGTTTTGTTTTCAATATTCCCGACACACATTCAGTTATAGACGGCATGAACTCAAAAACCTCTAACCCTAAAAGATCTAAAGTGTGTTTCCTACAAAAAGACGAAGCTGGTTATGTTTCACAGCTGTCTTTCTTTTTTTTCCGCTCGACATTACGAGCACTGCTTCGTTTAAGCCCTCGCAATATGTGTTTAGCCAGGAGAGCTCGCGCTGAGAGGAGCTCTCAGTTAGGGACCGTTTATTTTATTTATTTTTTTTTTTTTCGTTTTTCTGCTCCGCTCAGCGCGAGCTCTCCCTGTTGCGAGGGCTTAAGTGTGTGTGTGTGTGTTTGTTTCTTTGGTGCTGTCTATGTTTGTGTATGTGTTTGAATGAGAGACAGTGTGGTGCCTTGTGTCTGTGTGTTTATACAGACAGCTTGTTATAGCCTCCCCCCTAAAATATAACACTCTATATAGAAAGCATCGTCAATGCACAGTGATGCACCGAGATATCGAATTGAACCGAATCGAAGGCATGATAATCGTAACCGAACCGAATCGTGAGACCAGTATAGGTTCACACTTCTAGTGTACATCTATAATATGAATGTTTTTTCCTAAAGCCTTCAATATTAGCAAAATATACCACGGAAAAAAGCTGCTGTGTGTCTTCACTCACAGGTTTTGGAACCGAGCAATAGAATTAGAACTAGAGTTCAGCTTAGAAGGTGCTATCTACTTTGTTTGGCCAGGTGAGAAATGATCATGCCAAACTGAGCCTGGTTTCTCTCAAGGTTTTTTTTTTTCCAATTCACTTTCGTCAATCGGTGAAGTTTTGATCCAAGCCATTGGTTTGCTTGGTTCGGTACTTGTGGAGCTATGCGTTGATAGATCTGCTCCTGTGTTTGGACTATCAGCAGTGCAATTTAAACCACACAGAACTGAACTGAACTCTGAAAACTGGACTTCAGTTTACTAGGACTTCGATGTTAAGCTGCTTTGACACGATCTACGTTGTAAAAGCGCTATAGAAATAAAGATAAGATGAATTGAATTGAATATTTCATGTAAAATCTAGAGTTTGGCTTCTATGAATCTTCCTATATGGATGTTGATGGATGGAAATGACAATGAAACAGGAAGTATGGTGGTACTTAGTGTGTCCTAAGATGGCAGTGGTAGGGGGGGTCATGCCTCATTTACATTGGCAAGAGGAGAAAGGAAAGACAGAGGGACAGCGATGAGTGCTGGGGCTAGCTCAGGAAAGAAAACTGAAGGTAAATGAACAACCCCACATATACACAGATGAGGACAGGAACAACAGGGCACAAGGCAGAACAAGACCTAGGCTGCAAGACAGTTGACCGGGGGGGGGACGGACAGACTGGAAAGACACAATGGTGGACGGACATGTGGGGCAAGAAACAGAAGGGAAATCACATGGGGAGTGAGAGGTGGGGATCGGGGCAAAGAGGAGACTGCAACCATGGGCCAACTGGAGTAAACTTCTCACACAATGGGGCTTGAAATACATGATTAATCTCTCAGCATCGCCTTGGAAGACAGCAGCCATAGAGCATGACGTCCTGAATTTGAAACTCAACACCACCGAAAGCACAGTTTAAATCTAGTTTAAGTGATGGCGCCAACATTCGTGTTGGAAATTACTTTGGTATGTTACATTTATGAATTGAAACAGTTTTAAAAATACTGCCACAGGCTCAATTGATATATTACACATTCTTAAAAAAACTCGTGAGCCGGTGTGACCTAGGTTGGTGTCCATTGAGTAAAAACACACATTACAACTCAATCCAATTGAAGTTTACTTTATATTATTAGGTTACATTTATTTAACAGCGTATTAACCACTTCAACTCTGCTGCTATTTGGGGATTTCCGCCTGGATTTTGCCTACCCAAATTTAAAAGCTTCCCAAATCCACATGCAGAGGTGTAAATGCAAAAATTTGGCATCATTTTAAAGAAAACCCTTTGAATTTTCATAAGACACTATTGAAAGTGTTTAAAATATCTGTATATGTCGTCTGTGTTATAATAAACACCTAAAAAAAGAGGCGCTTTTTGTATTTTTTTGTTATAAACTCAAATTTGAAAGTGTCCCTTTTAGGTTCTGTGTGGTCTAGCGTGCTGTAATTAATTTTGGTGGTTCCTGCACATGTCTGTAATCATAGGAAAAAAGAAAAATGTCTCCACCATAATCTATGCAAAAGTTATTGTATTCCAACTGATGAGAGGAGATAAACAAGCCACAGGGAGTGATCCTTGTTTTCATATTTCACTATTCTTTTGTTTGATCAAACATAATTCACTGTGTTTGGACCACGTCAGACATATAAAAGGATTACTTATGCACATCACCTCAAAAACAGAGGAGAATGGCCCTGAAGCGCACAGCATAAGGTAAGGATGACAGCTGTCTGTGCTATCTGGGGCTGCTTATTGATCATAAATGTATTGTTTTCACTTCTGCGCCATGGAAACACCACGATTCATTCAACAGCTGTTTGGAATGTGAATATAATTCAGTTAAAAGAATGCTAGAACTGTATGAGCACCGGCAAGAGCTTTCATTTAAGCTATAACTTGTGTCATATGAAAAAATATGAAAATGAACCAATGTAAAATACCCAGCTCGGGTATCCAAAAACTGTATATTTAAGTGTAAATAACTTTTATACAGTAGAATAAATACCAAAGTGATGCATATGTGCATAAAATATAGATTCTACACTTTCAAACGAAACCCCTTATAGGGGTCTGGTGCAACGCTAGCCCTTTAAATCTGAAAGCGAAAGTCGATGACGTCACGAACCCGGTACCGGGTCCGCAGAGTTTAAGTGGTTAATACATTTTATCATCAGTTTATTCATGTTGACATTTTTAAATAGGTTTTCTTTTTCAAAAGGAAACACCAGGTTCAATACAAACCGAGCTAACATCAGACATATAATTGTAATTTGAGTTTTTAGACCTAAATTATTTCTGCCAAAAATGCAAAAGAGAATTTAACCGAACCAGAATTGCTCCGTCAGTTAAACATATACTTTTTGATTCACAAAGAAAAGAAATGACAGCAAAACAAACAATGACATACGGAAACACTCCCCCCCATATAAATGCATATTGAACAGATGTTCAACAAAGGTGAAAGGGCAGCCCACGTATCACAGGGTGCATGCATGACCGTGAATTGCAGGGATGACGTCAACAGAACGGCACCAAAATTACTGACCAGGCCTACTTCTACAGTCAACACACATCTGAGGCATGCAGCCCTCCCCAAGTGCAACATCCTAAAGGAATCCACACAATTGAAATGTCCAAATTGGTGAATTCGTCACGGCACACACAGACATCACAGCGCAGCAGTGTTTTTGAAAGGATTGTAGAGAGCGATGACAAAACACAACATGAGCGACAAGACAAGTGGGATCCTTCTAGCGAGGATTAATGATGGACAGGCCCGCACGTAATCCTCAACTGACTTTAAGGGAAAGAAACACAATTCAATTGATGGAATAGTAGATTCAATAAACATATTACGTGTGGGCCTGCTGACGGGTGATGCAACATTTGGCCATTCGTAAAACCAAAAGGCTAAAAAAGAAAGCTTGCTTCCGAGAGCGAGACAGTAAACTTTGGTTAGTTGAGTGAATGAGGGCTGCAACCTTTCACCTTGCAAATTATTCCCAAATTGGACTATAGAGTCTTAAAACGTATTCAAACCGGTCATTTTCTTATACAAAGGAGCTTGGCAACTTCAAAGTCAATGGCAACAAAGCATGGCGCACTTTAAGGCTTGAATAAACTGGGGGGGGAAATCATAAGCGGGTCTAATGTTTTCAGATGCATGTCGACATTTACGGCTGGAGCTATCACCGCATCGGCCTCGCTTGCTTTGCTTTGAAATGCCATTGCACCAAGCCATTGTGGGATTTATCTAAGTCCTGACGCAGCTCGAATCCTGACGTTTGATGTGCGATGGCGTTCTCCGCTCTGATGTTCGGAGGAATATGGAAGAGTCCAATTGGACGGACACGCTCCTCATTCACTAAAACCAGGAGCCCAGCAGGCTGAGAGCGATCTCTTTGAGGTCCAAAGTGGAAATCCCATTTCAAGCCCAATGTAGAGAGAAAGGCAACTCGAGAGGACAGAGAAGGACAAAATAGGCCAAAGAGTGCCTCACTCCATACAGTGTCTGACTAAGCCGGACATTTGTGGCCATTTTGGTAAGACAGTCTGTCCAGCCCCAAAATGAAGGTAGGAAGGGAAGCCAAAATAATGCGCAGCCCTTTAATGTCACCTTGAAGCTGAGATTACACCCTGTTTGATGTCCCAAACCATCCATTCGGCTTGAAGGTAGCGAGGCGTATTTGCATGCAGGCGGCAGGGGTTCCCCATGTTAACATACACACCTCTGCCACTGCAATGCAAAGCAGCCGCGGAAGGGGTTCAGACCACGTTCTGATAACTGAAATTTGGAGCATTTGTAAAACATTACAACCTCTAATCAACTGGTTACAGCGTAGCGTTCAATTAGCGTCCAAGGCTTTTGGGAAAGTCTTTCATTTGGATCCAAGTTGGTAGGGTGTGATCTAGCTTGCATTTACAGTTTTACACCTAAATAAATCATGCAAGGGCATGCAACACAACCCAAAGGGGTGGCAGCGGTATTCTCATGCATCTACATGCGCATACATTGAATATATTCGAGCATTTGGCATGGCACACACTTCAGCTCAGCCTTCCAGCATCTCCGAGCGGATCTGGGGGGAGAGAGAGGGGTGGGGGGGGGGTCTCGCTTTCCTCAACTAATTACCTTTAATTTGCCCTGGGATTTTGAATCCTTAACATTTTGGCTTTGGCTCTGCATTGTACGGATTTGAATGGCAGAACGGTCGAGAGCTTCATTGTCAGGCAGCAACAATGAAAGATTAGCAACGTCATTGAAACAAGAAGAATCAAAATTTCTGTTATTAATTCGCCACGAAGTAGCAGAGAACTTGATAAGTCGAGGCTCACAGTGGGATTTCGTCATATGGAAGCAATTAACTTCCACGCCTGGGGTAGACGACTAACAAGGAGACCAGCAAGTTCAAGTATAAAGTGAAATCTGAAAAGAGCAGCTAGCCATTTTAGCTATTTGCGAGAAGAACATTAGCTAGGAAATGTTAATTCATTTGAGGCTGTTACTCATAGTACAGGGCACATACGAAAAGATTGTAAAGACTTTCATTTCCTACTCTCATCCCTGCTGAAAAATCCAGCTTAAACCAGCCTAGGCTAGTTGGCTGGTTTTAGCTGGTTAACCAGCCTGGTTTTAGAGAGGTTTGGCCATTTCCAGGCTGGTTTCCAGCATTTCCAGCCTGGTCTTAGCTGGTCAGGCTGGAAAATGACCAGCTAAATCCAGCTAAAACCAGCTTGACCAGCCTGGTTTAAGCTGGACATAGCTGGTTTTGGCTGGGCTCTCAGCCTGGCTAGGCTGGTCAAGCTGGTTTTAGCTGGTCATCTCCCAGCCTGACCAGCTAAGACCAGGCTGGAAATGGCTGGAAACCATGAAATGGCCAAAACCCATCTAAAACCAGCCTGGTCGACCAGCTAAAACCAGCCTAGGCTTTTCAGTAGGGATTTCCTTTAAGAATCTTTAATGTTTTGGCCACAGCTCAGTCTGATTAGCGTGCATCTAAGGAAAGCTAATGCGCTCTATCTACACGCTAGGAAGCAGTAACAAGCTATCAGGGTAAAAGCGCCGCAGATATCACAGTGGGAACGGCCGGATATGAGAAATAAAGCTCTGCCAATAAATGCCAGACCCTGAGAGACAGAGCAGCGGCGAGGCGCACTTCATTATTTATACCCCCCAAATCATGTGGCGTCGCTCCCCTCCCAACAACACCATGTCTGTATAAAAATGAATAATTTAGGGAGCCATTTAGTCTCAGACATCACGAGATAGCCGGCAACACGTTAGCATTAGCCAAGTGAAGCAGAGGGTCTTGTTCTGTGTCATTATCCTTGACAGACGGACAAACAGCCATCTATAACCTCGCTACACTTAGAAGAGGGATGAGATATCAGTCCAGAGCTATCCGTCCGCACGATTGGACAAACTTGTCTGACTAAATGCAAGCTTTACGCTTGGTTTGTCATTGTAAAGCTAAAATAAATGGCAATTTACGAAGAGCGACTTCCCCTCACCCTATACCACAACTTATAAAGATGGGTTGTTGATGTTGCATTGCATTTTCAGTCACGGAGAAATTAATATATTTAGTATTTATCATCATTTAAAATGCAGATTCTTTTTTTCATATGACATCAGTGGAGGTTTACAGAACAATTGAGTAAAACAAAGTGAATTGAAGTTAGTGACTGCCTATATTTCATCAAAATCAGACTTAAAACTGCATAACTATAACTAATATTCTTTAAAAATATTGTTTTTAAGGGGCTTATTTATTTAATGCATCTTGTTTTAAGTATGTTTAGATACTTTCACTGGGAAAACACCCGCACAAAGTCCTAAAGAATGTGTGTGGGTCAACTTAAATGTGGTCAAAACCATTCCTGGATGTGAAACAGGAGCAGCGCCTAGCTGCATTAGCATAAAGAGACTCGCAAACAAAGCATCAGCTTTTGTTCTGGTCCAATTTGGGGGGTTTTAAGACGGCGATGTAAGAAGCGCACTGGCAACGAAGGCTCAAGCGAATGATAAATCCTCAGTTGATTGAGCCTGCGGACTGCGAAAGGGCAAGAGGCAGTCAGTCATCACGAGGATATATCGCTAGCTGGTAGCTGCTGAGGAAGAAAGTCTGTTTTCTTGGGGGAGGGGGGAGGGGGGGTTGCATGTACTGCGGAAATCATTATATCTGCCACGGATCCAAACTAATTAGCAGAGCGACATTGCAAACCAAAATGCAGCTTTTGTGCGCACGAGCGGCTTTGTAATTCGGAAGATGGCAGGAAAGCTGTCTGAAGGAAGTCACAACAATGCACAGAAACACAAACCACATCTAACAAGCCAGAACAAAAGGAGAGAACGAAACCAAGGGTGCACATTACACAAACACCACAACACAAGGAGCGGACTAAATGAGTCGCCAACAAAGGCTCAAAACTGTCGAAACCAAGGGAATCATCAAACACGCAAGGAATGCACGACAGCCAAAGGGATTGCGTTTTGAGGCATGCAAGCGCAGTTACATTCTCCCATCATGCATCAGTGCTCGTTTGCTTTCAAAGATCGTCATGACAGCATGTGCACATAAGCAGTTTCTCTGGGCAGAAGCAATACTGAAGGATGCAAACGAGAAAAGGCCCCACAATGCAAACGTAAACATAAAAGACGTAAAACGAACCCGAATCAGCGGGTTGGTTTACACTACTTTTAAAATGCATTTAAATTGCACAGAATTTAAAACTGGTTTAGCAGCTGGCTTTTTAAGCTCCGAATTGCCAATGATCAGTCATGGTTAAGGGTTTAATACACTTTGATTTGTCGTTCTTATTTTTGATTTTTTTTAATGTGGGTTAAAAAAAGTGAAAAAAGAAAAAACACACCAACCTTCTCGAAGCTCTGAGGGATGTAAAGGGGTTGATGCAGAACACAATGACATGAGGAGAAGAGAAAAATAGGGGAAACACAGAGAGAGTAAAAAAGGCCACCTCAAGGCTTTTAGCTGCTACAATTCTCTGGCTGATGTCGCCTGATTACTTCTTATTTTTGCGTGACATGTCTGCTTAACGCCTTGACCTGCTTTGACCCAAACAGTCTGATTCACCCCAGTGGTTGCTCGCGAGAAGCGCGCGACCGCTGGAGTCAATTCAAGCATGTTATAACAATGCAAAATTACAAGGTCTTTAGCCACCTGAAGAGCTGCCGCTGCGGCTTTAATTACAGAAACAAAACAAAGAGACAAAAACAGAAATCAATGAAACCAAATCAAAGCGAGCGTACAAATAAAGAGCACATAATTAGCATTAAAGTTAGCAGCTACAATCAAGACACCCGACTCTTAAAAAGAAGGCGGCTATTGCCATGTGAATGCGCATTAAACATGTGCGGAAATGAGTGTTCTCCGTCGTAGCTGCTAATTTCAAGTGCAGTCAATTCTAGAACAGAAAACATTTGTATTGTACTCGATAATTGAGCTTTGAAAACAAACCAAAAGGAGACGGGATACTCTCTTAATGCAGAATGCGCATAATCAGGGAGACATTTGCATGGCTGTGGTGAATTAATTACCGCTGCAGAAATTTGAACGCATTTCAGAAATCTCCAGTCACCTAATTACCGAAATGTCACTAGGAATCAGATCAAATGTTACTGAACATCTAACACTGTTTAAGGTCTTGGAAATGTTGAATATTTTACCTACCAAGGGGTTTAAAACAAGTAAATAGGGCGTTTTTACATTAACTTTACTGTAGAGAAAAAGATTAACGCTTAAAGCGGGCATAACCGATACAGATCACCAATAGATATTATTGATAATCTCAATGACTACAAATGATCCATTTTATGACTTGTAAACCTTCTCGTAAACTGCCTGTTCGTCTCAAAGCGATCCTTCTGCCATCATTTACTTATTCCAACGTTGATCTAAACATTTATTGATGCTTCTATGGAATACAAAATAAAAGTATTTGCATATTCCCTGAAAAACCTGTTGCGGAAATAGTTGTAATGGAATTAAATTGGAATGACTTGTGTAAATGATGACAGAAATTTCACTGAAACCGTAGCCATCGTCTTGAGATGGACCGCCCGCATCAACAATAACACCTATAATAATGAAAAGACAACTCCCTGACCCATTTCATAATGTAACGGCGAGTGAATTATTTATCCGGAACAAAGTTATTCGGTACACAGCGGGTAAAAAAACCTCATCCCATATGCTGTCTTTTTTAATATGCATTAAATAAATATTACATGCGCAAAATGCATCTCCCTCGATTTATTAAAGTCATCAACCTGGAGATCCTCTTAAGGTTAGCGGCGAGAGCCGCCCGAGCTAATGCGTTGCCTTAAAACAGCCTCAGACGCTCCATTACAATAATGACTATTGAACCAAACAGAGAATGTTAATTATTTAGATCTAGCAGTTAGCAGTTTGAACAAAAACGTATACACTTGTGATTAGCAACATGCATACATTATTTTATGCTGCAACCTTTTTACCTTTTCAAATGGAGTTAGCATTTTGATTGGTTAAGTGCATTGGCCAATCAAAATCAAGACTTACCGTCATCCTCTTCAACCTGAAAACTCGATTACATGACATTACCTGCATGACCCCAAGCTTCCATCGGAAGAGAAGACTGAGAACTACCCATTAAGACTTGAAATTGTGCACATTCAGTTACTGAAATATACAACAGGTCATGTGACCAGCCGTACTTAAAGGGATCTAAATAATTGTTGTTGTTTTTTTCCGATGGGCTCCAGGCTTCTCCCTACCTCGCACATACAAGTTGGCAGGGGAAGAGTATCGGACGCCTTCCACATTTGACGCCACACACTCGTACTTCCCCTGGTCGGTTTCCTCAGTGTTTTCTATCTGCAGGGCACCTGGGAGAGCAAAGAAAAAGTACACCCCGAAGTAAGGGATGAAAGACAGAGAAAGAAAAAAAAAGACGGAGAGAGAGGGAGAAGAAGACAAGCTATTAGTGGTTTGAAAGTAACACGTCTGTCAGAAAGCATTTGATTTTGTATGTTTGGTGCAGCGTCGCACGTATCCTCATAAATTGCTCAAAGGCTTTTCCCGTTTGAAAGCAAACTTCGCCTTTTAACGCGATGTGTTGAATCTGAGCAGTTCCACACTCAAGGCCAGAAAAAAATTACACTGATCTAAATATGTCCGAACGCATCCCCTGTCAAACGCAGGGGGGAAAAGGACTAGCAGCTATGTTAGGGTGTACGCAGGACTGCTGGATCGCATCAATCAGTGTGTCGGGAAGTATCAGGGTGTGGAAGTCGGAGGAGATAAAGCGGCGCTCGGTCCCGATGGGAGGGCAGTTGGTGCGGGTCAAGACTGAGTGTGAGCCGAACATCCATTAGTTCATGTCGAAATGTGCTGCGCAGGGGCTGAAGCCTAGCACAACACTTAAATCCCACGGCATGAATTATTTCAGCCGGTCCCCCAGGAGCTGTAGTGGTAGTGCTCATGTCAGTGCGTACAGTGGAACTGAGAATGGCTATTGGCTGTACATGATAAACACTTAATATTCTACTAAATCGCACCCCAGGGTTTGGGCTGTAAAGCCAAGGTCGTTGCCATGTATGCCAAAACACATGCAAATCAAACTTTGAGAGGGATCAAAACGATAACACTTGAGCTCAAGTAGCAATTCCCACAATAAACTAGTGGCTTAGAACTTTAAAAACTGGCTGTTATTAGTGCTTTTAAAGTATGACCTTACTCTACATCCCTAATCCCAATACCTAAACCTCAACTACTACTTAATAAGCATTACTAATTAGTTAATTAGTAGTTTATTGAGCACAATGTTAACCAGTTAAACTCAGCGGAGCCGGTTTGTTTGATCATTTTAATCAAATAAGATGATAGTGAAATATGAAAACGATGATCGGTCCCTGTGGCTTGTACAGCACCTCTCATCAGTTGGAATGCAATAACTTTTTCATAGATTATGGTGGAGGCATTTTTCTTTTTTCCTATGATTACAGACATGTGCAGGAACCAACAAAATTAATTACAGCACGCTAGACCACACAGAACCTAAAAGGTACACTTTCAAATTTGTTTAATAAAACACAGACAACATATACAGATATTTTAAACACGTTCAATAGTGTTTTATGAAAATTCAAAGGGTTTTCTTTAAAATCATACCACATTTTTGCATTTACACCTCTGCATGTGGATTTGGGAAGCTTTTAAATTTGGGTAGGCAAAATCCAGGCGGAAATCCCAAAATAACAGCAGAGTTTAACTGGTTAATGGTCTTAAAAGTCTAAAAGGTAAAGTCTTAGTTAATGCTTTATTAATACTGAGAGTTGCCCCTTAAAATAAAGTCTGACTATCATAACTTTCAGAAAACGTTGAGATGGAAAGAGGGTTTAAAGAAGAACTTCGTACATTCTGCAACAAGTTCCCCCTGGAATAACCTGATGTCATATCAAGAGTCTTATTCAGATTATTAAAAAAAGATTTGGGTGTTATTTAGATTGAATTAGGGGTAGGCTGTTTAAAGCAGCTTTAGGAAGATCCTTCCTGTTTATTAGGCATGATTTTTAAGGTAATCAATGAACTAGTATGCTTTTTTTTCCCACCGAATTGATGCAAAGTGTAACTTATTTAAGCCAAATCCCCCAAAAAACCCAACTTCATAAGACATATTTGAACAGCCCAGTAGAGTACATTTTGCATGCACCTGTTACATTACATCAAATAAATAGGTTTGAAGATTCTTAACAGTATGGGGGATTGGATTTTTGCCTCTTTAAGCCATATTTTTAAAGGTTGTCAACAGAGAAGTATGCATTTTATCAATAAGTTACTTTGGTTACCAGTAGGTATTCATTTTGAAGTAAATGCTAGCTGTTCACAAAGAAAAAAAGCTAACTAAAACTAACAAAACCATAAATAATACCAACTAAAACTAATACAAATAAAACGAATGGCTTACATTTTTAAATAATGGTCCATTAGTTCACGTATTTACCAACACAAAAAAAAAACAATTAGTATTACATTTATTACTGTATTTATTCCTCTTCGTTAATGTAGCGTAATGTTATTTGTTTGTGTTTTTTAAAGGAAAAACTTTGTTTTTAATAATGCATTAGTTGATGTTGAACTATATTGATAAATGCTTATTTATACTTACAGTTGAAGTCAGAATTATTAGCCCACGTTTATTTTTTCCCCAGTTTCTGTTTAACGGAGAAGAATTTTTCAACACATTTGTAAACATAATAGCTTTAATAACTCATCTCTAATAGCTGATTTATTTTATCTTTGCCATGATGACAGTAAATAATATTTGACTAGATACTCTTCAAGACACTTCTATACAGCTTAAAGTGACATTTAAAGGCTTAACTAGGTTAACTTGGCAGGATAGGGTAATTAGGCAAGTTATTGTATATCGATGACTTGTACTGTAGAACCCAACTCCAAGACATATTTGAACAGCCCAGTAAAAACATTTTGCATGCACCTATCTAATAAATAGGTTTAAAGATTCTTAACACTATGGGGGATTGGATTTTTGACTCTAAGTCATATTTTCAAAGGCTGTCAACAGAGAAATATGCATTTTGCCACCAAGTTACTTTGGTTACCAGAAGGTTTTCAATATAAAGTCTACAGTAAATGTTAGCCGTTCACACACACACACACAATAAAAAAAGCTAACTAAAACTAAGAAAACCATAAAGAATACCAACTAAAACTAATGAAAATAAAACGATTGGCTTACATTTTAAAATAATAGTCCATTAGTTCATGTATTTACCAACACAAACAAACAATTAGTATTACATTTATTACTGTATTTATTTAATGTAGCGTAATGTTATTTGTTTGTGTTTTTTAAAGGAACAACTTTGTTTTTAATAATGCATTAGCTGATGTTGAACTATATTGATAAATGCTTATTTATACCTACAGTTGAAGTCAGAATTATTAGCCCACGTTTATTTTTTTCCCTAATTTCTGTTTATTTTTATTAAACAGATAAAATTATTATTTATTATTTATTATTTTAATTTTTCAACACGTTCTTAACATAATAGTTTTAATAACTCATCTTTAATAACTGATTTATTTTATCTTTGTCATGATGACAGTAAATAATATTTGACTAGATATTCTTCAAGACACTTCTATACATCTTAAAGTGACATTTAAAGGCTTCAAGAGGGTTTACTAGGCAGGTTATGGTAATTAGGCAAGTTATTGTATATCAGTGACTTGTACTGTAGAACCCAACTCCAAGACATATTTGAAGAGCCCAGTAAAAACATTTTGCATGCACCTATCTAATAAATAGTTTTGAAGATTCTTAACACTATGGGGGGTTGGATTTTTGACTCTTTAAGTCATATTTTCAAAGGCTGTCAACAGAGAAATAAGCATTTTGCCACCAAGTTACTTTGGTTACCAGTAGGTTTTCATTATAAAGTCTACAGTAAATGTTAGCCGTTCACAAATAAAAAAAGCTAACTAAAAAAAAAAAAAAAGCTAACTAAAAAAAAAAAAAAAGCTAACTAAAACAAACAAAACCATAAATAATACCAACTAAAACTAATGGAAATAAAACGAATGGCTTACATTTTAAAATAATGGTCCATTAGTTCATGTATTTACCAACACAAATAAACAATTAGTATTACATTTATTACTGTATTTATTTAATGTAGCGTAATGTTATTTGTTTGTGTTTTTTAAAGGAACAACTTTGTTTTTAATAATGCATTAGTTGATGTTGAACTATAATTAATAAATGCTTATTTATACTTACAGTTGAAGTCAGAATTATTAGCCCACGTTTATTTTTTCCCTAATTTCTGTTTATTTTTATTAAACAGATAAAATTATTATTTATTATTTATTATTTTAATTTTTCAACACGTTCTTAACATAATAGTTTTAATAACTCATCTTTAATAACTGATTTATTTTATCTTTGTCATGATGACAGTAAATAATATTTCACTAGAAATTTTTAAGACACTTCTATACAGCTTAACCTGACACTTAAAGGCTTAACTAGGTTAATTAAGTTAATTAGGCAGGTTATTGTATATCGATGGGTTGTTCTGTAGACAATTGAAAAATATATAGGGTAAAGGGGCTAATAATTTTGACCTTAAAATGGCTTTTTAAAAATGTAAAACTGCTTTTATTTTAGCCAAAATAAAACAAATACGACTTTCTCCAGAAGAAAAAATATTACCAGACATACTGTGAAAATTTCCTTGCTCTGTTAAACATCATTTAGGAAATATTTTAAAAAGAAAATAAAAAATGAACTGTAGTTAATGGTAGACCATTTTTCTGAAGAGTTATTAACCAATGTAATGAATGCAAAACTATAATTATCTTGAGCCCACACCAACAAAACAAGCCAGAATTTCTCAACATTCACAACTGTGATTGAGAAATGCAAATGGATTGCTTTTCTCGAAAAATCAACCTCCCTTTCATTTACTCACTAAGCAATCCCAGCCTGATTCTTCTTTTATCTGACTTTGAGTGCATTTCGACAGGTAGCATCAACACAGCCCTCGCTCCAGACATTCATTCTGGCCGAACGAAGACGTCAACCGTCGGCTGCCGCCACATGCGGTGCCGGGACATCAGCAGCAGGGACTCCCGCTGCGGTTTAAGCGCACAGTCGGCGTCCTGTGGAACATTCTGAGTGCCAACCAGATTCTGGCTTCTGGGTCGATGACTCACACCTGCTCACGGCGGATCAACAGCATGATGGGATCAGGGAGTTTAGAGGCGTGGCAGGGACAGACAGAATCGGAAGGTGGATTCTAAAGTGTGTGCGCAAAAAAATGGAAGGCGGATTCTAAAGTGTGTGCGCTTCCACATG